AGAAGCATCTGATCAGACCGTGTGAGGCCCTCAGGCAGTTGTGTGCTAGGCGTGTGTCCCACCAATAGCCCTGACGTTGCAGACGCCGTAGGGATACTAGGTTGCAAGGGAAGTCAGGGCAATAGGCCACATCAAATAGAGGGAGAACCCTAGAACCCTTAGGTCCTTTGGTCATGATATTGACTTGGCCGTATCCTTGGACTAAGACTTCGTGTTCTCCGGCAATAAGGACGTCATCGGCACTCGCAGGCCGATATCCTAGGAACCGACTGATCTCATTGAAGATGTGGATTGTGGTCCCTGAGTCTAGGATAGCTGACCTCCGTAGGGGATATCCTGATGCCGTAAAGGCCGCCCTGATCGGTGTGATCAGGTCATCGCAGCGGCCGACTGTCCGGCCTAGTCAATCCGACCTAGCCGGTCCGGCGGCTTCCTTCAGGGCCTTGAGCTTATCCTTCCACTCGGGCAGGGAAAGTCGGTATCTAACAGCATCTTGAGTTATGGCCCGGGGTCTGAAGGTAGCTGGGGCCTTGGAAGGGAAGACATAGTGGCATTTTACCCACGTATGCCAAGGGGCTCCACAGGCCTCGCAGATAGGGATGTCATCTTGATCCCGGTCATCCTTGGATTTGTTCTTCTTGGCCGAGGGGCCTGCCTGATCGGACTTGCGCTTCTTATTCTGCCTTGCCCGAGAGGGCCCGGCAGGCTGACCTTCCTTATCAGGATCCTGACCCTGATCCGGGTCCTCATCGAAGGTCGGGCCAAACGCTCCATCTCTCTTGTGTCGAGGTGGTGGGTTCCTAGCCGGCTGTTGTAAGCCGCGCCGGCTGACCTCTGTGCGTAGGTTCTTGGCGACGGTCCGGATCGCTAGGGTCTTATCTTCAAGCTTATCTTGATAAATCCCCTGAAAATTCGAGACCCAGTTTGTCAGGACTGGCTCAATAGCCTGACATAGGTTGTTGAACCATACGTTTGGGTTGTCTAGGCCTCCGATCCCTCGGGTCTGGGCTTGGTGTGTAGCCTGCTCCCATTCCGTAAGCCAGTTCGGGAAGTCCTTAGAAGCCCTAGGCACAGTGGATAGGATCTTCTGGTATTTAGCTAGAGCCTCGTTTTGCTGCTCAGTCGTTGAGGCCCCAACGCTATCCCTGAGGTTGGAATACCACTGCCTTAGACCCTGTTCAGGATCGCAGGAGCTGGCAACTAAGGGCTTAGCTACTGTATCCATCACCCAATCCTTGATCTTATCAATCCAACGGTGTTGCTGTTCGAACTGTCTATAGTCTTGATCGTAGTCCTTACGATCAGACTGATAGGCAGCCCTATCTTCAGCAGTCAAATCCGTGATAGACTGGGCCCGTACGGTCGGGTCGATCGTCTCGAGGGTGTAAGTCGGGGTAGCCGTCTGAGACCACTGACTGTCAGACTGACGGGTCTGTCGGGGCAGGTCGTGCTCGATCCGCTGTGGAGGGATTCTTCGGAAATAGGTGCTGAAGGTCGGTCTGACCGGCTCTTCATAGGGCTGATCAACCCGATCCGGGTTGACCAGATGCCAGATTTTGGCTGAATTTGCCTTAGTCCGAAAGGCTCTGTCCCAATCTGCCCAATCTTCAAAGGTCCTAAGATAGATCTTTAGGACGGCAGATGCGTCATTTCTGTCGGACATTGCGATGTTTGTAAGATGGGGTAAAAATAGGTAAAATTGATCTAAAATAGGGAATAAAGGCCGTACGGATCTCAGCGCAGCTAGCTTGTTCAAGCAAATGAGACTCTTAATTGTCGGATCCGTTACGGTCAATTCGATCGATCAAATAGGGATTAATGCAGTGATGATGATGTTGATTATTGCTTGTGCCGGTCATCCGGACCGGCCGGAAGAGGGGTTATCAGAGCCCCCCCTTCTGACTAAGGTCAGGATATCAATCTATCAGAGGTTTCGTAATACAGGGTCATCTTCCAACAGCTTGTAGCGGTGAAAGCGTGAGGAATGGACCGACGCCCCCGCACCAAGACTGAGCAAGGAAGAAAAGGCATCATCAAGACTTCAATCAATAAGATCACCAGTTTCTGCTCCACAGTCTATTGTATTCACCCTGTCGTCTGTTCGAAGTACGTACCGCGTATCCAACAGAACTCAGAGCGTGGGATCATATGCAACTCAGAATATACACACATCCAATAAGACGCCTCAGACAGTCAGGGCTCGTCACAATCTGCAGGCAGACTTATCCGGGACGATAGTCGCCCCAACCTGTCCGGGGTCATCAGTCCACTGTGGATCATGATGATTTGCACTGACGTGAGGCCTGTTGCTGTGTGAAGCGGAGGGGTTTCGCGATTTTGGAATGTTGACTCTCTTGCGCTGACACACAGTCCCAGCGTACTTACTAGCTTAGCAAACTAGCCTTTTTGTTTTTGTTTTGCGAAAGGCGAGAGAAGCCCCAGCTAGTCAGAGGCAGTGTTTATTTATCTCCTGGGGGAGAAATCAGTCAAGCTCACCAAACGAAATAGCAACGCCTGGTTCACCGCTTCTTTCAAGAACGACGCCCGGCCGATGCAGTACGCCGTCGAGAACAACTGAAAAGAAGGTATATGGAAATGCTCTGCCTGGTAAGCCATCCAGACTTGACCATAGCAAAGATATTGATGGTTAAAACAGTGGGGGAACGAAGGGGAAAAAAGAAATGTTAAAGCAGACTAGCTGGATAGGCTGATAGAAGAGGAAAGCTGCTCAGAGCGCCAAATCAGATCTCTCCAGATCTATAAACCCTGAATTTGGTTGTGAAGACACGTCAGATATGTCTACGTATCTTTTGGTGTCGGTGTTTGCGTCCTTTTCTTGCCGGGCAGCCTTTCCCAGTGCGGCTGTGCTCAGTCTGCGGTTTGCCAGTGACGGGCATGCTGAGTTCAGTTGTCGATGGGAGGGAAGACTGCACACCAACAGACGGCGTGGTAGGAGTGGCCGTGCCAAGTGCGATGCTGGAGGTACTCGACGTAGCGTCGGCGGCGGAGAGTGTGCTCACGTTGGGCAACGCAGTACTAGGGGCTGCGCTGGTGGAAATCGAAGAAACGGCCGTTGAGCTGACCGCCGTTGAAGTCTCAATGGCTGAAGGGACTGATGGCAAGGTATCAAGATCGGACTCATCCAAATGGTACAGCAAGGAACCCCAGCCAAGTCCATCATAGTGGCCGGAACCCTCGCCCCATGATCCTGCTCCTCCTTCGAAGCCGCCGAAGAAACTTAATGTATTGTTGAGGTATTCAGTTGTCCATGGCGCGTCGAGGCCCTTGATTTGGACGTAATGGGCGTACAAAAGCTCCCAGTTTGGCCGAATGGCACCCCGAGATGCGGAACTGATGGTAGTGTAGCTCACGATGCCATTGGTGTAGGGTTCAAACGGGACGTCGTAGCCAAGATTGTACCGAGCGAAGTATTCTGCACAATAGACCAAATGTTAGAGATGACTTTGCCCATACGTAGAATGTGTGAAAAAATGCGAAAGAATCAGAATATAGCAATGCAACTTACCCGAGAAGAATACGACTGTTATTGTAGGCAAAAAGATCCTCGCCTTGGTTCCACGCCTGCTGGCCGATGGCCCCGAGCAGCTGGAAATTGAGAGAGGAATGGCCCTGGTCACGGCCCGACTCTTGGCCCTGGCCTAGGGGTTTACCAGTGCCCGGCTCCTCCACGATGTTCGTGATGGTGTTGCCGATCGCGCCGTTACCAACTCCATTCTTGAAGTAGTCCACCGCGAAGTCCCAGGCGGTTTGGTTGTCGGCGAGAACACCAATGGCCATGGCGGAAGCGACATTGCAGAGCTCCCAGTTGGCGAAGAAGTGCTTGACGTTGTGCTCTGAACCCAGGATGTGATTGAGGAAATCTACACTCATCGGCAGGAAGATGGTTGTCATCATAGAGGTGACGGCAGACAAACCGTTGTCGGCAAATGGTGCATAGTCCCTCAACAATTCGGCAGCATTAGCAAGCTCGTAGCCCTGTAGCCCGGCGGTGAGGTAGTCGTCGTCTCCGCCGCCGGTGAGGGCTTGTAGCTTACTCGCCCAGGCCACAAGGATGTCGGAGGCGGCTGCGGCATACGAGTCGTTCCCGGATATCTTCCAGCGCAGGGCAAGGTTGAATGCGGCAGCCGCATCGTGCCACAGGAGCTCCCCATTTTCAGCACGAGCAATACTGCTCACGGCGTTGTTCGTGTAAGAGGCACTCGAAAATTCGAGGCTAATCAGCTTGTTCCAGGAACCAATCCATGGTTCTTTCTCAGCGGCAATCTTGGTCTTCGCTCGGGCGATATCTTGATCAGTTACAAGGAGGCCAGGATGACTGAAGGCGAAAACGGTAGGCAACACCCAAAGGAATGATAAAGTATTGAAGGCCCTCATATTGGAAGTAAAACAATGCAATTACAAAAACGAGTGATGTTTATGGGACCAAAGAGAAAGGAATGTAGAATGAAGGTAGTACGAGACAAGCAAAGCAAAGACTGAGGGCCGATTTAAGGCAATTTCTGATCCCTATAAAAACCAAATCTCACAACGCTGCATGGAAATTGAGGGAAGAACAGGGATTCATATCCACACACGGGGGAACTAACTGCAGATGCTGACTCATGATACTAAGTATATCCGTACATAGGTATTAGATGAGACTCTTACCATGCCTATACCGTGTACGGATTAGAGGCCGCTGACAGCTGCATGTCGATAACTAATGAAATGACCCTCTACTATAGACGGGTTGCTAGTGTCCATCCCGATAGGTTGGAATGGTGGCGCTACGTAGGGATGGAATTGCAAGGAAACTAGCGTCTGTAGGTCGGTGTCGTGCCGTTTGAGATAGGCACTAATCAGATTGACAGGTGCAGAGGGGAGGGCGTTGGGTCATGTTGCACAGATGAGCGTTTTCGGGATGGTGATTAGTATAAGCTATTAACACTAGATCTCAATATACACATACACGTATGAGTGGGCAATTGACAGATTGTTCCGTTTACATATAGACTCTAAATCGCTTTCTATCGTTGCAGCCATGTACATGGTACTGATATGGTCAGCCATCAGACTTCAAATGCTTACCGTCAAACCGCCCCAATGCAGTGCATTTCTGCTGCCAACCAGAGTCTGTACTAAGTGGAGATTGATCCCGTTCATTTCCAAGAACCAGAGAGACGCGTGCCGACGATGCAGTACCCCCAAGCATACGTTGTGATTTTGGCGAAAGGTGTGCTTGAGCTAGCGGGAAAATTTTCAGGCCCCATTCGTGCTTCGGGTTGGCCAGCCGCGGCTGCCATGTTTGGATAGAGCAGTGATCAGCAGGTCGTCGTGGTCATCAAGGGGCCAGGGGCGTTCGACGACACGGGAGATTTGGGTCCACAAGATAAAGTTCAGTGTTCCACAATACTCAACCTCTCGGCCCGCCCTTATACGAATACCTACCGGTATGCAAGGCCGCAATTCCAGCAACCTCTCCGTGACCCCAAACTCCACAACCTTGCCAGATGCGGGAGTCGAGCTTTGCTGCGCCTTGACCCCTGTCCGCCACAACTCATCACTTCACCGACCAGAACTTGGCGAGGCAAGAAGATCAAGACCACCTCGAGTCCGTACGAGAGCGAGAGCGCGAGCACAACCATGGTCGAGGCTCGGCGAACCCGGCGGCGATAGAAGACCGCATCCTCATACCTGACGTTCGCTGAGCAGCGGCCGTGGTTAGAAAGGACTGGCTGGGAAGAGACATACGGGAAAAAGGACCGCCAGTTGCTCTGTGCGCTCACAGAAATGCCGTACTGCCGCCCGGATAGACGGCCTCATATCCTCGCCCGATGTGGTGTGGGTGGCCTAGATGAGGATCTAGTAAGCCCACCAAGCGATGAGCAGGAGATTGCCGCTATCCTCAAGCTAGTGGACGTCAGGCCCAGCTGGTCTGCAATTTGCGGTTATGTTAGGCCGGCTTTTCGGGGCTTTTTCGGAGGCTACGGAGTACGCCGAACTCGAATTTCGGCTTCCTCCCTATGCAGCAGGTGCTCCAGGTTGAGCAGGGCTGTAGCTCATGAACCCCTTGTTCAAGAAATCTAGACTTTGGCAGCTGCTACTAGCCTCTCGCAGCAACGAAGTCTACTTGCAGCCCCTGCGTTGTACCTCTACCCCTAGTTCCAAGGTCCAGGCCATTGATTTCCTCCAGCGGCTCAAGCAGTAGTGCCAGATTGCAGACTCTTGGCTGAAGAGTGGAGCTTTTTATTTGGTTGTTTTCTCTCGGTGTTTATACAACTGGGGAGGCCAGCAGCCTCTTGTTCTCAACTTAGCATTCTCGTTGACCCGTCGCTCTCGCACCACCGAGCAAATGCCCTGAAACTCCTGTATCATAATCTCTGAGACATATTTCGGCAAGTCCGGAGATTCTTCGCGTCTTGAGTGGGGCCCTGCCCGCGGGATGCCGAGCTCTTAGGTATAAAGTATAAGGGTTGGTAGCACCATTAAGACGTACTCTAATTACCCAGTCTCTAATTACCCAGTATCACATTCTATATTTCAGCACCCACCAACGCCCAGTCCCTCGCTTTCCTCCACACCTAGAAGCCCTGTCACCGCTCATAGTAAGTTGACGACGCTGACGCTCAACACTTTCGACCGGTGACGCTAATCACTAAATCAGCCATGCAACTGCAATTCGTTTCCTTCGCCACTACCCTGGCCGCATTGTTTGCCGGCGCCAATGCTGGCTGTAACCCAGTTGGGGCCGGCCAGGGCAATAACCCCCTCTCTTGCAAATCTTACCCAGGCCCGGCGGCTGTCGGTCAAAAAGTCGTGACTGGCCTACAGACACTTTCGGCCGAATTGACGAGCAACAACTCGGGGTGGAAATACACGTTTACCAACTTGGTAAACTACAAAGTGAACTTCGCAGTCCAGTACTGGGATCCCAAAGGCCGGATGAACAACTGGCAGAGCTTTTCATATGAGCTTGGCCAGTCCTGTCCTTTGAACACTGTGGGAAAGATCCAGAACATAAAGCTCACTTGTTAAGACTCTCATTAGAGTGATGGATTGCCAGCGTCCTAATCCTGGGCGAAATTAGGCAGGGGCATAAAAATTGATCTCCAATCAAAGTTTCACTTCCCTCATGAAAGCAAAATTGCCCTAGTCGCTATACTCTTACTGTAACAACTCGTTGGAACTTGTGGAGTTACCTTAGCCATAGTATATGTGCCTACTGTCGACCTGGCCGGACGAAGTGGTTCTAGGAGCATTTCCATAGGTCATTTCCTACAGAGCAGGAGTACATGCTCTGGCTTGGGGAGACGGCGTCCTTGGGTGGGAATGAGTGCATACAGGCAAATTGTGTAGCTGCGCTCGTGTTATCTGAGCTTGGATAGACTGCTTTCAAGATAGGTATGCCCTTTTACAGGGTACTGAGGTACGGTTGGATTATGCACTGGCTAAGACCTAACTTTAATATTAATACTTCGTTCTATAGGGAATATGAGGAGGTGCAGAGGGTTCTAGGTGTAGGTAGAAGTGAAGTATCGGGTAGGATTGATTGACTGTAGTAGAGTACTCTAAGGATGGATAGATTGTTCAGTAATTAAGAACATGCTAATTATCAGCTCTACCTTAGAGCGGCGTAAGATGATTACCTGATTAAGCGATAAGAACTGCAACACTTGGACTTTTTATATAATCTCTATGCCCACCACCATTGAAGTCGACAGACCAAAACGTGCCACAGTCAACCTGGTCTAATCCAACAGTTCTCCTCCACCATAGTCCTATCATCGCCACTCTTATTGTCTACTTTCCGTCTACTGAATCATGTCTTCTATCGTGGATCTCTCCGAGACTGCCAGTGCTATTGGCAGCGCCAGCCATCTGGATGATTCTGACCTTACAGTGGCCACCCCTTCGCTGGCACCATCGTCTTCGTCAACGCTTAGCATCTCCCGCCAAAAGACATCTCCTATTTGGCAGTATTGCCGAATAGAAGAAGGCAAGAGTATTGCGGCAGCCTGGGTCGATTCCAACGGAACGAAATGGTGGCATTGCCAGCCCTGCTTCGACAAGAAAAGACAGAAGAAATACAATTATTCGGGTGGATCGTCCACCATCGTCAATCATTTGCGCAAGGAGCACAATATCGTGATGTCTGGGAGGCAAGAAATCAGGCGGGAAGTGACGCAAAATCGCCTTGGAGACATTACTGCCTTCCTGACCACTGAAACTCTAGCCTCAGCCAAGAAACGCAAAGTGACGGCAGAGGCAGATGCACTTGACCAAGCCACCCTGCGCGAGCTGTACTGCCGCTACACCATCGCCTGCAGTCTCCCCTTTGCTCATGTTGAACAGCCTGCCTTTCGCGAGTTTATCCGGTACATTTGTCCGGCTGCGGATGACTTCCTCCCGAGGTCTGGTGATACGGTTAAAAACGACTTACAATGGGGCTATGACAACAAAAAGGAGTTTGTAAAGCGAGCTCTGCAAAATGCCCTTTCCTCGATCCACATTATTCCCGACAATTGGACATCGCCAAATTGTTTGGGCGTAATAGGATTCACAGTTCAATTCGTTACCGAAGATCACGGCCTGCAGTCCCTTGTGGTGAGCATAAAAGAATTGGAAGGACAGCACAGCGGCGAGAACATGGCAGAAGCCGTCATGGAGTTCATACGAGAATATGGAATCGCATCGAAAGTTGGATACTTCATGATGGATAATGCCAGCAACATGAATACCATGATCGACAAAATCTCCGACTACTTGGAACACGAGTTCGATGTTTTCTACGACCCTCTTCCACACCGACTTCGTTGTTTCGGCCACATCATTAATCTGGCCGTGATGGAGTTTCTCATAGGAAAACGACCACCGACGACAAATTCCTATCGTGGGCCGTCCGACGAGGAAGTTGAGCAATGGAGAAAGCGAGGGACGATAGGAAAACTTCATAATATCGTGATCTACATCATGTGGACGCCCCAGCGGCTTCAAACGTTTACTGCTCTCAGCGACGGTCTGGGGTTACGGCGCGACAACGACACTCGTTGGAATTCGTGGTACAAAATGGTTGAGTGGGCACTCAGGCCTAAAGTTCGGCAAGCCATCACCATATTTTGTGCGCAAGAGCCGGCCCTGCAAGGGGATGTGCTGACTTCCTCTGACTGGGTAACTTTGGCCGAGACTCACAAATTTCTTGAGCCATTTCACGATGCTACAATAGCCAACGAAGGCATGGGAGACTCCATATCTGACGTTCTGTCTACCATGGATTATCTCCTGCATCACATCGAGGCCGCCAAGAAGGCCACCACCCTACCCCACTTGGCTACAATGATGGAGACTGCCTGGGCCAAACTGGCCGACTACTATGAATTGACGGAAGATTCGCCGGTCTATTCAGCAGCGACGGTGTTAAGTCCTTCTCTCAAGTGGGCATACATGGAGAAGGCTTGGGAGGACAAGAATGAGTGGATTGAGAAAGCTAAAGCTCGTGTGGGGGAACTGTGGAGGGAGACATACAAGTCAACCACCTCCTCCTGCCCTGTTTTTCGACCAAGCTCGGCACAAGGGCCATCTACAGGAAGACCAAATGGGTACAAAATGTGGATGAAAGTGCAAAAGGCTACGATTTTCAACATGGATGATGATGAGTACGAAGTGTACTGCCGCGAGCCTGTGCTGATGGTACCGGATCCGTTGAAATGGTGGCTAGAATCGGCCTAGCGAAGGCGATTCCCTAACTTATCCTTGATGGCCATCGACATTCTGTCGATTGCGCCTATGTCTACTGAGACAGAGCGACTCTTCTCCAAAGCCAAACTTACGGTAACTGACCAGCGAGGAACTATGAATATTGAAACTTTGAATCTCTTGGAATGTTTGCGATCCTGGGACAGGAGCGCTCTGATAGTCCCTTCAGAAGTAAGCATTCCGCTTTGTGAGGTGTTCGATTGTCTAATTATGGACTCTAGTGTTGCTATGTCGATCCGGCAGCCACGGGTGCTATCTCCGATGCTGATGATTCAGAACGTGAAAAGGAGGGTGGCCGAGGAGACATTTCGACGATGGCATTGAGGGGCTTGGATATAACACACGAAGGAGGATAAGTGGGGGCCACCGAGTGCTTGATTCTATGTAGAAGAGTATAGGAAGTTCATTCTTTATATCATAATAGCTTCCGTATAGCGACGGAGTTGTGTTGTGTGGTTACGGAGGTACTCCGTTGCCTTGGACCACTATCATCGTGATGCCTTCAACATTGGAGGCAGGCAGGGAGAAGGGCCACAAGTCACGTGTCTGGACTATTAGTCTAGACCGCAGTTTGCACTGCAGTCTGGTCTGACGGTGACGGACGGACCGATAGTTCAGTCTGCACATCTCGGTCAGACTGCCAGTCCAGTCTGCACATCTCAGTCAGACTGCTAGTCCAGTCCGACCAAAGTCAGACGGACTGCTAGTTTAGTCTAGCCAAGTCAAACGGACTAAATGGCCAGTCTGAGGCGTCCAGACGGACTGATTGCACTATTAGGAGCGCTGGTTTGGATGTTGACAAATATTTCTTCCGAGCATGGAATAGGTGGTTTGGCAGAACAGAATGACAGGTTGTTATCAGATGAAAAACAAATACATTGACTGTCTGATCTCCTGAACTCAGTCCAGGCGATATTGGCTAATTACATGCGCTACACATGGTAAGGAATGATTCTTTAGCCCCAAAACTTCCAAAACTTCAAAAACCAAAGGAGATGTTGCTCATGGTTGGCAAACGCTGTATCCCTTCTAGACGTGGCATCATCACTGGAACAAGCCCTTTTGCTCCTCTTTTCTTGCAAAGTGCGCACTACCCACTCTTCCACATTCTCCAGAGCGCAGCTGGGAGAGTCCCTATACCGTATGAGGAAGGACAAGATCTCGGCCGGGCTGAACTCTCGCTCGGGCACCTTGACGGCAAATTCATCCGCAAGTCGTTCAAGCACCAATTGATCTTCAGTCCGCCACTCCCTGGTTGGTCCAACTTCGTCTGGCTGCTTAAACACGAAGTGGTATATTTGAGCGGCCAAGTCCCTGTCAACAAGTTGGAATTTGGCCTGCGTGTCAATACGCCCGGGTCGGATGAGCGCGCCATCTAATTTCTCGATATGGTTCGTTGTCATGACGAGCAGCCGACCCTCTTGGGATGCCACACCGTCGATAGCATTGAGCAGCCCTGACAGCGTCACTGACTTCGTGTCCACGGATTTTCCCCTTTCGCGGGGATTCTCACCACCAGCATCACGAGAATGTGCCGTACCGGCGGCATCAATGTCCTCTAGCAAGACGACGCATTGTGGAGGGAGCTGGGCGAACAGGTCCTCGAGCGATCGGTCACTGACGGTCGATACGCTAACGGCGTAGATATCTAGACCAAAGCGGCCAGCCACGGACAAGCTCAAGCTAGACTTTCCAGTCCCAGGAGGACCGTGCAACAGGTATCCTCGTCGATAAGGCATGGATCGCATAGAGTACCATCGTCGAGTTCGTAGATTAAGGAAATCCTCAACGTCTTTGATGAATGATTGCTTTTGCGCGTCACCTAGGATGACGGTCGACAGCGGTCTGGCGTCTACCGCTGTCGCTCGCTCCCAGCGATCGTTACGGTGTTTAAAAACAGCCGTCTTGTTCTTGATGAGATGGAGATATTCATCTCGACACTTGTTCAAGAAATTCTTCAATGTCTTGGAAGATCGGCCCAGACAGGTGATGGAGATTTCTTCCTCCTTATGAAAGCCGACATCCCTCAGCGAGGTCCGATATGAGAGGAAGGTGTTCTTGTAACGGAAGATGAAGCTGCCATGCCAAGGCGAGAAGCTGAGCGCTTTCTTGGCCTCGCCTGTATGACCTTCCTGGCCTCTTTGCTTCTTGACTCGTGCAATAGAGGTCCGAGCGGCGTTATCAAGACTTCGAGAGGAGATCCACTCCAGAACCATGTTGTACGCTTCGTCAGAGCGCTGCACGTACACTGTGGATGCTTGCGACATGTTAGGAGGAGCCTCTGTGAGTTGAAGTAGAATCACTTACTGAAATGATCTTCGAGAAAGGCATTCAACTTATGGGTGTAAGTGCCGAAGAAGGCAAGCAACCCAAAAAGGCATATCAGGTGAGCATAGCTGTTAAGGCCTCCGGCTAGAAGCTGTTGAATGGTGCCTGAAGCGTGGGAGAACCCCGGGAAGAAGATTTCCAAGATGGACATTTTTTTCCAGGGTATGGGGTCCAGGCAATATAGGTGGCAGTTGAAGTGGCGCACTTTCCGAATTTGAGGAGTACGTGAAACGTTGCTCGCAAAGTATAGAGTACCTGGTGCCTTGAGATTGGGTAATGCCCGGCGGCCAATGCAAGGCCGATGCTTGCATCACTTGCTTTCGTACTAGACAATTCATCGGGTTGATAGATGGCATAGGACTCAGCACGAGCATTCCAAACTGGCCACCTGCCGCCGGCGGCCTGTTTTCAGGTGCCGTTGCTTGAGGGCTGAGCGTGACAAGCGCAGGCTCGCACAGGACGACGGATTTGGCGCTTTGTAATTGACTAATCGGAGAGAATTGCTCCGCCGAGCTCGCGAACGGCCTGATTACTTCTGGGATTGTGTTTAGATGCGGAACTGGGATTCGGTGGTTTTTGCCGTGGGAATGATGGCCCTCGACGGCGACAAGCTCCTTTGTGCTCGAACTGCTTATTGATATGACGTCGTCGAATCCCTCAGGCTGATTTTTGCCCGATGTTATTAGACGTAATTCAGGGTCTTGATTCGCCTCATTTACATCTTGCGATATAGGATTTTGCTCATTGACGGGGATTGGTATCCTAGGTGGCCATGTTGTTGGTGCTTCGGTTTCTTTGGAAGAGGGGTTATAACTGTTGTAAGCCAGTGCAGAACTCAAAGAAGGGATCTGCCTGCTCAGCTTCCCTGTACGTCCGGAGATCAGTCTGTCAGCAAATGTCTCAGGCAGTGTATTGAAGTTCTCTGAAAAAGACACCGTCAATATTGAAATCGGTCGCAGCCTCCACAGACGTTGTTTCAGCGCGGTTTCGAAGGAAGTCCGCACAGACTTGCACTGTGGTACGAGGGAGGAGTCGGAACCTTCAACATCAAGCACTCCATCCTAGCCAACGCCATTGCCGCCGCTTTCCGTGTTGCCGGAGGTGTCACAGTCGGTTAGACTCAAAGAGATGCAAAGGTGGTCATCAGCAGTAACTAAGCAGTATCCGTACCGCTAAATACCGGTACAGTGGTGGCATTCCCGGGCTGCCCTGACTCGCTCCATCGGCTAGCTGCCAAAGCCAAGGTACATAGAATGACCCAAAGATCGCGGTATCGGTGTAAGCAGTGTGATGTGCCTCTTTGTAGATGGGGAAATTCCTAGGACTTCTATCACCATAGAAAATAGGTGGAGACGGAGGTACCTTTCATTTGCTTTACTCTCGTTGGCTGGACCCCAAGCAAGCCAGATGTTTTCCTTTCGACAGCCTAAGGGATGGTCCGCAACATTTCGTCATACTTACCCAACACCCTGCTCTTCGTCGGCCCGTGATACGATCCCCGCTCGTAATATTGGTCGGTGGCAGAAGCACTATTAGATCCCCTTTGACGGCAATAAACCAAAAAATGAAGAGCTTCTCATTGCACCTGGATCATCTTTACGTCTGCCTTTGCGACAACATAGACACTGAATGAGCCAACCCCGTCTTTCCTCCAAGAAGCAACCTCATGCAGAATGAGTGAACCAACGACTGCCACTGGGATTGGGCTTAGAGACATCGCCAGCTTACTAGAAGGACTGAAGATTGCTGACCAGACAGATGGGATTCCTCCCCGGCTCCATAACCGCACAAGCCGAACTCAGTCGACTCTCGCAGAAACGATCGATGACCTCATCCAGGATGTCACAGCCACTGTCCTGCACGCACAACAGATCAAGACATTAATTGATAGTACTGATATTGTCAGCAGCGGGGCTATTCCGGAAATTTGCTCGCTCCGCAGAAGAGCCAATGGACTTGCAAATGCAGCCGATACCCTTAGCGATGTGACAGAACGATTCATGGTCACCTATGTCACCTCGCTTGGAGGTCAGCATGGATCTCAGCACGGAACTCTTATAGAAAGGCATTTATCCCATTTTGACGAGCGGATAATGGCCGTTGCCCGAGATATCCTCAGCATCTCTGACAATGACGCTTGTGTCTTATGGAAGCTTGCGGAGGAGTGTTACAATCAATCCATGAGCACTTCCGGTAAGCTGCACTCGGATGACTACTTCATCCCACTAGAGGAGGCATGCCTTGCATGGCCATATGACCCGGATTTCGAGAGCGAGGAGTACTACGATCACCTTAATCGTCTGGATATCGACGAAGGCTATGTCGAAAGTTGGCACAGAACGCCCCTGGCTGAGGGCTGCGACTTATCTGTCTAATCCACCACGATGAGGAATGCCATCATCAAAGACAAGGCCGACAAGGAGCGCCAGCGATTCATCGATTTCATCGATACTGACGCCATTTGCCGCCTTGCATCGTCATACCACGCAGGCCTTCCTTGCAAGACGTTCGGGTCCCCGAAACATGGCTCCTTTAACGTCTGCGTCTTTGTCGAGTTTGATACATCCCCCCCGGAGAGATGGGCTGTCCGAATTCCCCTCCCGGCACGCGCCGCCTGGATTGACGAGAAGATTGAGACTGAGCTGGCTACTATGAGGTAAGCCGGCCTCTATGCTTTTGAATAATATGAAGTAGGTACCGTTCGTCTGACCTAAGTCGTGCCATGGATAGATATGTCACTGCTAAAACCACCATTCCCGTGCCCCGCGTGCACGCCTACTCCTTCACTGAAGGCAGTCCAATCCAGACGGCCTTCATCATCATGGACTACATTCAAGGGCAGACTCTCAAGGACCTTGGCTTCAAGAAGGGGAAGCAGTGGCGTAGCTACACCCGCCCAACTGAGGCAACAAGTAAGCTTCACGAGCAGCTTGCCGACGTCTATATCCAGCTCCGTCAGCTCGAATTCCCCAAAATTGGCGCCCTTGGCCTCCCCGTCGTGGATGGGAAGCCGTCGTACGCGTGCGACCCTGACGATATCCGCGTGTGCCATCGGCCTATGTCGATTGAGATTACGATGCAGGAGCTCGAGGGAATGGATCCCGGCGCCAGGATCAAGCCGAGGACCACCTTCTCGACAGCCAGGAGCTTCGTAGACGCTCTGTTCTGGCTGGCCGAGAACGAATTCGACAAATCCCCCGACATAGGACTCGACACCCGTGGGGGACGGAATACCCTCTACGCCAGACACCACTTCCGCCTTTTTGTCCTTGATACTTGGCTCGACTCCGCCGCTGACAAGGGACCCTTTGTCCTGATTTGGGACATGAACATGCTGATGAGTAACTTGCTCTTTGATGAGGAGCTCACCCTCGTTGGCGTCCTGGACTGGGAATGGAGCTGGGTTATTCCGGCACAGATGCTGGTCCCGCCCGTCTGGCTGACCGGCGGCAGCCCCGAATGGATGCTCCTCAACAAAAGTTCATTCTACACTGAGGTCGGCCGCCTTGTCGCCACCATCAGAAACCGCGAGCAAGCCCTCCAGGTCCCGCCACGACTCTCCCGAGAATGGGCCAAGATGGGGACGTGGTGCCACACGGCCGTAGTGATAGCCCTGCTGAGCCCAGACCTGACGCACGACGTCTACTGGCATTTCTTGTTCGATGAAATCGAAGAGGCGATGCCGCCGGATTCCGACTTTAGGGAGTTCTACTTGACGCCCATCGCCCCGCGTCTGACAGCCTTCATCGAACCACCCGAGCGGAAGGCTCTGCTCGCCCGCAAGGAGGAGGAGCAGAGGCGCTTCTTTGAGGACGAGAAGGAACACTTTAATAACCCATACGCACGACAGATAATAGAAGAAGGTTGCTAGATGGCGCAAATAGATCCATTGTCGCATTGATGATGTTGCATTGATGAGATGAGGATCTGAGGATAAAAGCGAGAGTGCTGACGAATGGTATGTTGCGTTAGCAGGGATGCATATGGCCCAGCTACTCTTCCAACACAACGATCTTGTCCCTTCAGAAGACGACTGCCGAAACAAATTTGTTGCCCGCCAACTATTTCATACACTGGCGAAACAAGGTCGACTATCAACTTTTGGGTTCGTGGAGGATAACTGGTCCGCCCAGTCCAACACCCTACCTTCAAATTCCTCAGCCCCAAATGGGTCAGACTCTTTTCGGCTTTGCTGCGATGACTTTAGGCCGGCTAATATTCTTCTGAATCAAGATGACAACATACTTGCGATTATCGACTGGGAGTTCACATAAGTTGGGCCCACGCAATTCGTGCTCGATCCCCCTTGGTGGCTACTTCTGGAGGTTCCTGAGATGTGGCCTTCTGGAATCGACGATTGGGCGAGTGTTTACGATATGCGGCTGGAGACTTGGCTATCAGCTATGGAGGACGCGGAGGAAAGCATAGAGCCTGATTCACTACCATTCAAACTATCCACGTATATGCGTGAGAGCTGGGAAAATGGCCGATTCTGGCTCAACTATGCTGCGAGAAAGAGTTGGGCCTTTGATACAGTCTTTTGGAAATACTTGGACGAAAGATTCTTCGGTACTCGGGAAAGGAATGTTCCAGAGCACGAGCTATGGAAGACAAGAATAGATCTTCTGGGAGAGGGAGAAAGAAGAGCTATGGAGCCATTTGTGAAGAGAAAGATGGAGGAGTCGAAAGAACGGATCCTAATGGACTGGAATCCAGCGGAGGCAAAGAAACTCGTGACTGAGATATTGCTCAATTAACTCTGCCAAGATGGAAATTTTGATTTTATTGCTCCTTTATTAGCGCCTAGAGTAAACTCGTCAAACCAGTAGACCCTACTCTACCAATTATTACCTGTATAGATGGTGCCACCCTCGCGATGAAGAGCCGTCCTTCTGTGCGTGGCGACAGCATCTCAGTATCCTTCCTCAGGTACATGGCTACCGAGTGGCCTTTGGCGGCTGCCCTGGCCATGTGCTCCTTGTATCGCAGTTGCGTGTCCATCACGACTCCCAGAATCCCGGCGCTTTGCTCTGGCTCGACTTCCTTTCCCTTCGTTATGAAAGGCGCATGTGTGGCTCGCTCTACGTTGCGTGTGAAGCGTGTGATGGCCGTCTTGTCGCCTTCGAATATCGCTCCGCTTCGTCTTTCCCATTCCAGTCCTTGATTGATGATGGACTGGATGCCTTCCCTGTTTACCTTCACCGTTGGTCCCGTCGCCAAGGCTGAGTAATCGTTAGCGAAGGCGCATGAATCACTTTCAATTGATGTTGCTCTGCATGACGTCTGTGTTAAAGGACAGGAAGAGAACTAGTCTGACCGTCCTCACAAGACGCCTTTGAGCTCGTCATCCGACCGGCCTCCCAACGTGTGTAAAGGAAAGAACTGAGACTCTGTGTCTGTCTCTAGCTCCGATTGTTGCAGTTACCGTTTAAATATGGAAAGCCAGGCCTCTGTGTCATTGCCTCGTATAAAAGAAAGCATGTTCATCTTGACCTTAAAGTCCTTCAGCCCGCGAGAACAGCGCCCATCACCGGTTATCTAGAATGGTTTCGACCCTCTCAAACTGAGATATTCAGTGGATTATGATCTACCCATTCCACTCGAGCAGCCAGTGGATTGAGTGGAGTGGCTTTCAACCCTGCGGAAAATACACACCCCTACACAGGTTGATGTGAACATAAAGGCAAGTTCTGAGATTACAAGGTACAGACCTCTTTCTGACGATTCTAGTGAATATCCATCCGCAGAAGTACTCAGGACTGATTTAAGCCCCATACAACCCAAATGGTACAGAGGGTCCCTCGCTGCTATTGTGCTGGATTTTAATAACAGTTGTCAAACAGGACTTCCCCCAATTACACATTTGAGGTCGATGATTTTGAATCAGAATGGCTATATCGCACGCCATTTGACTTCATCCATGCCCGGGAATTGGAAGGATGTATCACCAACGACGATAAGCTATTCCAACGCGCCTTCCAGCACTTAGTCCCTGGCGGATACATCGAATTGTAGACTCGCCCACTGAATCTACTCTTGGAGCCTCCGTACTCTGCACGCGTGCGATTGCCTCGTGAGGTCCCGCGTGGCTTCTGACCACGCGTCATATTGGCGAAGAATTCGTATTGTTCGGTCCTGTGAAAGAAGAAAAAGTGTCGCGAACTTTGGCTCAAGCTGAGACTGTCAGCACCGGGCTCTCCAAGTGACAACGGCGCGTACCTGGTGTTCAGAGGTCATGACGGTGGTGGTGTCCGCTGGCTAGGGTGAGCGGTGGGTGGTTGGTCGTTGCTTGTCGAGGGTCGCTCGGTCGGGTGACGGGCTGGTCTGGCAAGGTCAAGGCGAGCGAGGATCAATGGATGAGGACGAGGAAGCTGGTGATGTTCCATTAGCTAAGTTACAGGAAAATCCTATCCCCCGCTATCCAGCATGGCGTAGCTTCAAGGCGCGGTGTATTCAAGTGGCACCCCCCAATTTGACCCAGCGATTGTGTATGTTATCTCGAGGCAGGGAGACAATTGTTCTAGTCTGCCGCGTCCTGCAGCCACAGGAGTCACATCAACTGCAGTCGCAATTGGACTCGCACAATATGGAGTCTCAAAATGCGACTGCTGCGCCTCAGAATTTTCTTCTTGAACCGAAGGAGAAAGTTTCCCAGCCGGAGGAAGGGAAATGAAATATGAATATACTTCTGAGAGTTCCGTGTACGAATCTTCAGACTGGGTATCGATCCATCGTCGCCGATGCGCAAATGGCCCCATTGTGAGCCCTCTCTAGCCGATGACAGCTCGGGCGCCTTTCTTGCCCAACACACCCCTCTTCTTAGGTTTCGGGCTGTTGTCCCGCCCTTTCTTGTTGTTCAGGAATCCAAACATGCCGCCTGAGCCCTCATTCTCGCCCTCAGCGGCATTATTGGCATCCGTCGGTAGGGTCGCATCCTGGCGTGCCAACTCTGACCAGCTACCACCTCCATCGACGGTCACCTGAACGCCCCCAGTGGGACTTGTGACTCGTTGGCCCGCGATAATGGGGTGGTGGCGGTTTGGGGAGTCGTGCTGGTACCGGGGGGGAGGGGCCGGCATGGGGGTAGTCTCATCAGTCGTGATGGCCTGAAGAGCGTTGTCCGGGTCGGGTTGCGCCTCATCATCAAGGCCTTGGGCGGCTTCAGTGACCCTGTTGGAGTTAGCATAGGGGCTATAGGTTAAAAGGATGCGCCACCTCACTTCTTGTATGCAGCCACAGTGTAGCCAAACGGCCGAAAGTCGGTCTCAATCATCCGATATAGCTCATCCTCGCGAATCTCCTTATCGGTCGCATCCTCTTTTAACCGCTCTCTCGGCTTCTGGCGTCTTGCTCGGGCCTCGAGCGGCGCTTCCTCGAAGAGTAGTTCTTCCACATCGTAGGTGGCGTCGAAGTTGGTTTTGTGGGAGGAGGGAACAAAGATGGGCTCGATCCGCTTCTGCTCGAGGAGCTCAAAGTCGAAGACCTTGAAGCATTCGTGATTGGCGAAACTGTCCCATGTCGAACCTATGCGAGTGTCTCGGTTGGGGTCGAGGGCGGAGCCGATCGCATGGAGGCAGGCGAGCGACACGGGGGGCTGGGTGACCGGGTACTTGGGGTTGGCGGTCTGGATTTGCGAGCTGACGGAGCCTTTGGCGCCACCGTCAAAGGGTCGCTTTCATCGAGTCAGCCCTGCTTATCTAGCACACAGAGGGGGCCGAGAGCGATATCGTCTGCTCAGAGAGAAGCGTGCGGCCATTGAGGCATACCTTGTTGTAGATACACTCGTAGAACAGAACACCCAGTGACCACCAATCCGCGCGGACATCGTATCCCTTTCCAGCATATACTTCGGGGGCAAGATAGGCCAGAGTACCGGACTTGCTCGTCAGGGTCCAGCCAGCGACGATGTCTGACGCAACATTCTAGCTCATGGTTACCAAATGCACACCTCCGGGGCATAGACGGCAGGAACGTACAAAATCGGTCAAGTGGACGTGGCCGTCAGCGTCGAGAAGGACGTTGTCGGGCTTGATATCTCTGTGGATGATGTTCCGGTTGTGGATATACCTCAGGGCGCAACCCAGCTCGGCGATCCAGAAGCCAACCGCCTCCTCAGTGAAGGTCTTTCTGGAGATGTGGAACCGCAAATCACCGCCAATCATCAAGTCGACCACAAGGTACCTGTCGCTGCGTGTAAGCCACAAGCATGGCACTCCTCAGCATGGGATTGGTGGGGTCGTACATGTACTCGATATCCTGGAAGCTGTATCTCAAGTTGCAAATGAAGGGGTGGTTGACATATTCGAGCATCCGCCGCTCGCGGATGATGTTTCGTACGCTCTCGGATCGTACGACTGCAGTGGCTGTGGAAGAGCGGAATTCTCGAGTCGGCTTCATGGCTTTTAACAACCTAACGTTTTGTTCTCGCATGCCGACAGAAGTATGAATAACCGTGAGCAAATAAAAAAGAGTATAGACCCTCAACATAGCCAGATGAAACCCGAACTGCCTAGCAGAAGATACATCAACCACGTTTCGACACGAAGATTGACTGCTAGCGACGCAGAGCAGAAAGTAGCTGCCTCTTCCTTTTCCGCATCCTCTACCCAACTGACATTCCGATTAGACGACACGACCATCTCGTGGCTGTGTTCTGCATCCACAGAGCCTCTAAATCTGACCGTGAAATTTCCGTATTGATATTCATCGGGCTCCTCTCGTGCGGTGTTGAAAGGAAATCCGCTCTTAATTGCATAGGGCTGAAATGCGCCGATGAAGCTGCCATCCCAGCTAAAATCGGCGGAATCGGGGTTAAACGTGCCACGCAAGAGGGTCGATCCATCGTTCTGGGCCGTGAATGGGTAGGTACGGGAGTCGTTGCAAGCACTCAGGGGGACGGAAAACTGGCTAGGGTCTTCGAAGGTTCGCGGTTCAATGCCGTACTGACAGGTGAAACTGTAGCCAGAATCGGTGTTTGTGATGTTGCCCACCTCACAGGTTGGTAGGTTGGACCTCGTAACATTCGCTGACGGAAGTCTTCCGATCTCGAGCTCTCTGAACATCGCGAGAGACTCTAATGAGAGTTTGACAATTGGAGGAAGATACGAGGGGTAGTATCGAGGGCCAAGTAGATCAGCCTGCGTAGCAGTGGTGGGCCAGCCGTAGAGGATGAAGATAAAGGGATTTTCCGCAAGCATGCTAACATCGGAGGTCTCTGCCCCTGAGTACGATGGTTCCAGTATCGACAAGACGCCGTTCATGGTCTCATTAACCGCGGCGGACTGGCTGCTGCACGATGTGTTGGAAGAGTCGATAGTAAGGGAGACGTCCTAGTTGCGAGTATGTTAGCACCGGATGACAAGTGGATAGCTGTCTCAACCATCAATATCTTACAATAGTTCCATTGTAGTATGTCCCGACCCAACGGTGCAGCCACAAAGGGCTAGTGTATCTTGCTTCCCTTCGGCATGTTTCGTTGGCGGCGCTGCCGTTACCATCATCTCCTCCTCCATCACCGCCGCCGGAGGACGAGTTATCACCACCACTTCCTCCATCACCAGAACCACCACTAAAACCCCCGCCGCGCCTTGCCAAGACACTAAAATCGGCAATCACAAGGAGAAGACAGAGGAGATGGAAGCTCCAGCTCGTGAAGGGACTCATCCTAGATATTCCTCGCCCTGGAGGGCTGTCTATGACGGGAAGGTTGTCAAAAGCCAGAGAACATGGGAAACCGCCTTTTCTTCCACAATTGCTGGTCTTCCTGCTAATATACAGCCCGAGTCTAGCATGCCTCGGCGAACTGGGCACAAGCGTGTGTCAAGGGCAATTAGCCAGACGCCAGGGCCCATTATAGCTAAGCTCAAAAGTTAAGCTTAACAGGATATTGGACAAAACTGGTCTTCGTAAATCAGAGTGGGGCAGACCCTTGTCGACAGAATGGTTGCGTTTCGGAGTTGTTGCCTTAATTGGGGTCAAAACCCCTGCTTGCTTACACCTTTGAGGGGCAATTCAACTCCGACCCGGCGGATCAGGGATATATATATTTAGCCCAATTTAAGTCTTCATCATCAAGCATGGTAGTTATCGAAGTTGGAGTTGAAATGCTGTCCGTCATTTAGTATGTAGACACTTTTGCTATGTTAGATGAGACGAATCTAGACGCCTGCCATCCTAGCATGTGCATGTGACCTGTCGCCGCTTTTGCTCAGGCATGCTCAGGCGTGCTTAGGCCTTGCTCACCCTTGCTCACCCTGACCATCCACCAGAGGGGCTGTGCCGCAGACTGAGCTGCTTCAACTCTAACCGAGGTGGCCCAAAATGAGTCCCAGGGTGGCCTAGAATGATGCCCCTGTCCAACAACTTCAATGGCAGCTCGGCGCTGCCGTGCTTGTCTCTGCCTGCATGGTCCTCCCTTCCCTATTCTCTCGGGCACATATGAATCGATGAAACGGTGTGTTACGGCTTGGTTCACCGAATGGCGATAGGCTTAAAAGAGCAGCTAATGTGCCCAGTAATTGCAATCAATGCGATTATTGACCCGTTACAGTGTGCTAGGCGAACTCTATCACCGCTTTGACGGTGCAGATGTTTACGGGGGCATTTTTATGCATGTGAAGAACTCTGGAAGACGTCTTCCTCGGTTTTATAGCGGCCCTGAACGCTCTTATACCCGATGAACATGAAGCCTGCATAAGCCTCACTAAAAGTTGAGTTGACGTTGGCTCCTTTACGGGGTTCAATGTATGCGAAAGGTCATATCGAAATATGGGGGTTAGGGATGACGGGTGAGTTCCGAAAACAAAATTTGCTCGGAACAGAGCAAAAATGATATGGACAATAGAACAAGAAAAATGCAATCGAATGAGACTAGTCCCATATTTTTCCCTATCCTGTGGAATAAGTTATCGTGGTTTGGAATATTTAATGGATTGAAGTTTGACAAGTTGGTCGCTGACATAAGAAAAGTCTTGGCTCACGTTTAATTCAAAAGAGTATAACGTGCATGATAAGCAGAAGCGAGTGCCGCAAACAAGCGAGTGCCGCACTTTTTACCACCCATATTATAGATTCTTTAATTAAAACACAACAAAGCATTTAATCAATTAAATTCAATTGCTATACTCTTGCCCAGACGTCTCAATAACAACCTGACACGTTCTTGCATTATGACCGGTCTTTCCGCAAGTTCTACAGTGCCTTTCCTTCAGTCGTGCTGACCCTCCTTGACCACTACTTCTCGACGATTCGGCCTGTACCTGCGTATCAACATCCATCTGGTCAATTACATCCCTTCCCTCACCTACAGTCATCTTCCCTTTATTCTGTAGGCGGGTTCGTTTTGCTCTGCGCCGCTTACTAAGGGCCTCATTTGACTGTCGAAGGACCTGGATCTCAGACTTTAATAATGCCATCTCATGCATCATTGCCTTTGTTCCTTTAGAAAATGACTTAAGCGCTTCTAGAATAGAGGCTGGAGAGCTGCTTTGATGCCTTCTGATTTGTCTTTCAAGGTATTCAGACTGAGAGCTAGCCTCAAGGACTGTCTTTGGGGTCTTAGAGACCCAAGAGTTCGGGAGGCTAGCCTCCTCCTCAACGGGTGTTGGAGTCCGTAGCTTTACATCAAGCTTTAATATAACACTTTCCGGGTCTAATGGAACAAGCCCAGCTCCTCTAAAACCCCCCTTGATATTTCTCTCTATCATAGCAGCTTGGTAGGCGGCGTAAAAGGCTAGGAAGAACTCAGTCTTAGAAATGTGGGTAATAGAGCATCTGATCAGATGCTCAATTTCTCAACCATAGGCCTTTTTGAGCGACCCAAAGCAACTGACGTCAAGAGGCTGGAGCAGATGAGACGAATGAGGCGGCATACAGAGCGTGATGATCTTGTTTTCCTTGCAATATGTCTCAAAGTCAACTGAGTAGTGACTTTTATGGCCATCGAGTATCAGAAGACGATAGCGACCATTTGATCAGGTCTCTGTATGCCGGTTAAAATGCTTCAGCCACTCAAGACCCGTCTTATTATCGGTCCAGCCATTTTGAGTCGTGGTGATAGCCCAATCGCCCGGTAGGTTGCTTTTCTGGTACCAGCTAGCGAGGTGATATTGGCCTGCAACCACAATGAACGGCTGGATCGCCCAGCCTTCCGCATTGATCGCCTGGATGACTGTAACCCATTCCCGGTTCCCAGGCTGGACTGATTTCGGGTTTCCACGCCTATCTGCGCCTGTGACGACCATTCCACTTGCGATCATACCCATCATAAAGCCAGTCTCATCAAAGTTGTAGATATCAGCAAGGGTGATACCATATTTCACGATTGTGTTCGCTACGAGCGTAAACCAATCGCGAATGATCGTCGGATCTTCGCATTTAGCCCTCTGATAGTCGTATTACGAAAAAAACGCGTCTTGAGCTCTGGGTGTCGCTTGACGAAGTTGGAAGCCCAGCGCTTGCCAACAGGTGACGCGTCGCGGTCGGCGAGCAGTCGATTGGCCATTTCTTTAACACCACGCAGTCGCGGGGGGAATCCTTGCGAATCTAGGTCGAAGATAAACTGAATAATAATCTGTTCCTCTAGATCAGATAGTCTCCGTGAGTTGGCGATGGTATCGCGTCGAGATTGAATGCCATTATGCCGGCGATGTAGCCTCTGCTCTTTGACTCCATAGATGCTAGAAGCCCGCCGGATACTTAGATTTGGGTCATTTTGGAGGGCTTGAAGGGCAAGAAGGGTATTTGCCTCAGTATTTGATGGCGACATGCTTAGTGGTGAAGATTCAATTAAGTGAAAAGTTAGGTGTAGGAGGGAAAAGTGCGCCGCTCGCTTGTCTGCGCCGCTCGCTTATCAAGTACGTTAGTTGTTTAATAAAAGTATACTTTAAATAATTAAATTTAGGCTATTGGTTGTTATTTTATTAATATATAAAGTTAAAGACTAGTTTTCTTAACTGTATAAGTGGGCCGGTCGGAATGGGGGTCGGTCGGAATCTGGGGTAGCCGACTTACGTCTTATCACCACTTCTAGCTCAATCCCCAAGCACCCGCCAGCTAACCGCGCTCCACCTCCTGAACTACCCCGTATTCAAGGACGGCGTTCAGAAGGCCGACGAGTACGGCCAAAAGTCTATTCAGCTCGGCAACTCTGCCTATAAGACCTTCGCCGCCCCCGTCCTGCCCTTGTTCGCTAAGCCCATCGAGTACGTCTCGCCCTACGTCCAAAAGGCCGATGAGCTCGGCGACAAGACCCTCAATCGCATCGACGAGCGTTTCCCCATAGTCAAGAAGCCCACCAGCGAACTCTACAACGAAACCAAGGGTCTCATCCTGCTGCCATACACCAAGGGCCTCGAGGGCAAGGACCATGTTCTCCAGGTCTACTCCACGGTATCCTAAACTGCGCCGCCTATGGTTGTCTCTCTGCGACCAAGGTACGGGTGCTGAACCGCCCCTTTCGTATAATAGCGCATCAGTCTCCTGGTTCCCAGGTCCTCCTTGACCGATAGATGTCTTAGCTGAATCTATGCTGCTGCCGTCATCCGAGTCTTCTGGAGCAGTAAGGCTGCCCTTGCTTATGGCCCAGCCTATCGAAACAGTATAGGCAGCGAAGACGGCGATCAAAATGGCGCCGCAGGCCAGCCAGATAGTCCTATAGGAAAAATATAACTATGATATTAACTTCTGAACTTTGAAGAACGCAGCATATCAATGAATAGCGTTAGAAGCGGGATCAACCCACTGGCAAGAATTACCCAGCGACCGACCACGTGACCAAGACGGTTACCTTTTGGCATCAAGCAGACGCAAGTTCTAAGGCTTGCTCTTGTGACGAGCATCCATAGATCGCATAACTTCATGATTGACTGTGACACAGCTCTTGAGATATTCAACACGCAGCCTTGTATTATTAGGTAGTTATTTCCTTCCCGGGTATCTGACAAAACAAGTAGAACGAAAGCAGAGCGAGCATGCAAATAGCAGCATGATTTGTTTTGGATGGTTTTTGTGTTTTCGTTGCCGAAATGGTTTTTTTTTTCGTGTGCATTGTTGCAAAGCAAAAAAAAAAAGGAAAAAAGTGTGGAAATTGGTATCAGCGAAGCGGTCTTGACAGGGTATCTCGGTATCTTGTGAAGAAATGCAGAACCATCCTTCCATTCCAAACCCTTTCATGCGTGTAGTGTTGTCTCGATTTTCGTAGCAGATCAACTACCGCAAGCCATCTAGGTGGCGGTAGTGGCGGCAAGGGTCGAGGAAGCCACGTTGTCGGGTTTGTTCTCGGCCTCGGGCTCAGCCTGCTTGGCGGGCTCCTCCTCCTTGGGGGGCTCGGTCTTGTCCTCCTCCTTGGCCTCCTCCTTGACGGGCTCCTCAGGCTTGGTCTCCTCAGCAGGCTTCTCCTTAGCCTTGGCCTTGCCCTTGATGGTGGCATGGAGCTTGGAGAAGGGGCTCTTACCCGACTTCTCCTCACCCTCAGCGGGGGGAGGGGACTTCTCGCGCTTGCCAAAGGCGAAGGGGAGGCTCACGGATCGGCGCTTGGAGCCCTCGGTCTTCTCCTCCTTGGGGGTCTCCTCGGTGGCGGGAGCAGGGGCGGACTCCTCAGCCTTGGCCTCCTCCTTGGGGGTCTCGGCGGCCTTTTCCTTCTTGGGAGGAGCAGGCTTGAAGCTCTCAATGGTCTTCTTGTAAGCCTCAGACTCGGTGACGGTGGCAGCGAGCTCCTTAGCCTCGGCGATCTTGAGCTTCAGCTGGGTGACCCAGTTGTCACGCTCAGCAGTGTTGGCGGCATTGAAGCTGTGCTTGTTGCCCTTAGAGGTGAAGTGGAACTTGTGGGAGCCATCGGTCTCGGGCTCGGTGGCATCGGCCTGTGGGGCGAGTCGTTAAGGCACGCTGCAGATGGGTTTTTTGTGGACCCGCGGGAGCTTAGCTTACCAGGCTGATGATGCTGGAAGGGTTCTTCTTGTCGCCGATGAAGAGGAGACCCTGACCGGTGTGGGAGGCCCAGGCGATGTTGCTGTGGGCAGTCTCGGCCGACTTCTCGGTCTTGAGGTAGTGGGCGAGCGCCTTGGGCTCGAAGGCGTCGGTGCCGAAGAAGAAGAACTCCTTGCTGGCAATCAGGTTCCTGTGGGAGAATCAAGGTCAGCAAACGGGTCATGTGCATCGCGATGCGACGCGGCGGCATCACGCACGGGCAAGGGCTTACTTGGGGAAGCTGAGGCCCTGAGCCTTGTGGCCCAGATGGCCCTCCTCGACGGGCTTGACCTCCTCCTTCTTGTCCTCAGCCTTGGACTCCTCAGTCTCAGCTGGCTTGGACTCCTCGACGGGCTTGTCCTCGGTGGCGGGAGCAGACTCGGCGGGGGTCTCCTCAGGGGGCTTGGACTCGACAGCGGGGGTCTCGGTGGCGGGAGCGGGAGTGGTCTCGGGCTTGGTCTCCTGAGCGACCTCGACGTTCTTCTGTTCCTCGGCCATTTTGAATAGAGTTGTAGTGGGAGTAGATATTGGGGTGTATCTCAAGGGGGTATCACAACAAACAAAGACGGAGGTATAATAAAGAAAAAAGATCCAGATCCGGAAAAAAGGCGTTGGATTTTGGAGTGTGGTCTTGGGACAGAGTGGTAAGGAAGGAAGAGGAGGAGAAGGGAAAGGCGGCTGGAGGACGTGGACGCTGGGGGTACGGATGTCCGTCAAGACATCACGAATAAAAGTAGCTTCAGCATGGAAATAGACTCTCCACTAACAACAGATTTCCATAATGACGCTCCTTCTCAGGATGATGACGTCATCATGCAAGATCTTGATCCCACCTGGTTCCTGGATACTTTCCTCTCCTTCTCCGAATTCTTCGTCCGAAGCGGGCGAGGCAACCCAAGCTATCTGTGGCCGCTCCTCGCGTACCAGTTCCTTATATCCTCGGCCATTATGCCAACCCCGCCACGGTACTCGTATCAGTCTGCATCGCTCAGGAGTTCGAGAAGCCGCCTACAATGCCGACCGTCATTTTCTCTCAACGTCAGACAGTCCCAATGAAGGGAAGGCGTCGAGTTCGCCGCAGATGTAAACATTTGCGACGTCAAGGAAGGTTTGGAACATTGAAAGCAATAGTAGAGAGGCCAAAGACATCCACCCTACAAAAATCGTCACTTTTCAACTGACAGTTCGTTACAACCTCGATCCACCGTGCCGACACCACAGTGCAATTCTCAGGCTATGTTGCAACCACTGGCACTGCCAGAGGAAGGAAGGTTATCTGCAGAGCAGCTGGGTCGCCTCGTTAGCTCGCTCCACCATGCCCACGCCTCCACATTACTCACAGGGCTCGTTGTCATCGTTCTCAACGGATTCTTGGGGAAGTAGCCCCAAGACATCTCAGTTAAGTCAAACCCAGATGGATTCATAGGCCCTTAATCCAAGACGCTTCAAGAAAATCCCCTCATATGTCCGGGATGCCACCAGGTGTCTTCGCTTGTGAGTAGCTCTACACCACTTAGATCTACGTGTCCGACCCCGCCACATGGTTGGACATCTTACGAATCTATCGAATCGAACGCCAAGCCGTGGCATTCGAATCGAATGCGACTATTGTAGATTCGATTCGAATCGAACGCATCTCTTGCATATTCGTATCGAATCGAATGTGCCTCCTGTAGATTCGTGTCGAATCGAATGCGTGATTTTTCTTGCCACGTAGATTCGAATCGAATCGAACATGACTCTAGTAGATTCGGATCGAACCGAATCTGTCCTCGATAGATTCGACACCAATCGAATGCCAAGATTCGATCGAATTCGATTCGAGTTCGATCCGCTATATGACTAATCTCGGTGAAGGTAGAAAATGTCAAGGGGACATCGCCATTTCGGTGGAGGTGAGGCCTTATGGGGTTGGTCCTTCTGGGCGCAATAAACTTCAATCGGTAGAGGTGTCGCAGAACACGGCAATTTTCTATTAGAAAGTAGGTCCTCAGCAGATTACATATCACCTGTCTCCTTCAGTGATGCAAGCGCATCAACCCATTGGTCATCACTAAGCCCAAGCAGCGGTAGTGAAGGCTTATAGATGCCTGCTTTACTCCATGATCGAATGCACTGAGCCATCGCCACTATCTCCCTCCTCAGCCGGTTTCTTAGCGGTGCTGTCATACGCCCTGCGCTACTGAATGTCCTCTCACTCTCTGCAGATGACGACGGGATGGTGAGCACATCGACAGCCATCAGAGACAGCCGCGGGTACCTATTGGCATTGATTTTCCACCAGTCAATTGGTCTGCTTCTGTAGTGATGGCTGTTGACAACATCCTCAGCGCAGTACCGAGCATACTCGTCATCATTCGTCGCTGCCGCGGTCATCTGTTTTGTTTTACGAGTGCTCTTGCGGCCATTCGACGCTGCAAAGGATGAAGTCTGGGTAAATGGCCAGCCGGCTACACTCCTCGCAAGTCTCCGCTCGATGTAGTCCGTTGCGGCCTCATCAGACGTAGCGACGACCTCGTGTTCAACGTCGCGCTCCCTATAACTATCCCAGATCTCCAAGAGCTTCTTTTCGTAATCTAATCGCCAACTCTTAGCCTTACGAGATGGCACTCGAGACCATAGTCGATCGAGAAGACGCCACTTCTTGGCCGGGTTGAAGACAACAGCGCCCACATAAGCAGCGCTGGTCAGACGGTTGTAGTACTTGTGCAGTTTCTTCCACCCAAGCTTGATATAGACCTTGAGCAACTTACGAGTTCGGTTATCAAGCCCATCGTAGATGGCAACCTCGACATCCTTGCTCTCCTTGCTTACTGAATCCTCGACTTCTTCGTAGATTGTCCCTTCGATAGCACCCTCGAGGTGGTCAAGTAGGATCTCGAAAACAGGGAAGTACTCGTCGAAACTACCACAAGTCGATCTCTCACCAGGAACACCGCTGCCCTGAAGTTGCTTGGTGGCGATTGCGAAGGGCTTCAGAAGTTTGACGAGTATCTCGATAACCTTCCAGTCGTACGCACTCAGCCGATATTGCAGAACTGCTGGCTTCATCTTTCCACAAGCTCCCTCAGTTTCCCACCGGTTCTGAACGTCATTGAAGAACGTATTGAGTGCCGGACGAAGGAGAAGAGCCCTCTCCATCATGCGCATATCCGAGTCCCATCGGGTGGCGTTGTTATAGACCCAGTGGAGTGTAGATTCGTTGCCGGATTCCTTGCGTTGAGACTGAAGAAACTTCTCATACAGTTGTGGACTCGCTCGCAGCTGGATCCCGATGTTATGGAGCATTCCTGGGGCGCCGTTCTGGCTGTACTCCCTGAAAGTGGTGCCGTTGATCTCTTCCGGAGCCGGGTGGGATGATAACAAGTCTTCGTCAGGGATACCAACGACAATGTCGGCGTCTACCTCTTCGTCCGCACCGTCGTCCATCTCTCCATCCAGAGCTTCGTCAATTGCTTCATCAATTTGCTGTTCGTCGTCATCTTGATCGTCGCCATCGGCTGCCACAATTGCAGCGAAGCTCTCTCGCTTTGAGCCGTAGAGCATGGCCCGTACGCAGAGGTTGAAAATATGTGCTGCGCAGCGAATCCGCCGCTCCTCGGGGGAGAAGCCATGTTCAAATGCAAGATCATCAATGCAGGTGTCATTATTGGCAGCATTGTCAAGTGTGAAGTACCCAACCTTGTCGGGGTCGTTGATTTGCCAGAATGCGAGCGTGTCAGCGACCTCGTCGGCAAGCGATGCGCCGCTGTGTTTGCCCCGGAGAGGTCGAAGCCCGAGGAGGATCCGGTGTTGGACAAAGTCATGATCGATGAATTGAGCATTAATCCCAAGGAACGAGGTGTACGACTTTGATGTCCAACCGTCGAAAGAGAAATGTATTTGGGATCGAGCGCTGTGCAGTACTTCGGTGACCGGCCCAACGGCACCACTATACTCAGATTCGAGCATGCGGAGAAGTGTCTTCGCAGAGGGAATATGGCTCGTATCAAGGAGCGGATTGCCATAGAGAAGGGTCCGCTGAAACCGCTCCGTATTCACAATCTCGAACGGCAAATTATGGTAGGTAATCCAGTCGAGGAGGAGTATTCGAAGGCCTTTGCTGCTGAACCTTCCACGCAGTCTGCTAAGAAGAAATTGGTCGTGAGGATTATTGAGGTCGGCGCCGGTGAAGTGGGTGAATCGGGTGATGGCTTGGTCATCTAGAGATGGCTCGCCCACGCCGCAGCTAACTTCGTTCGGGGCCTGCCAACTCAGCACGTAATACAATCCCTGTGCTAGGGGCATGCACTTACCACAATTCCGTGGGCTTTACAAAGGTGTTTCTTGATGGCGGCTCCTGTCGAGCAGACGAAACAGAAGTCTGATTTCTTCTTGAAGCCTCGGGCGAAGCAGTCCGCGCAGATCCACTTCAGCTTATTGCCCCGCCGCGAGGTGGAGCGGTCCTCAACGCGATATCCGTATTGCTGCCACCACGCCCGCGTGTCTTGGCCGCCAGTATAGCGCTCGAATCCGGGCCATTTCGCCCACTCTTGGCGGCCCCAGAGGGTCCAATCGACCTGAATAAAGTCGGCGGCAGTCCCGCGAGGACGGGGCGATGGAGTTGTCGGCAACGAGGTTCCTGGAAACGAGACGGCTGGTGAAGAAGAGAATCCAACGCTCTCCATCACGCCTGGTTGGTTCGAGGGAGAGGGGCTCAAAGAGAAGAGTTCAGACATCCTAACGTAGGTAGCCAGTTGGGTAGATCGATCACACTAATCGTATCGGGGTTGTCGGACGCCATTGAGGCTGCGCGGACGCTCAACTTAAATCCATCCATCGCTAGAAAGGCAAATCGACGCCAATGGCACGCGTACATCGCGCCCGTTTTGCCCTCAACGCGAAATTCGCGAGGTCTCTAGTGCCGTTGAACATCCCAAGTCTTGTTCGATGAACGATGCATTCGCCAGTAGCACGAATGACAAACTGAACGCGTCTAATCCGAGGACGCTGCCCGTGAAACCGCCACTGTAGGGAAGGAGCCCAACTTTTGTTCCAGTCATTGGTATATGAGGATTCTTCAAGCGTCGCTCCCGGTGCTTGACAGCCACTTAATTCGAGGTCTCACTAATCGGGTCCACAGACCCCACGGCCAAGTTCCATATATTCCCTGTTCCGCTTGTGTCAGAGGCTCCTATTGGCTCGTGCAACCGAGCACAGACGCGTCACTGCCTTGGGAAAAAGGCCCTGTCATTGGTACCGAGTTTTCCTCCCCGCATCGGCTTTGCAATTATGCTTTATTCCAATCTGGAGTCAACCCGGAATGGATTTTTGAGATCTTCGAAAACTGTGCACGTGAGGAGGCGGAACGGTGGGACTTGAAGTTAAGGCTCTAAGTGGATGCACCTGTGAAGTAGCTGGTACACCCGTTCACATGTAAAAATGGGTTTAGGCTAGGTCACTGTGATAACTAAAAAGTTAGAGATACATGAGTCTCGTACTCGCCAAGGCCTGAAGACTTCAAACTAGACGTGTTCATCTGATATCATGCCAAAGCTTTAGAGAGAAATACGGAGACAGTATGGGGTTTTCTTCTTTCTTCCCTTTTCTTTTCTTTACTTTTTGCGTCCTTCTTATTATTCTACAGATATAACAGTGTGTTTTGGTGATAACCCCGTCTCTGCGTGGCTGGGTGTTACTGGGACGAACATACCCTATACTCCTGCGTTCAAAACTACTGGGGGGTTGGATTTTACAGCAATAAAAACTCATACTCCACCACCCCACGCAACATAAATATTCCTCATAGAAACCGACTTAGTGTTTTATTATGAGATTCAAAATGGGATGCCCGTTACATTCCTGTAAAGCTCCTGCTGGTGGGTTGTTGTTGAGATTGTGGCGACTGAATGAATGATTTCACTTGCTTAGGCAGTACTGATTGTGGTGGGCGGTACGTTAATTAATCCGTTCCGGTTTGAGGGCGGTTGAACTGAGTCGTGACGCGGATGATTGCTGTAGTTACAGGGTACCTAGTATATGGTGGGCTTACTAGAGGATGTTGTGCACTTGCTAACACATTTTAGCTTTAAGACGAACCGTCGTTAGCATTGATCGTCGCGTCGAAGAGCGCGCCGGTGGCCTCTTAACGCGTCCGCGAATCGCGCCACATCCACCCTCTGGGCATGATTCGCACGTCGCGATTATCTGTTCGACCGAATCGATCGATTTCCGATCGAATGGATGGGGGCGATCGATTCGATGTCGAATCATATGGCGCCTGTTCGGTTCGAATATCGAATGAGATGCTCCACATTCGAATCGATTCATTCGAACATCGAACGGGACAAGTCACATTTGATTCGCATCGAATCGAACGGGCGCTCCGCAGATTCGACATCGAATCGAATGCCAAGAAATTCGATTCGACATTCGTAAGACTTGGCACCGAATGAATCTATCGATTCGATTCCCATTCGTAAGATGTCTAACCCTGCCCCGCCATACTTCCATAAGCCTATACAAAATGATGTGAATGGTCAAGCAGGTGTCTCTGGATCACGAGCCATTGATAACATACACGCTCTCCTTCGCTAATTGCCGAGAGGCACCGAACCTGATCGGCTGCCACCAGGATGGCAAGGATTTAACGATAGTGATGATATGACGTCTATTAGTTTCTAGAATAAGAGTGCTAGAAGTCAATCTGCGGGCTACTCCTCAACATCGTCATTACAACAGAGAGACACAACAAACTTGCACGATGCTGCATCGACGCCAATACGTGGCCGCGTTTCTTGAACGTCTGGCCGTTCCTGAGCGAGCAGGCCTTACGGACCTGTTTGCTCAGGCCCACGTTTTGACCAGTCCTGTGTGGGTTCCTCTCACACAAACCCCGTGAGACAACCAAAAGTGGTCCAAGCTCCCGAGGCGAATGACGAAACGCTGAGTTCATCAAGCTCGGCATATCCGCTTTCTTCTGATCCCTCCCCCAATTCCGAATCTTGGATATTTTGACATCCTTGCCGACGGAGCACCACCACGTTTCTAAAATCACTTCGTTGCCCTCCTGCCTCCATCGGTATGGTTTCCCTTCTATCTCGCCTTGGATATCGATTGAAGTAGAATCCAACTGGCAATTGATTCTCTTTTCTTTGATTCCATTCGTTGATATAGAGCCGTGCTGACAAGTAACCCCCACGTCAATAGTTTGGAAGTCGACCAAATACACCTTCATCGCCATCACCATGTCGCCCACCCTCCTGCGCACCACGCCCGTCCTGCGCGCCGGCCTCCGCGCCCACGCTGTCAAGCCCCTCGCCGCCATGGCCTCGACCAGCTTCGTCCGCGGCAAGGCCACCCTCCCCGACCTCCCCTGTAAGCTCTCTCCCCCTCTCTCCGGTTCTTCTCAAACCCAGAGTCACTGACCTGAGGTGTCCAGATGACTACGGCGCCCTCGAGCCCTACATCTCTGGCCAGATCATGGAGCTCCACCACTCCAAGCACCACCAGACGTACGTCAACGGCTTCAACGCCGCCCTCGAGGCCCTCGCCGATGCCAGCGCCAAGGGCGACGCAAAGGCCGTCGTCGCCCAGGCACCCTTGATCAACTTCCACGGCGGCGGCCACGTCAACCACTCGCTCTTTTGGGAGAACCTCGCCCCCAATGGCAAGGGTGGCGGTGGCGAGCCCGAGGGCAAGCTCCTGACCGCCATCAACGGGGACTTCGGCTCCTTCGACGCCCTCCAGAAGCAGACCAACGCCGCCCTCGCCGGCATCCAGGGCTCCGGCTGGGCCTGGCTCGTCAAGGACAAGACATCCGGCACCCTCAGCGTTGTCACCCGCGCCAACCAGGACCCCGTCACCGGCAACCTGGAGCCCCTCCTCGGCATCGACGCCTGGGAGCACGCCTACTACCTCCAGTACCAGAACCGCAAGGCCGAGTACTTTAGCGCCATCTGGGACGTCATCAACTGGGGCACCGTCTCCAAGCGCTTCGAGAAATAAGTGCAATGGAGAGGGAGAGTGAAGGGCGACGCCATGTAGATGTCATGTGCCATGTGTGGCCCGTGTGAGATTACCGTCAAAAGTAGTGCATAGTATTGGACGAGTATCTAAATGGAACAACCTGAGTCAAGGTACAATCAAAGCCCTCCCGTTTCTGAACCCAGTATCTGCGGCGCAACCCAATGGCCAAGAAGGATATGCATAACCCAAGATGGGCAGAGGCGAAACAAACCAATTCACTTCTACCCCTGCCGTCTCGCATTGAGCATCTCACAGCCGCTGGCACCTCACCAACCCCCTGGTAAGCCGCCAGCTCCATGGGATACTCATCCGCGAAGATCTCACCCACATAGTCATACCAGTCATCGTCTCCCTTAACTGCGCGTCGAAGAAACTGCCTTACTCTCGTACCCGTTGGCGTCCACAAACGGGAACCGGGCACGGCGCTCAAGGTCATCCAGAGGAATAGTGGAGCGGATATACCTGTGCCGGCACATGTTAGCACGTCTTGCGCTTTGCCGGTGATGCAATTGGTGAGGGTGGTATCAGGGGTGGGAAGGAAAGAGGATGAAGGGGTTTGGCTTACTTCCTTCTGCCGTCATCGACACGGTCAAAGTCCCAGCTGGTGAATTCGCCCTCCTCGAGGGCATTCCACACGACCCGGCGGGATCACTGCGACGCAAACACCTTATCCGTGATGGCTTCAAAGTCCCACTTCGCATTGGCCTCAGCCTCAAACTTCTCAAACGCCTCCTTAGCCTCCTCCTCTTCCGGGGTCTGAGGGGCAATCTTCTTGAAGCGGGATAGGTTATCCAGCTCCTTGGGATCCCGCTCCAAGTTGTACAGCTGGGGCTCGTCGGCGGGGCAAGTGATGTACTTCCAGGGACCCCGGCGGATCATCATCATGGGGCGCACGGTTCCCTCATCCGTGTACTCGGCAAAGACAGTGTCGTGGCCCTCGCGGCTCTCGAGATGGGGCAGCATGCTGATGCCGTCCATAGGCAAGTAGGGGGCCAGCTTGGTACCGATGAGGTCGCAGATAGTGGGGAGGAGGTCGAGAGTCGACACACTCTGGGTGACGCGGTGGGGCTTGAACCGCTTGGGGTAGTTGACGAGCATGGGAACGCGGACCGACGACTCAAAGTAGCTCATTTTGTACCACCAGGTTGCGCTCGCCCAGCATGTCTCCGTGGTCGCCACTGAAGATGACAATGGTGTTCTCCGCGAGGCCGGCATCCTCGAGGGTCTCCAGAAGCCTACCAATGCAGTCGTCGACGTAGCTCACCGATCCGTAGTAGGCCTGCTTGGCCCGCTTGATCTGGTCGTCAGAGAAGTTCTGGTCCCAGAGGTCACAGACCTTGAGGAGGCGCTTGCTGTGGGGATCCTGGTCCTCGTTGGCGATGCGGACTTCGGGCAGGTTGATATCAACATCTTCATAGAGGTTCCAGTACTTCTTGGTGATAGTGTAGGGATCATGGGGATGAGTGAGGGAGACGGTCAGGCAGAATGGGCGCTTGTTGGAACCCTCGCGGACATGATCCCACAGGTACTGGGTGCTCTTGGACATGACCTCTTCATCATAGTCGAGCTGGTTGCTCCGTCCACAAGGACCAGCCTGGAGAATAGAGCTGGCGTTGTGGTACCACTCGAGGCGAGTGTCGGGCTCATCCCAGTTGACAGCCCAGCCAAAGTCGCCAGGGTAGATGGCGCTGGTCAGGCGCTGCTCGTAGCCTGTCACATTTCGGGGTCATCCTGAGAGCTATGATAACCTCATTTCCGGCTTTCCTAGACAACGCGACTTTCCTTTCCTTCTCAGACCACATAGCCGGCCCTGTGACCACGATCCCGGTCCCCGGGACCCACAGGGCCCCGGCCCCTGTGCGGCGGCGACGGACTGCCGCCTCCGGCAGCAGCCGTCTTCATCATGTATAAAAGACGGGCTCTAGGCCCGTCCCTTAGCTAGAAATCAAGAGCTTTCATCATAATCATTGTGATCCTATCCACTCAGTATGATATAGCCGTGGAGCTGATCACCAATGAAGTGCATCTTACCAGCGAGAGAAGTGTGGTATCCCTTGGAGCGGAGGTAGTGAGCATATGTGGGCACGTCAGAGCCAACCTGGGCGGCATTATCAAAGGCGCCAATCTTCATGGGGAGGAGACCGCTGATCAAGCTCATGCGCGAGGGGGCGCAGAGAGGTGAGGGGCAGTAGGCGGAGTCGAACTGGACCGAGATGGAGGCCAGGCGGTCGAGGTTGGGCGTTTTGATCTGTGAGTTTGGGTTGTACATCTTAAGCTTGGGAGCGGCCAGTTGGTCGGCCATGATGAAGAGGATGTTGGGAATGGAGGCATCAGTGGCAGGGTTGGCCGTATCCACGCCAGCCGAGGGAGGGGGGGAGTTGAGATCGGTCGCCATTGTGAGTGGCAGAGATGAGCCTTCTCTTTGGGGTTGTTTGTGAAGTGCAATTATGATTGTTACCCCTTTGTGTCTTAGGTGGTAGTGGTAGATAGAGAGGCAGAGGCAGAGAGAGAGTGTGTGTGTGTGTGTAAGTCGGGTGGTGGGTGGGGTGGTTGTGTGTTTATTGCCTAGGTATCAGGTGTGTCTCTTGTTCTCTCACCCGAATGAAGGACGATGGATGGAAGGTGAAGAGGAAGAAGTGTAAATATGTGTGAGAGACTTGAAGGAAGGGAGGGTGAGTTGAGGCGAGATGGGAAGAGGAGTGGGAAGAGGAGTGGGATGGGGAGGGCCGGGTATAAATGGATGGCGCAACACCACAAGGCTAGCAAGGGCGTGGGCGAGGTCGGTGTGGGCAAAAAGCGGGAAGAGGATCTAGACGCCCGGCAAAGCTTCTACGCGTCTCTTGGGTGGAGTGTGACTGGTTCTTTTCCACCTTTGATCCAGATGACGGTGGCCACCGAGACAAGGGGCTGAGATAGGTCAAGGATGACGCTGGGGGGAGTTGACGAGTGAGCCCGCCAGGTGCTTGTGGAGAGTACGTGCGTACGACACTGGAAGCACTGCACTGTATGGCACGAGCACAAGCACAGCGAAGACGGAGCAACAGGAGCAAAAATTGTCTGTCTGTTGATAGGGTAGAGCCCAGCAAGCCGCAGGACGCAAGACGCAAGACGCAGAAATGCAGGGGAATGGAGACGGGATTGACGTTGGGATCTGGGGTTGGAGGGGTTGGAGGGGTATGTCTGAAGTGAACAGTGCTCTGTGGTTGAGGCGCATGCGCAAGTGCGTAAGAGCGGCCGCGTGGAGGAGAGATCGGAGACGAGATGTTAGAAGGATCTAGGGACAGGTGCTGTAGTCTTTGACTCGCTAGTACCGGCATTGGGAAGCAAGCTCCCATCCAGCAGATCCAAGAGGTCCTGGCAGACCTTCTCGAGCTCATTCTCAATCTTGTTGCGGTATCCACGAATAGTAGCAATATGCTTCTCCCTGCCCCTTGACTCCTTCTGCTCGATCGAGGAGATAATGCGCCAGCTGGCACGGCGGGTGCCGACCACGTTCTTATAAGCAATGGTGAGAAGATTCCGCTCACTGACACTGGGCTCACCACCCATCTTGACGACTTCCTTCAGATGGGGGACCATATCATCGTAGCGCTCAGCCTGGCCACAGAGGCGAGCGAGGAATGTCAGGCTACGGCCATGAAATCAGTGTTTTGGCCCTCTAGAGGCCCATCGAGCGGATAGACAAACTTCTTAGGCTGCATGATAGGTGTATGGTTAGCCAGGTTCGTTAGACCAAATATTTGATCGAAGATAAGGCGGCAAGTTGGGGTGATAACGGCAAGATATGTGGGGCGATTTGGTGTGGTGAGGCGGTACGGTGGGCTCTAAAAAAGAGGAACGCGGACTAGAGCAGCGTCAGATAATGGAAAATGCAGTGCTAGAATGGGAGGTGATGACGTAGCGACAAGAGTGACAAGAGTGACAGGAAGAAGCGCGGGGCGAGGGGCAATTCAAGGCGGGTTTATTGTTCGTTAACTCGTAAGTGTGGTGATTCGGTTTGAATTTGTTGAGAAATTAAGTTAGAAAGTTCTGCGACAAAGCAGCGCAGTCACCAGATAATGCCCGCGGAGCCATGTGACGAGCCAACTCACTGGTCTCCGTATCGGACTCCTCGGACAGCCAAGCTAAGTCTTCCCAACTTATGACCTGTGGTGCTATGGAGCATCTTCCATCAACTCCCGGGTGGCAGTGGATCTCCGTCTTCCTCTTTCTCTTCGTCATGGCCATGGTCATCCTCCTCCTTCTCCTCATCGTGCATGTCATCGGAACGATCGCCAGTGTCGGAGTATTGAGCATCGTCGTCCATGTCTTAAATCTCACTCTTCCAGAGTCGTTTCTTCCGCGCTGGCTCCATATTTTCGGGCGACCGACGGCCTAAAATCACATGTCAGGTTTCCCGCAGCACAAAACCCGAGGGGGCGCCAAAGGAGCGGTTCCCGCCACAGAACTGGACATCGACCACACAACTCCGGCGAGATTGATTTTGTGAAACCTTGGGAATGCCCAATGCCGTCATCAGTCGCTCATCACAGTGGACCAGGTGAAAGAGTTGGTCCAATGCTCGGAGGCATGTGCGGCATGGGTTTCCGGCCCCGAGGCATGCTCAACACTCCAACGGAAACCAGGATTGTGGTTGAGCAGAGATCGAAACGTCAGGACAGTGTGCAGTGATTGATTCTGTAATTGACGCCTGGGATGAGTCCTGAGATGGTGATCATCGAACGCGACATCCAAACGAAGAGCCCATCCTTCCGTCAACGGATCGCCGTGCCTCATCGGAAATATACTTCTGTATTAGCACACAGTTGCAGTCGGTGCGCCGCAGAACGCTGGGTTTTGAGATAGAAGATCTCGGTGGACAACTCCTCAAAACACCTCGAAAGATACTGATTCTGCTCTTCCATCTCCGGGCCCCGCGGAATGCTCAATCGCCTTCCACGTTGCATCACGGAAATGCCAAGACAACAGTCTCAATTCGATAAACCATGGAGACCTTATCGATAATTGGACTGTCAACATGAGCACCGACACCACTGCTTCGGACGAGGGAGTCTCGCCTGCACAGCTGGAATTTGTTTCGCTGCTCATCTTGCTCGGCGCCGAGTTCATCATAGCCCTGACATTCTCCCTGCCTTGGTCTGTTTCTCCTCCCGCGCCAATGGCTCACCTTTTTGTTTTCCCCCCTTCGATAATTAACAGAGGCCACAGGTATTTGTTAAGGCAACTGGAACGCGAACGAGTGGGCGCCTATCTAGATGATCTAGAGGCTGCTAGACGTCCCTTCTCAATCGAAAACCTAGACCAAGCAGTTCCAGCCCGGCCCTACAACAAATGGAAAGCCGAAACGAAAGATGCCGGGGGGTCCGCTGAAGGGTCCTGCATCTGGTACAAGCTTCCAAACAACCTGCCCAACATGTGCTTAGGCTCTAACTCCACACCTAGCATCATTTGCCTGGAGACGTTGCAGGACACGGACATAGTCCGTCACTTACCGTGCGACCACATCTTCCATTCAAATTGCATCACGAAGTGGTTCCTGAAACAGCACGACACCTGTCCGGTTTGCAAACTTTGCTACATACCTCACATAGCCAGTAGCTCGAGGCAATCGTCTGTAGCCGAGAGACGCGATCCATCTAGGGTCAGAGAAACTCCTATAGTTCCATAACGGGCTTCACCCTTCACTAGGGTTGCAAGAAAAACTACTAACTAGTTATAACATGTGAAAGCTAAAAACTATTGGGTTAGAATTAAAATAAGGAAACGAAGAACATTATGATACAGGAATGACCAACTATCGGAGTTGCTAATTTTGCACCAGCGTTGCTTTTTATTTTACTCTTCAAAAGCTTGCTGTCCATCCGTCCCCATCTTGTAAACTGTATCCACAGCAAAAACACATCCTACAATACATCTCAAAGGAACCCATAGCTTAGAAGCAGCAGTGGGCAGGTTATATCATTAAGAACTACCATGCAGTACCCACCTACCGGTAATACCCACCTACCGGTAAGCAAAAATATTTTTTCCCCATACAAAATTCACTTTTTCAACCTCATGGGAAAAACTTAACAAAAACAGTTAAAATAAAATAATTTCCAGAATTCGGGTTACAATTGAATAAATTTTAATATTTTCTCGGTCTTTTTACTTCACGGCCGCTGCGGGTGCGTACGACGGGTAACTCTTCCGCCTCCGAATTTGAACTTCCATCCTCTTGCATCCCTCCCACCTCAATCGTATCCTCAACAGCCCCTGTCTCTTCAATTGCCTGGATTGGCTCGGAAATGGTTTCACCAGCCACTAGAGCCTCAGCCAATGTCATGAACTTCTTGTTGGGATTGGGTATCGCCTTCCTCTTCTTGCCTCTACTCAACCGGCCGACTTCCTCCTCCAGACTGGTGACTCTTGCGCTCAGCGAGGCTATCTTTGACTCCTGGGCTTCAAACCCTTTTGATATCACAGAATACCGTCTTCTGGTTGAAGGGCTCTTGTTCTTTCCCAGATCTCTGATATGACGGCTGGTCTTTGGCGTATTATCAGAGTCGCGTTGTCCGTCACTGAGGCCCTCTGATGCAGGCGTAGTTTCCTTCTTGTCTGGCTGAATCTCTGGATGTATGAGGGCTTTCCGTCGTGAAATTGGCCAATTCCCAGTCACTCTCCAGCCTGAGAGTATGTTTTTCTTACTCATACCCACTTCCCTGGCTTTGGCATAAGCCTTAATGAAGTTGACCTTATCCACCGGCGCAGAATCGGTCAGGCTTGCCAATTTTTGGAGTTCTTTGCGATATGCAGCTTTGGAGGCATTAAAAACGCCATTATCCAGCGGTTGTAGGCCGTGAGAGCAATGAGCCGGCAGGTAACAGCAATATACGTTGTTCAAGAAGCAGGTAGCCATCCACTCATCCTGAGTTTTAGGTCAGCGGCATTTATGATTCAGACCAGGTAGATACTCGCAGATACATGACTTCCATGGCCATCTAAGATAATAAGTCTGGCATCAGAATCATCTGCCGGCTGGGTTTGAGGTAGATAGACCTCTTTGAGCCACTCAACTGTGATGTGGTTGTCTGTCCAGCCGTTTTCAGAAGTGATATAATACCAGTCGGCTATCTTCTTGAACTCGTCGATAAACCACTGCTGCTGAAGTCCCTTGCCTTTGAAAATAATCCCTGGTTTCAGAAGACGGCCATCTGCAGTCACGGCTTCGATAAAGCTAGTCCAAGCGCGGGACTGAGAGCCTTTGAGGAAGGCCTTCCTCTTGGGATCGCTACTGCCGATAACTAAGGAATCCAAGCCTGTATTCGGAATGTATTAGTGAGTTTTATGACAAAAACGATAAATGCTCACCAAATCCAGCCATGATACCGCCCTCGTCAACATTAACTGTGTTCTCAGGCTTGATCCAGCCATACTCGCTTTTCCGGATATCAAAGTACCAATTGACGGCCATTGGAGTAAAAGAATTGAATCTCGATGCCTCCTGACGTTTTCCTATCTTCGTCTTTATGGTCGAATGTCGTTTCATGAACCTGGCTACCCAGTGTATACCGATAGGCCTTTCCCGGCCTTGTTGTCTCAAGAGGGCCGCGACGGTGGCGCGAACATGACTGTGGGATGGAGCATAGCCCAAGGCCTCTTGCCTCAGTATCCAGGTGACTATTCTGGACTCCTGAGACTTGGATAATAGCTGGGCAGGCTGGGTGACCTCGGACTTTGACGGTAGGCCTCTTAATCGGTCTGAGAGAGTCGTCTGGGGGATGTCATGCTTCTGGGCGGCTTGGTTCTGGGAGAGGCCGTTATCTGTGACATCCAGTAAGGCTTCGACAACGCCATTCTCTGTATAAGACATTCGGGGCATTTTTGAGGTGATTACGAAAGGTTAGTGCAGATAAAAATTCGATGAAACTTGGTGGAAGCCGATTCTTGAACGAGGCGTTTTTAGAAATTATACATTAGGCCCGTGCGAACAAACCGCTTCTGTAATGTAAAAAGTAATATCATAATATGAAACAGCATGAAACTCTCAATAAGACACAGCTTGTTTCATGTAAATAACTTCAATTTTGGCCAAGCACTGTGCAAGTGAAGTTGGGCATTTTGTATGAGGAAATTTTATTTTTGCTTACCGGTAGGTGGGTATTACCGGTAGGTGGGTACTGCATGGTATCGCAACTACGGCCAGCGAGTCAACAGCTCAGTCGAAACCGCATGTAAGGATGTGAAGTCATATCTACTGACCGGCACAGGCAACCTCTTACACCTTCACACAGCCCTTATGCAGATAATCTAACGCAAGGAATGTGATTACATTGAGCGGGCTGCGGATATGATGATAGGCTTCGTGTTCAGTACGTTGGTCGGGAATGGCTTGGTAACTTACCTATACAGATATCCTACTATGCTATTAACCTCATCGTCTCACAATATCGCCGGGCAGCAGCAGCTTTATCTTCAAATGCAGAGCCTGTGCCACTTCCGCCTTGTAAGGGTGTATTTATGCAGCAGTATGCCCTGCCATGCAATCATTACATTCTGCGGGAGCTTGAGGCCCAGCGGCCGCTGACGAAGGAGGTTGTGCATCCGCGATGGTGGCTACAGAAGCTGTTGGTATGTTCTTAGTCATCTAGCTACCCGATTTACTAGGCTATTGGAACTAATACAGACTTCTAGGACCTTAAGGAACCATTACTACGCATCCATGACCCTAATATTATCACTAAGCTTCGCGGGTGCCGGCATACACTATCCAACTCGAAGCTTCCTATTCCGCCATACCTAAAGGTTGAAGTTACCGAAGGCGTTGAGGTCCTCCCGCCCCTGCCGCCCCTCCCGAGTCAGGGCTACAGCAGCCTTAAGCCTAGTATCCGGCGGTCCCTGACTCAAGCTGAAATCGAGATGCAGACATCACTATGGTCAAGATCAGGATCACCTGCACATACACCTGCCCGTATACAAGAAACTAGAAGAGGACAGGCTCGAGGGACAAGGGCGGGGGTGCCGTCAACCTCACGGCAGCTCCGGTCGTCTCGGGCGGCGGCGGAATAGGGGTTTTCCGCTTGAAAAGTAGTATTTTGTATGAAAACACCGGAAATGCATTTTTTAAACGATTTAGCCCTAGCTAGGACCGTCAGGCTATTACTGTGTGTGTGATCGTGATGTATGCAGTTGACATTTTATTGTAATTCGGGCTGCACTCTTGATTGTATAGTAATCAGTATGGTAGGTGGGGAATGCAAGGAAAAAAAGGGGGGCAAATTTTGAACATGTGACTTTGTTCGTGCGAATTAGCAAAAGTTGTTAGTGCAAATAGTATGACTCCCAGGGTGTCCATAATTTCTGTAGGGTAGGCTGATCTATACTGCTCGTGGCCGAGGCGTTCACTCGCCAGGCGAAGTATAGGTGATTTATCTAGGCTTCACATGCTGCAACTTAAACTCTACCGCGTGCAGTTCAACTGCTCTTCCTCTGGCCCTAAAGATGATGGGTCTCCCGAGAACGTGGTCTCGGTCGCGATAGGTTGAAGCCGCATGGCGTCGTTGTGGGCGAGAACTAAGCACAATATCATGTAGCCGTACTCTCACGCCTGAGTGCGGTTCAGTGGACGGTCCATGAATGAGGCTTGCATCCGCCAGAGCGATAGAAATCGTTTGCCGTAAGTCATCGGGAATCCCGTCTTATAGCGATTACATTGGCGGAGCTGGGATAGTCTGCCTCCTGTGCAAACTGGATGAGGCGATCAGGTTCGAACTAGGTCTTTATGTCTCCCATGACCTGACTGACACCGAAGCCACAGTGACTAGTAAAGTAGATAGATATGCTTAAATAGCTGCTGGTTCCCTATCTATCTACTGATAACCCACCAGTTGAGCAGCAGTATCCTACCTCCGAGCCTCTGGTGCCTTCGCTCTGTACTTGGAACCCCCCGAAAAAGGGACCGCAAAAGGAGGGGCGGAAGTACCGATCCCATCGCGGACCAAGACGATCCTCCTGCGCCAGTCAGTTGACCGAGTTCCCGGAAACGCATGTTGACCTCTGGTGAGCAGAAGTCTGTCATGAACAAGGTCATCTCCATGACAAAGAAATCCTCACCCGTCGAGCCACACATCCAATCACTCATTCTTCGTAGCCGCAGTCTGTTTGAGGCCGACTCCTGCCACGAAAGCAAGCCGGACGGCCGCCTGTCCCCAAAGACTCACAAGGTTCACCCAATCTTCGGGCCTCCAGGTACGAGGATCCCAGAACACAGTTCCGCCCAGAGTTGCCCAACTCCCAAATAAATGTATAGCATCGCACACCAAGATACCGATCAGGATCCCTCTCCACACCCGCAGGTCATTCGTAGTGCGCAAGATAATGGCTTCATTGAACGCAAACAGGATATATGTCGCAGCAAGTTGGTCGTAGATAATCTGGTTATCCGGCGCGTATTTGGCGGCCGGGGCCATGGCGTTGAGGAAGCTCGCGGGGCGAAAGTGAAGCAACAGGGCGCCGACGAAGGCTCCAACAGCTTCAAAGTAGAGGAAGAGAGCGCGGTAGGCGAAGGGGAAGTTGAGGACTGGCTCGCTCGTCATTATCAAATGTCGGAGAGCGGTTTGTACGACGCAGTGAAATAGACAAGGCTCGGAACCACTACACCCACTCACATTTGGACCAAGTAGAGTGGATGTACGATTTTTTAGGCAATTACCTAGTGGATGTAATACATATTCGGCCGGAGTGGAATGGACGTACACACGTGGATTTATAAGTGGATTTATAAGTGGATTTTTGAGGCTATTCACAACCTCGTCGGTGCCTATTCAGCCTCACTTTCAGAGGTTGACACTAACTCTTCAGCCTGTTGCTGCTGTGATAAATCGTCAACCTCGCTGGCGCTCTCCTCGCCCTCCAATAGCCATTTTGACTCAGCAAGCGCCAGCTCGTCGTCGCTTAGAGTCGCACAACCGGCATCCAGCTTACTTTCAACGTGTGACTTAAGCAATGGATCCAGGTCCTTGATAAGCCCAGCACGGTACCAAGAGCGTAAAACCTGACAAATGGCGATAATCTCAGCATCTAGGTCAGTTCGCAACCCCGAGATCATCTTGCCAGCAGCTGAAAATAACCTCTCACACTCGGCTGACATCGGTTGGATTGTCAGGAAGTCCAAGGCCATCCTGGATAACCGAGGATATCTACTTTGCTTAGTGATCCAGTAACCAATTGGATCACGAACGTCGCCGTCGCTGGCCTCACGATCCGTCTGCCACGCTTGGTACTCATCACCAACAATAGCTGCTGCGGAGGTTGGTGTTGAGCTTGGCAGACGCTGTTCTTCTCGAAGGGGTTGAAAAACCGAGGTCTTTTTGCTGGTGGCTCGTCATCGCCTCTGCTGCTGCTGGATCTAACCTCGAAATGAGCGTAATCAGACAGCCAGACGTCGGCAACCATCTCTTTTGCCTTTTCAACCCAACTAGGCTTATGAGCCCAGGTTTCATCAAACCAGTCCCAACGATAAGCTGGATGGAGCGCTATTGCCGTATAGTAGATGGGCGTCTCGTCTAGCCGCCGATAATATTCATCCAACTTATCCCAAGCAAGGTTGATTCCGATGCGGAAGTGCTCGGGATCAGGAAAGTTAGCAGCAAGCTGCTTATATTCTTCCAGTGTTAAGCAGCAACTCATAGCCAAGCACCACGTCCCAGATATTGCCATAGGAGCCGGTCCAGCCTTGCTTACGCCTGCGGATGTGTCCATCACCCTCAAGCGTCTTTACCACGGTCTCAAAAACAGTCAGAATAGCCTCCAAATGGTAAAGAACCTCCCAGTGTTTATCCGTTAGCTGATTCTCGTCTCGGAGGATGCGTGGTTTTTTCGCCAATTTGGCTTGTGTCACTCGGCCAGTCTTTTTAGACCGATTTTCGTCCTCCCATTGCGCCTTGTACTTGATCAGTAGGAGTTCGATAGAGGTTTTTAGCCGTAGAGCCCTGCGGATCATGTAGAGTTGTGACAGCCAACGCGTGTCGTTATCGACAATTAGCTTGAGTGGTTTCTTCGATCGGAGTTTGAGGGTGGTGGCGCGATCAATTTCGTCCTGTTAGATATACCAAATTAGTATGAGACGAACAAGATTTAGTGAAAACCGCTTACCCTCTGGACCTCCTTGAATAAGTAAATTAGCCGATGGCTAATACGCACATCAACTACGATGTTATGTAACTTGCCAACTAGTCCTTTTTTGCGCCATTGAGCGTATTCAGTATCAGATAACGCTTCTGCGCCTGATAATTGCTGCTCGAACGCGCCGGCTTTTTTGCCAAATAAGAGCGCCTTGGCTGACAAGTTAATTGTGTGGCCAATACAGAGTCCTCGGCGTAGTCGGCCATCGAACCCAAGTTCAGCACCAATAACCTCCATTGCAGTATCGTTGTTTTCAGCATTGTCGAGCGTGAAATAGCCAATCTTCTCTGGACTTACGCCAAGAGTGTGTAGGACGTCGAGAACCTCCCCACCGATCGTTGAGCCGAAGTGACGATGAGCCTCTGGAACCCCAATCATGATTTTGCATGGTCTATTCTTCTCATCTCTGAAAAAACAAGCAATACCGTAGAGGGCAAGCTTATTTCGAGACGTCCAGCCATCAAATGAGATATGAAGCGCTCCAGGGGAGTTCCTCAGCACCTCGATAACCGTCTGCTTGTGGCGGTTATACTCTTGAATGATCTTATATCGGACAGCCGTGGCACTCAAGTTGGCGCGTTGGATCGAAACGGAGGGATTCAAATAGTCGAAGATTTCTCGGAGGATGGGGTTCTCGGCGAAGGAAAAGGACTGGTTGCTACTGACGATTAATTCGACTAGCATACGCTGAAAGTGTTGCTTATCAAAGCGTGAGATGAAGCTATTCGCGATATTCTGTTCCGTAGGCTTGTTGACGTCCAGTTTCAGAACAGAGGCAATAGTCGGCTGGTTCGATTTCAGTGCGCCTTCGGATTTCAGCTGTGCTGTGCTCTTTTTCTCTCCCTCTGGTGCTGGTGATTTGTGCTCACGCCATAGATGATTTGCCGCGTTCTGGAGACCTGAAGAGGTAAAACTCGCGATAATGGGACGATTTCTGAGGACACAGTCCTTGCAAGCCCATTTGCGTAAGCCATGACGTTGAATATCATAGCCAAAGTCCCACAGCCAAGAGCTAGTATCACGAGCGCGTTCTGACCAAGTCCAGCCTCTGAAATGGCGAAAAAGCCGGTCTTCGAGGTGGTGCTGTTGGCCTGGCTGGTTGGCTGACATCGTCAAAAAATTATCTCTTGCAAAAACAACAGCAGGAAATCTGTTGAAAACGCCTCAATAGGGGCAGTTTCTCGTATGACGTTTATAAGATTAGCTGGGGGGGGATCGACCTTGGCTAACTTGGGTCTCGGTACCTCGATTTACTAGGCAATTATATACAAAAATAAGTACTATAGGCCGTGCAAGCTCAGGGAATATCCCACTATACCTAAATCCACCTAAATCCACTCCATTACATCCACTTTCGGGTCCGAATGTAGTGGATCATTACGTAAGCTGAGCGCGGCAAAGTGGATGTAATAGAGATGGGCCACTTATATGTGGTCCACGTGGATATGCAGTGTAGTTGGTTCGAGCCTTGGTCATAGCTCGACGGGTAGTGTTGGACATGGGCGCTACCATAGTGTTCGTATATTATAGGGAGCAAGACGCTGTCCATCCATAGCCGAAAATCTTCATCTCGAAGGCGACTGGACTGCTGCTTCTCGCGGTATAGATGGGGAAAGAGGAAGTACAACGATACATCTTCGAAGCTGATGAGACGACCGAATGCGTAGTGTGGGATTTGATGCACAGGTCGGTGGACTTGATGCTGGTTTCCAGCCGCATCGAAGTAGTAAACCTGTCTCGGACGGAGATGGAGACCGGACTGAAGGTCCGACACAGGCATCTGGGTAGGGTACCATCGAATACCCTGCTTGGCCACAGCAAGGTTGCTAGGGAAACCCGTGATGCTATCAACATCAAAGCCGACCCCAGCGACAGCCGTGACCCGTTCATCTTCACTCATGCAAAGATGGGGCGGCGCCAGATCTCCGGACTCGAGGCCACAGTAGATCTGTTGTCGGCTTGCAGAACTCGTCTTGCCGGCAAGATCATCCTCCAGAGAAGCGATTCGGGTAGAGCTGAGGACCTCAGGGCAGAGACCAGTCGTAGATTCAAGGTAAGCCGCGAGACTAATATGCTCTCTGGGGTCTTGATGGTGCTGAAGTTTTGCTGCCCGGTGGCAGTCAACGCAGCATCCTCGAAATGTGATTAGCTGGTCTGTCAGCTGATACGCAAGGCGGTCCACCTGATCGTCGTGGTCCGTATTGGCGACGGGCGTTGAGTTTTCTGCGGCTATGTCGACGGTGGCTGTCGGAGCAAGGTCTTCATTGTCAGCAACGAAAAGTGGCGATGCCGATGCTGATCCTGGGGAAATGCCACCATCCCCCACGGGAGATTCTTCTGCGATTGGCTGCAGTGGAGGACTAGGAGGGGGAAGGAAATGTGAGATTTCTAGGCCTTCGAGCCCCAAAGCGTCGCCATGGTCGGTCTGCGATTGGATCCCTCTTGATATATTGGCACCCTCGGCATCGTATCCAGACCCCAAAGGATTTCCACTGGTGAGTTGATATGGGAGTGGAGGCAGGACGGAGGGAACGCCCTGGCTATAGAAATGAGTATGCCGTTCGTCACGATGCGCAGAGGCCTCTCCCTGCCGCTTTGCTCCCCTCAGGTCCACGTCTGCCTTAGCCTTCTCTAGCATGTCATCTTGAGCATGCGGCATGTGATCATGGTCGAAAATGGGGGTTGGGTCGACGGCAATGGTAGAAGAGGCGGATTCCTCTCTAGCTCCGGTAGCTAGACAGGATTCTATGGGATATGGCATAGCTGAGGGCGACGGTGCCATCCCTATCATATAGTTCTGAACAAACTTATGATCTCGTTTGGATGCTTTTGCTGCCTGCCTCTGATTTCGTCGTCTCCTGGCATATTCTTCTCTTCTCTTCTCGCCGGAGTGATACTTAGCTGGCCGCCCTCGTTTTTGGGGGCGTTCATCTAGATCAGAAGTCATTGTAAGGGATCCTCGATGTTCGCGGTGTGATTCCTTCTGGTCTAGAAAGATAAAGATCTTATCTGGCCTATCTTTCAGAAGAGATTTTAGAGTCAATGAGACACGTCTACAATGGATATGATAATTTGAAAAGGAAGGGGCTGATAATTAAATTACATATCTCCCGTCATCCAAATATGGACAGGAAGGTAAAGCAAAGTGTTTGATGCTAGCCCCAAAATAGTTTAATTTGTCGAGGAAAATCGAACTAGGTTTTTGTCAAGGAAATTCCATCCAGATGACTAAGCAGCGCCAGCGCGAAACAGACGAAAAGTTGATGATTTCAACACAGTACAGCACCACAACTGAATAAGATACTAGTTTAGAAATTTGATATGTAGTTCATAATTGCTGATTCTATCTCTAGTTGAATTTTAAAGCCCGAAAACCAACGTGTTGTGTCTAAGTCTAGTCGGGATATGACGGATGGCGCCATCAACGATGCCAGCACATCCACACGCTGCGAAGCAATTCAGTAAGTACCAGCGTGAACGTGCCCCCTGTTGGATAAGTCGGACCACCCATTAGCTGACCGACCCCTTACCTGACCGCCCCACTTACAACGCGTCAACCACAACGCGCCTCTAGCCACACGCGTTTCTTCCTTCAATAACACTCAATTGGTCAATTTAACCTTATTTTCGTTATTTTCATGCCTAAATACACCGAAGAAGACCTCCAACTAGCCATTCAGGATGTGAAAAATGGTCTATCAATGCGAAAAGCAGCCAATGAGCGCGTTGTTCCTTATTCAACCCTACGGACCAAGCTCAATGGCGTCCCAAGCCGCAACGAAGCCCACGAATGGCGTCAGTTGCTTTCTAAGAACCAGGAAGACCAGCTCTGTGATTGGCTCATCTTACAAGATAAGCTCGGAATGGCGTTGACTCATAGCCAGATCCGGAAGTTGGCAACTTCCTTGTTGGGCGAAAGTGGCGTCAACCGACAACTCGGAAAGCACTGGATGACTGGCTTCCTACGCCGCAACCAGCGAATAAAAACACTCAAAGGAAAGGGAATTGACCGGAAAAGGATAAATGGAGCAAATCCAGCTGCTATTCGTGGGTTCTATGACCTATTAGACCAACCAGGGGTCAAATCGATCCCTCCACGCAACCGTTGGAATTTTGACGAAACTGGAGTCTTCCAAGGGCTCGGAACCAACGGGCTTGTAGTTGGCCAATCAGAGCTCCGATCGACAATTAAGAAACAGCCACATGACCTTAATTGGATAACTATTCTTGAGGCTATTTCCGCAACGGGAAGGTGCCTCGACCCATTGGTCGTCTTTAAAGGCAAACACGTCCAACACCAATGGTTTCCAGAGGAATTGGACTTTCTGACCAATTGGAAATTCACATCGTCTAAAAAGGGCTGGACTAATGACGAAATTGGCCTTGCTTGGCTGCAGGAAGTCTTTCTTCCGGGCTCTAAGCCAGCCCGGACCAATGAGAAGAGGCTCCTCATCCTAGATGGGCATGGATCACACATAACGCCTGATTTTATGCGTATTTGTGTGACCAATAGAGTCCATTTACTCTATTTGCCGCCTCACACAAGCCACGTTCTTCAGCCTCTTGATATATCAGTCTTTGGGCCACTTAAAGCTGCATATCGGGCCGCCTTAACACTAGCCAATCCCCTCACTGATATTGGCCCAACTAGGAAGGACGACTTTCTTACTTGCTATTTTGAGGCAAGGAAGAAGGCTCTTACTACTAAAAATGCCTTATCAGGTTGGAGAGGAGCTGGGTTGTGGCCAATCAACATATCAAAGCCAATGGGTAGTAAATTTGTTATTCACAACCCTAATGACACAATTACGGTCCAATCAGAAGCTCCTATTTCTCCAAAAACGAATCAGAGGTCTGAAATCATCCCTTTTACAACCCCTAGCAATTCGAGAGACATTACTTTATTGGTCCGTTCTCATAAGAAGGAAATGCTAGCTAGCCCAACCACGAGACAGCTGTTGCGGACTATTAGCAAGGGATTTGATAGGCTCCAGTTTCAAATTGCCCAATTAGAAGAAAAAATCAAAGTCCAAGATCAAAATTCAAGCCAATCAAAGGCTAGGAAAAGAGGACGGGTTTATAAAGACCCAAATAGGCTATTTCAAGATATCCGGAATGTTAAGAGGGCAAGAAGGCGAATAAAAACGCCTGAGGTTGAAGATTCAGAATAGCTTGTTGTCACAGGCTGGGGCCTGGCTTGGGGTTCTGGCTGTGCCGGAACCCACTAATTGATATTACCTGGGCAACTACGCAGTATATTAGCGGTGAGGAAGCAGCTTTCTTCTTTCTTTCCTTCCTTCTTCTCCTTAGCTTTAGATAGACAATTCTACGGCAACAGCTTGTTGAACAAACTCCTGTCCAGCCCTTCACACTTGTTTTTTCTTTGTTTTAATTAGTTGATTTTTTGATATTTAGAAATTTCATTAGTTAGTTTATTAAAAATCAGTTGAAATGGGCCAATTAGGTCTTTTAGTTGTTATTTTATCTATAAGTGAAGTTGAATTGCGATTTTGGTTGTTATGTAAGTGGGGCGGTCAGGTAAGGGGTCGGTCAGCTAATGGGTGGTCCGACTTAGTGTGAGCACTTCTTAACATCAGCTGCACGGGTGCACTTCCTCCATACAGTGCATCAAGGCCAGACCAAATGTCAACAAGCAAAAGATGATGACAGCGTTCTAGAAATTGTAACAGCCGTCGGAGCAGATATGTCCCTTCTTGTCCACAATAACCCTGTCCACAGCTTTGAATGCGGTAATGATACGGGGGTCTGAACTCGCGATATCATTTGGTAACGTGGCCTTGCCCAGTAATGAGATCCAGTCTTCCATTGTCTTCTCGCAATTCTTGGCGAAGGAGTTCAACGGGTCGTCATTCCAAAGCATTACTCAGATAGATAGTTAAAAAGTTTATAACTGTAACCATGGCCTTCCATTCCACGAAGCTTTATCCGAAGACTCCCACCCAGCTTGGATTCTCGGTACCAGTGCCATTAAACACATATGCGTAGCCCAGGACGGCGATGGCAATGTTGAGAAGAAAGGAATGCAGTAGAACCTGTCCAAGGGCCGTTCTGGGAATACCTAATACATGACCGAACAAAGTTGAGAGATAACTGAGGGCCAACAACGGGACAGCAACTATCCCCAGAAGAAAGGCGATGTTTACTATGAAACAAATAATGAAGAGCAAGAACAGGCCGCCTCCAACTGTAGAGCCGATCACACTAGGAGAAACAACTGCATAGACCGATTTCGAGACTATCACACGAATAGCAGTAGCCACCTCTTCTTCGTCGACTTTGCTGGTAAGAAAATGCAATGCCACAAAGGAAATAGAAAACCCGGCAAGTAGAAGTAGGAAAATTCCTAGAGGTGGCTCAAAATCAGGATGCATAATGTTCAGCAATAAAAACGCGCTCAGAAATTCATGAATGGCGATACTGGACGGATTGATAGCCTTCAGCCACCAAGAATGAGCTCTCAGGGCCCAGCAGCCATCGTAGTCTGTTTTCCTCACCCCAGATTGGTGGAAGAAGGTCAGCGCGCAAAGATTCAAGACCTCGCCCAAGACCATCGGAACGAAGAACATAAGCGCGGTGATCTGGGTGAGGGGGATGCCGCGCATAGCGAGCAGCTTGATGGTCTGGCAGGGAACGCCTCCGAGAATCATCAGAATCCAGCGGCCAAGCGCGACCCTCTCAACATCAGCTTTCCTGCCGTCGTTGCCGGCGGGGGCGAAGTCCTCGTCACGGAACCGGTACGCCAGCTCCGACCTGAACGGCCCCCAGGACCACTGGGGTTCAGCGATGTAGTGCAGCGTAACGGTTGCTGCGAACAACAGCATATCGAACACACACGTCACCGGCGACGACCGTACGAAGAACCGATATTCCGGGGGCAGGTCGAGCACACGCCCGATGGGCTGCGTCATCGCCCCCAGGACGAGAGGGACGAGGGCGAAGAAGGCCACCTGCCACTTCACCTCGTCGGGTCCGGAATCAGGTCCTACAGATACGGGTATTAAGTCTCGCTCAAGGGATGCAGAGGGCTGGCAGGGCTTGCAGCAACGGGGCGTTTACACTCACCAGGAGCAGGCTCTAAGGCGTCCATGGACAGCAATCGCGCTTTGATACAGAAACCTCGACAGAATAGGTTGCAGGGTCGCGGAGCTTAATAGATAGGTTCTAGTACGACGCCACGAAGGCTACTATCGCCTTAAAGATATATTGGTGATCTCGTAATATATCTAGATCAAGGTTTTCTCGTGGGTGCGGTATCAACTGTGCAAACAGAAGAGGGCTTGACAGAACGGAATAACCGTACAGATAAATTTGCTGTCCGAGCAATGAGGTCAAGGATCATTCTTCGATGCGGGGGATCCAGGAGACCCTAGACATACAAGAAAAAGTGACGGGAAGAGCCCAATTCGCAAAAGAAAGCATTGGGCACTAATGCGTCGGCACCAAAGCCCTCGGGCTAGCGAAAGACGCGCAAGGCAGTATCGGTAGACGGATATTTTAATTTTCCGGCACAGCCACAATAGATTTCTATTTAGCGTGGGGATAACCAGGCGACTGATACACTGGCGCCTGGGCGCCATTTTAAAATTGGCGCCCGGGCGCGTTTTCTGACTAAGCCAAATGTCTCCGCGACCGACTATGTTTGTTTGTTCAGTCATTCTGCGGTGAGACATTTCTCAACCCAGAAGAAGAGACTTCTCGAAATCTCATTATTTATCTCCTTTATTACTTTTGAAATACCCGGTAGCCGCTTGGCGGAGATTCAGGCCTTTGGCGGATGTCTGGTGTTGCGAACCCCGCTTCAGACGTCATTGTCGTCATGGAAGGCGAACCGGATGTTCCGGGCGAGGGATATCATCGTCCCCTGCGTAAAAGGACCAGAACGACGAGGGCATTGGAATCCGAGCAGCAAAATGGTGATATGGAATGGCAGGAAGATGAGAGCAGTGAGGGAGCTTTGAGTCACACCAGAACTAAGAAAAGGACCACGCTTAAGGCAGCTGGCAGCATGACGGAGGCAATCCAGGGTCTGAAACGACTCCTAGAACAAGACTTCAATAAGAGAATGGAAACGATGAAGGCAGAGTTTCAGCTTGAGTTTACAAAACTTAGCGACCGCATGGCTGAAGAAGTCACTAGGACCACGGCCCAGATGGCACAAGAATTATCACAAGTCCGAGAGCAGCTTACCCAAGTTTGCAGCGAGTTGGAGCAGACCCGGCTACAGCTGGATATCGTGAACAATGCTCAAGCAGCACGATCGTCTAGCAAGACATATGCGGACGCTGCCAGAATGACACCTGTTAGTATTACCACTCAAGCTTCGTCCACGGTTCGATCGGCAACCCCGGAACCGATGTTCTGCACAGTAGACACATCCAGAGTGCCCGACGATCATATCGGAGACACTACACCGGCAGTACTTCGCAGGACCATTGAACAGGAAATGCGAATGTCTAGCGACCAACCTAGTTGGCGATGTGTTGCGGTGACTAGAGATGGACGAAACACCCACCGCCTGAGGGTCATTGGCAGGAATGAAGAAGAATTAAAGATGATCAGGACCATCATCGAGGCCAAGAAAGCCCCAGGTGCAAGAGTTCTTCGAGACCAACTATACCCAGTTAAAGTTGACAACATTAACCGCGCTGCCGTTCTCGACCAGGATGGCAAGGTCCTTCCTGGAGCAATGGAAGCCTTGGGCCAAGAGAATGAAGTCCAGATTGCCAAGATAGCCTGGTTGAGTCGAAAGAACAGCACAAAGGCATATGGATCGATGGTGGTATACCTTACTAAAAATAGCGACGCTACGAGACTCCTACAGGAACACTACTTCCTTGCAGCGGGTGAATCGGCGTACACCGGGGCCTTCGAGCGGAGAACCGGACCGATGCAATGCTATAACTGCCAGGAGCTCGGCCATAAGGCATTCTCGTGCAGCAAGAATCGAGTATGTGCAAGATGCGCCGTCGAAGGCCATCATCATAGTGAGTGTCAGACGCAGGTACCCAAGTGTGTGCCCTGCGGTGGGCCGCATGAGTCGTTCAGTAGAAGCTGCCCGAAACTCTACCCCACTCGGCAAGAGCAGGATGTTTCAGGTAATCCAACTGAATGTGAGAAAACAGGATACAGTACACGAAAGCCTAATAAATGACCAGCGACTCCAAAATTTTGCAGTTGTGGCGATTCAAGAACCACAGGCATGGAAAAGCAACGGTAAACTATTAACAGTCCCTATGGGGCACCCCCGATGGGTCAAAATGGTCCCCAGGATTTGGAGGGATGGCAGATGGGCAATCCGGAGTATGTTGTGGGTGAATAGGGACTTGGAGGCCGAGCAAGTACCAATACAGTCCCCAGACTTAACAGCAGCAACCATACGACTCCCGGACCGAATAATGTTAGTTGTGTCAGTATATGTGCCGGGACGTAAGCCCCAGGCTCTTCGATATATATGCCATGCCCTGCACCAGGTGATCCTCGACCTTAGGGGCAGGACAGGGATGGCGGTGGACGTCATCCTTGCTGGAGATTTTAATCAACACGACTGGCTATGGGGAGGAGATGATGTGCCATGGGCAAGGCAAGGCGAAGCCGATCCGATCATCGATCTCATGAACGAACACGGTCTTTCACAGCCTCCTCCCGAGAGGCACGAAGACATGGCAAGGCCCTGACAAGGAAAGCACAATCGACCTGGTGCTGGCGACGGCGGAGGTGACGAACGAAATGGTGGAGTGCTCCATACACCCGACAGAACATGGATCGGACCACCGGGCAATCCAAACGACGTTCGATGTCGCCATGCCTGAACGGATTGTCATGGAAAGACTGATGTTCAAGAACGCACCATGGACAGCAATCAGAACCAGAGTGGAGGACAATCTCCGAGAGCTTTCCTGGACCGTTGGCGTGCAGGAGCAGACAGATCAGTTTATGAGGGTCGTCCTCGAGGCAATCCACGAGCTGACGCCCCGAGCACAACCAGTATCGTACGCGAAGCGCTGGTGGACCAAGGATTTGACAAGACTTCGGCGGGTGTACACGTTTTGGCGAAATCAGGCTAGGGCACAGCGGCGAGCAGGTCAGGAGAGGCCCGACCTGGAAAAACGGGCCAAGGAAGCATCCAAGGAGTACCATGATGCCATCCGGAAACAGAAGAAACTGCACTGGGAAGATTTCCTAGCAGAAGATGTCAACATATGGAAGGCAGCCAAGTATTTGAAACCTGGAAAGGACATCATGAACGATAGGGTGCCACCTTTAGAGACAAGACGGCTCCACCACGGAAGATAGAGTGGAACAGGCAGAGGAGCTGCTCAGCTCGTTCTTCCCGCCGTTGCCGGCCAGGATTGAAGATGAAGGTGACCGACCGCATCGGAGGGAAGTTCACATGCCAGACCTCACCATGGAGGAAGTTGAGGAAAAATTGCGAGCAGTGAAACCTTGGAAAGCGCCTGGAGACGATGGTCTGCCAGCAATGGTGTGGAAACAGCTTTGGCCAGTGGTTAAATACCGTATCTTGCACCTCTTCGACACATCCCTCAGGGATGGTGTAGTACCCCACCAATGCAGGAGTGCAAAGATCATCCCGCTGAAGAAGCCAGACAAAGGAGACTACACAGTGGCTAAGGCCTGGAGACCGATATCGCTACTATCAACACTAGGCAAGATACTCGAGGCAGTTGTTGCAGAGCGGATATCCTATGTAGTGGAGAGCTATGGACTGCTACCTGCAAACCACTTCGGTGCAAGGAAGCGAAGGTCAGCCGAACAAGCACTGATACTGCTGCAGGAACAGATCTATAAGGCATGGAGGGCCAGCAGGGTGCTCAGTCTGATCAGTTTCGACGTCAAAGGTGCTTACAATGGAGTGTTCAAAGAGCGACTACTGGAGAGGCTGAAGGCGAGAGGCATACCTGGTGGACTGGTGAGATGGATTGACGCCTTCTGCTCTGGGCGTACGGCCGCCGTGATAGCAAATGGGCACACATCACAACTACGGGAGTTGCCACAGGCAGGTCTCCCGCAAGGGTCACCGCTGTCGCCGGTGTTGTTCCTGTTCTTCAATGCAGATTTGGTGCAGAGAAGAATCAACGCAAAAGGTGGCTCGATAGCATTCGTGGACGACTACTCGGCCTGGGTGGTGGGACCAACAGCACAGGAGAACCGAGCCGGTATCCAATCAATTATAGATGAAGCACTGGGCTGGGAAAGACGGAGCGGCGCGACGTTCGAAGGAGACAAAACGGCCATCGTGCATTTCACGCGAACGCCGCGCGTACAAGCGACACGCCGTTCATGATCAAAGGAAAAGTAGTCAAGCCGAAGGCGAGCGCCAAGATCCTGGGAGTAGTCATGGACGCGAAACTACGGTACAGGGAACACATAGCTAGAGCTGCTGCAAAGGGGCTCTCGGCTGCCATATGCCTGAGAAGACTGAAGATGCTGTCACCGCGGACGGCGAGACAACTGTTCGTAGCAACAGTAGCTCCCACCATGGACTATGCATCTAACGTGTGGACGCACTCATGCGGTGTCAGAGAAGCAGCTTGGTTGAATAAGGCACAGATGGTCGGAGCACAAGCGATCACGGGAGCTTTCCAGACTGTGGCAACAGCGGTGGCAGAGGCCGAAGCTAGTATCCAACCGGTACAGGAACGACATATGCAAGCAGCAACAAGGTTTTGGATCAACCTCCGGACCCTTCCCAGGACACACCCGTTGGCTACACTGAAAGTGAAAGTGTGTCGCCGATTCGTGTCGCCGATGCAGAGGATTGCTCAGGCACAAGGGGAGACAACCACTGAACGAATGGAGATCATCCAGGAGTACGCGCTACCGCCATGGAGAGACCGTGCACTAATGTCGTGCGACTCTAACCGGGAGAAAGCGGTGGAAGCCGCAAAGGGAGTAGATGGCATAGTCATTGCCACCTGCTCCTCGCAGAGAGGGGGCATAGTAGGCATGGGAGGTGTCGTACGAGATACGGCGATCAACAATGCTGACGAGGTAGTGGCCAGCTACTCCATCACTCTCGGGTCAAGGGAGGAGCTGAACCTATACATCGCCGAGCTGTATGCCGTCTGGACTCTGCCGGCGGGATATGACTGTTATGACAAGCAGCCGCTCCGCACTAGAAGCCATACGACGGCCACGACAACAATCCGGCCAACAGATCATACGGCAAATCTACGACCATATCAAGCGTCTTGAAAACGAGGGCCACTCTCTCCGGATGATGTGGGTTCCAACAGGAGAAGAGGATTTCGCGCTGGGACCAAAAGCCAAAACAGCAGCCCGGAAGGCCACAGAAGGAGAATGCAGACCAGATGTGCCACCACATCTAGCAAGATCCACAAGGATAAGACTAGCGATAACCAAGCAGCGGCAAACAAGAACACTACCAGAAAGAGTCGGGAAATACTCGAAGCAGATAGACACGGCACTGCCAGGCAAGCATACCCGTGCTCTGTATGACCCGCTGAAGAGGAAGGAAGCAGACGTACTGTCGCAGCTCCGCACCGGAATGGCGAGACTTAATAGCTTTCTGTGCAAGATAGGAGCAATGGAATCGGACACTTGCGAATGCGGGCAAGCATCAGAGACAGTGGAACACTTCCTATTCCGCTGCACAAAGTGGGCCGCGCAACGAGAAGGCATGCTGCGATGCTCACAGACAAAGATGGGAAACCTCTCGTTCTTCTTAGGAGGAAAGGCAGCATCTGACGGGGACAAATGGGCGCCAAACATGCAGGCAGTACGGGCAACAATCAAATTCGCCATTGCAACAGGGAGGCTTGACATGGACCAGAAGCCTCAGGCACACTAACTATTCAGATTGAATCCTACTAACATCATACAGTCTCATTTTGACAGACCGTGCTTCAGCTGCTGAGGATAGGATGCTGGACACTTGGAGAAATTGGCCTTCAAGCAGGCCTGTCACGGGATATACGCCAGATTGGACCGGTCGGTAAAAAGTATGGCAGCCTATAGGGGTCGCTGTTGCAAAACCCCGAAATTCGCCGCGAAGGGGCCAAATTGGGTTAGCGGCATATCCCCAAGGCCCCGCAGTACATTGCCCTTTGTACCTCAGCCCACGTTTCTTGATTTTTTGGGCGCTACAGAGTTTATGGTCACAGCAACGAGTCAGCTGCGGACCAGCAGGCTGCATTTCTATTCCATCCAAAGCGACATCAGGCATCGGCGTGGCGGTCAGAGTGGAAATTGCCACTGCTCAATTATCCTCATTCTCCTCTTCCTCTTCCTCGTCCGGCTGACTGAGCTGCTGAGCATTGAGTTAGTAGTTGAATTGCATCTGAAGATTTAATTACGCTCACAATCCAGAGCCGAGCAGCCCCGGCGATGGCCATGAATCAGCGGGCACTGGGTCGAATCAATCCTCGGCCCTTCTTGACTCCGGGGTTCCTGCTGGGCGAGTCTCCAACCGCCGTGCCAGCGGTTGTAATTTCACTTACGGTGACGGGATTGGATGTGGGCATGATACAGTAACGCTGTTGACCACTGGCTTTTCCACGGCCGTGGTGATCCAGACTGGAAGGGATCTGGGGTCTTTAATTCCGGATAGCGGCATCATCCTGTTCCAAGTTGGGAAGGTACTACCAACAAAACCCCTGACGTTAGGCCGCTGTGGGCCAGTATCATCACGGTAAGTCAAACTTATAGTGAGGCCACGCCCTTGCCGTCCCCCCCTTTTCTTGTTGGAACCAAGAAAATTCCCCCAAACTCACCGCCAGCAATGGCACGCCCGCCCAATCCAATCGATCAATACCGTGACTATGTCACCCACCTCTACCTTAACGGTGTCTCTCGAAGCAAGATTCAGTATAAGCTTCGGAAGCATTACCATGTCGCCGTCAATCTCAGCACAATCTCTCGCCGAATCGCAAGCTGGGGTCTCCCGCGCCAGCAAGCCCGCACCAAAGAAAGTCCAGAGCTCATAGAGGCCACTCGCGACCTGATATTTCGCGTTGGGCTTACCGAGAAGCAGACGCTGAGCGTTCTACAGAGACAGGGCTGGCCGATCACGAAACGAGGTCTGAAGTGCATCAGGCTACACCCGGACCGCCGCTGGCTACGCAGGCTCAACAGCGATGAGGAGCGACTCGCCTTGCTGGAGAAGACAGAGCAGGCCATCATCGAAATGACGCGACGTTCTAATGCCATTTCGGGTTATGGCAGAAACCTTCTCCAGCCGTATCTTCGTCAGCAAAAGCAGCTCTGGGTACCAAGAGACCCTCTCTTTGAGATGTACAAAATCATGTTCCCAAATGAGGTCGAGCTCCGGAAAAGGATGTTTCGGAGGAAGAAGGGACAGTTCCTTGTGCCAGGACCAAATTACCAGTGGTGCATTGACGGCCATGACAAGCTCAAGGCGTATGGATTCGAGATCTATGCCGCAATCGACGCTTACTCGCGCAACATTATCTGGTTCTATGTTGGCCACTCTTCTACAACGAACTAGGATACGAGGACGAAGAAGGAAACGACGTGGAGGGAATAAGTGATGATGGGGAGGATAGCGATATTTCGAATGGGGAGCCCGAGTAGTCAATCCTTCCTTTTCATACGTCGGACAGCAAATGTCGTGGGGATTTCTGTCCCTTTGAAGCGGTTGGAGTGTGCATGTGGGAGTGTCCCAGCAACATCAGTGTCGGAGAGTCGAGCCTGATCTGTTAAGGGCTCGCCCTTTGAGGATCTTCCGTGCAAAGAGTGCTGTGAATTGTCTATCTAAATCTAAGGAAGAGAAGAGGATTTCCTTCTGCAGGAATCTTCGTACAGTCTTATAGTAGTTTCCGGGAAGTCTTCGGGAAGTATTTCAGCCGGTTGCCAGGGGACTTCCCGTGTTCTTCCCGCAGGCCCTGGCGGCTGGGTTAGTTTCAGTACTAGTAGTTGCTAGCGTCTTGACCCTGGCTTCGGCACAGCCACAGCCGTATCCCCAGGCTCCAGCCTGTAACATGATCACTCCCAAAGCGCTGAGACATCGACTCCAGGGTTACCCTTATGGACTCACTGACCGTGGCGGAGAGTCCTCAACGTCCACCAACTCATTGTATGGGCCCGGAAGTGCCAGAGTTTTGGACCTGGCTTGATCCTGGGTCCGGAAGGGGTTGGAATCCGGGTTGAAACGAGATTTTAGTTTAAGAAGAACAAAAACAACATCGTTCTTGGCTATGGTGGATGGCTTCACTAGACTCATTTAAGAGGGAGGTTACTGCGCTAGGTCGCTGGTGACCGGGAGCGGGATTACTGCGGTAATCCTCTGTAGGCTCACGACGCTGCTCGTCATCGCGAGTTGCAGATGGGTTGGGCAACTGGGCTTTCATTGCGGTGCAGGTGCGTTGCGATCGTGATAATAGCATAGTGAAGGTGTTTAGTGAATTAATTAGAAAGAATTAATTCATATTATCGGAACAAAGTTCCTAATATCACGTTGTGCGTACTGTATCTATGTGACACCAAACAGCTCGATCGGAACCCATTTTGCACCTGAAGGCTATCTTCCACTCTAGCTCTTATAAGAGTCCAAGGAGCGTTCTTGAATAACAGTCTTTGCGTCGTGATCCTCTCGGGCATTGCGATGTTAAACATCGTCTGGATCGCTCGTTGGTCTGACCCGTGATCGGTCGGATGAAGGGCGCACGTCACCATCTCGTCTGCCAGTTCCGACGTTGCGAGCACCAAGTCGATGGTGCTCTCTTTGTCCGGGCCTTCCCACGTCTTCGTGCCCCTCGGAAGGAGGCTGCAGAGGCCGTGCTCGTTCATCAAGTCAATGATTAGCTCGGCTTCGCCTTGGCTTCTTGCTGACACCTCGTCTCCGGTCCAGAGTAGGTCATGGCGATTGAAGTCTCCAGCCAGCACCACGTCCGTACTCGTACCGGTGCCATTACGGAATCGCTGGATCAGGTCATGCAGTACTCTAACTGTAGATATCAGCGCCTCTGTGTTCTTCCCCTTCACGTACACTGACACCATCAGGATGTCTCTCTGTGGCAGTCGAAGCACCGCTGCCGTGAGATCTGCCGATGGTATCGGCACCTGCTCCGCCTCAATGTCGTCTCGTACCCAGAGCATGGCCTAAGTGGGGCGAAATAAATAAATTCTACTAGAATTGATTTTGGTATGAAACACTAGGCCTTTGCCTCTTGCCTGTCGGATCCATGATGCCATTGTGATCCGCGTACAAGTGAATCTCAGCATTCTGCAACCCTTTGATGGCATAGCTCTTTGGCCTCGGCCTGTTTTGCTTGATGCAAAGGCAACACACCCATCGACGTTCCTGCTTCTGGGTATGCTGGATATCGTAGCCGAACTGATAGACCCATTGACGCACTTGACCGTCTCTTTCGGTCAAGCTCCAGCCTTTGTAGAGCTGAAAGAGTCGTTGATTGTCTTCTTCTGTACGTTCTGGAACAGCTATGATTGACTTCTGGTGAACAGGCAACTCGATAGGTGATCGCAGTGGGGTAGGATTGGGAGTGTCCATTTCAATTTGGGGTGGTAAAGTGATTGAGTTTCCAGAATAACTTGTTCGTACTTCGTATGGAGTAACCGGGGGTTGCAAATGAATTCGTGAAGGGTGGATCTTTTTGTGTGCGATAGAAAGTACTTAGGGCATAGGCTATTTAGCAAGGGAAACTCAGGTATGTTCAAACCCCGCCTAAAATTTCCATTCCATTCCACAATTTCCACATGTGGATGGGATCCTGTGGAGTGGATATGGAAATGCTGAAGCTCATGTGGAATCGAACGGAATGGACGTGGATCCATTATATGGATCCATATGTGGATTTCGTGGTATGGATTTGAACCCTGTGACTTACTGTCTATCCCTACAATGTCAGCAGAGACTGAAAGGACGTTCAGTAGCGCGGGAAAGATGGTATCACCTTTACGAACTCGTCTTAATCGACACAATATTGGGATGGCGCAGAGTATGCGGTCATAGAGCAGGGAGGGTATTGTCCTACCCTCGTGGTAGTGATGAGTGGGATCGGCGTTAAGACGTGAAGATCGGAGATATCCGTTGGTCGGAAACAACCAACTGCAATCCAACTGAGAGCAGCCTCCTCCAACTTCAATCCAACTGAAATATACTTGGCCGGATGTCAATCCAACTGCAAGGAGGTACCAGTTGAGTTGAATTGGTTGATTACGCACTCTGCTACCGGCACATTCCTCTGGGTAGCACTCGTTGTCCAGGAGCTTTAGGGGTGCTCGAAAAACTGCCGCCTGGTTTAGACGGGCTTTACGGTCGAATGATAAACCAGATTCAGCAGCTGGACAGCCAGAACCCGGAGTTTTGTCGACTGGTACTTTCGGAGAAATGTGGGGCTTTTGGTGGTCAAGACCAAATCGTTAGAACTGTAAATAGCCTAGCGTGCTGGCCCTATGAGGGTTGTCCTCCCGGGCGGAATAAATTTCATTCATTCATTCATTCATCTGAACACACAGGCCTTTGAGGCCCTCGGTGGGGCCAATCTCCAGAGGGAATCCGGGGAGGTCCCAGGTTGCGGAGAATCGATTGTGCTGAAGTTGTCATAATTACCATGCAGTACCCACCTACCGGTAATACCCACCTACCGGTAAGCAAAAATATTTTTTCCCCATACAAAATTCACTTTTTCAACCTCATGGGAAAAACTTAACAAAAACAGTTAAAATAAAATAATTTCCAGAATTCGGGTTACAATTGAATAAATTTTAATATTTTCTCGGTCTTTTTACTTCACGGCCGCTGCGGGTGCGTACGACGGGTAACTCTTCCGCCTCCGAATTTGAACTTCCATCCTCTTGCATCCCTCCCACCTCAATCGTATCCTCAACAGCCCCTGTCTCTTCAATTGCCTGGATTGGCTCGGAAATGGTTTCACCAGCCACTAGAGCCTCAGCCAATGTCATGAACTTCTTGTTGGGATTGGGTATCGCCTTCCTCTTCTTGCCTCTACTCAACCGGCCGACTTCCTCCTCCAGACTGGTGACTCTTGCGCTCAGCGAGGCTATCTTTGACTCCTGGGCTTCAAACCCTTTTGATATCACAGAATACCGTCTTCTGGTTGAAGGGCTCTTGTTCTTTCCCAGATCTCTGATATGACGGCTGGTCTTTGGCGTATTATCAGAGTCGCGTTGTCCGTCACTGAGGCCCTCTGATGCAGGCGTAGTTTCCTTCTTGTCTGGCTGAATCTCTGGATGTATGAGGGCTTTCCGTCGTGAAATTGGCCAATTCCCAGTCACTCTCCAGCCTGAGAGTATGTTTTTCTTACTCATACCCACTTCCCTGGCTTTGGCATAAGCCTTAATGAAGTTGACCTTATCCACCGGCGCAGAATCGGTCAGGCTTGCCAATTTTTGGAGTTCTTTGCGATATGCAGCTTTGGAGGCATTAAAAACGCCATTATCCAGCGGTTGTAGGCCGTGAGAGCAATGAGCCGGCAGGTAACAGCAATATACGTTGTTCAAGAAGCAGGTAGCCATCCACTCATCCTGAGTTTTAGGTCAGCGGCATTTATGATTCAGACCAGGTAGATACTCGCAGATACATGACTTCCATGGCCATCTAAGATAATAAGTCTGGCATCAGAATCATCTGCCGGCTGGGTTTGAGGTAGATAGACCTCTTTGAGCCACTCAACTGTGATGTGGTTGTCTGTCCAGCCGTTTTCAGAAGTGATATAATACCAGTCGGCTATCTTCTTGAACTCGTCGATAAACCACTGCTGCTGAAGTCCCTTGCCTTTGAAAATAATCCCTGGTTTCAGAAGACGGCCATCTGCAGTCACGGCTTCGATAAAGCTAGTCCAAGCGCGGGACTGAGAGCCTTTGAGGAAGGCCTTCCTCTTGGGATCGCTACTGCCGATAACTAAGGAATCCAAGCCTGTATTCGGAATGTATTAGTGAGTTTTATGACAAAAACGATAAATGCTCACCAAATCCAGCCATGATACCGCCCTCGTCAACATTAACTGTGTTCTCAGGCTTGATCCAGCCATACTCGCTTTTCCGGATATCAAAGTACCAATTGACGGCCATTGGAGTAAAAGAATTGAATCTCGATGCCTCCTGACGTTTTCCTATCTTCGTCTTTATGGTCGAATGTCGTTTCATGAACCTGGCTACCCAGTGTATACCGATAGGCCTTTCCCGGCCTTGTTGTCTCAAGAGGGCCGCGACGGTGGCGCGAACATGACTGTGGGATGGAGCATAGCCCAAGGCCTCTTGCCTCAGTATCCAGGTGACTATTCTGGACTCCTGAGACTTGGATAATAGCTGGGCAGGCTGGGTGACCTCGGACTTTGACGGTAGGCCTCTTAATCGGTCTGAGAGAGTCGTCTGGGGGATGTCATGCTTCTGGGCGGCTTGGTTCTGGGAGAGGCCGTTATCTGTGACATCCAGTAAGGCTTCGACAACGCCATTCTCTGTATAAGACATTCGGGGCATTTTTGAGGTGATTACGAAAGGTTAGTGCAGATAAAAATTCGATGAAACTTGGTGGAAGCCGATTCTTGAACGAGGCGTTTTTAGAAATTATACATTAGGCCCGTGCGAACAAACCGCTTCTGTAATGTAAAAAGTAATATCATAATATGAAACAGCATGAAACTCTCAATAAGACACAGCTTGTTTCATGTAAATAACTTCAATTTTGGCCAAGCACTGTGCAAGTGAAGTTGGGCATTTTGTATGAGGAAATTTTATTTTTGCTTACCGGTAGGTGGGTATTACCGGTAGGTGGGTACTGCATGGTAACGAACCTAGTCGCTTTAGGCTTTGTCTGGCAGCGCCGGAAATAGCACCTTGTCACTGGCCGTTTTCGATTGGGCTATCGTCCCCTTTCGGGTTTTATTTGTCTTTCTCGTCGTGACTCTATCGGTCGAGATCATGTTTTGATTGATTGATTGACTGATAGGTGGTCATCTTGCCCACCATCGCTTGACGTGTCAGCGGCGTGCGAATTGTTTTCGCCGTTGGAAATGCCTAGTCGCTTAAGGGATAAGCTCGCTCCTTTGACAGATAAGTGCACGCCTGACGCCAGTATCAAGACATACAATCTCAGCTATTGGAGTGGAGAATGAAGGATCCGTAACAAAGTTATAGTCAAAGTGTCGGTTTTTTTTTCGACGTATTACGATGTAAACATCGGCTTTATCACGACGACTCATCTTATCACAGTGTTTCATTAAACGCTGGGTTGCTTGAGCAGGCCTTTTTGGTGAAGGTAATGAAGAAGGCGAAACGGTTTTCATACTAAGGAACCTTGGGCTTCGACAGGCCGGGGAATGCAATTTGAGTTGTTAATTTACGAAACCGAGATTCAAGCTTCGTGAGGTGAGGAGCTAGATAGCGGTTCGAAATTGGACTTTGTGGTTAAGAAAGTGGACAGCTGAGTCTGAAAAGTTGTTTCGTACCTAGCGAGAGCGGACGGCACCGCCGAAACCGAAGGGTCCAACCGCAACGCAGCCGCACCACCAAGTAGTGCGTGGCGTGCAGCATTGAGGCTCACGTTAACGGGGTTTCTTGTAAGGGCTGCCGGCTATACGGATAATGCATCATCCTTACGATGTGGCTGCTGCAAGGTTCGCGCTACGGGTATCGACAATGAAAGTTGCTTGGAAAAGAGGCGTCGATATGGAGGCCGTACGCCGTGACGGGATGTCCTCAGAGCCCTCACGTCCGCAATGATATGTGAATAACTTTGATACCTGGCGAGGTTGTCGTATCACTTGCCGATTCGCATGTGCGTATCAATCTATCGAGCCAGTCGCGCCAGGCAAACAATGGCGACACTGAGGGATGACAACGGAGATGGCCTTATCCATTCCGATATTTCAAGTGCCATTTCTTAGGAGATCGGGATAACACACGCGACTCATTCTGATTGAGGTTACTTAGGGGACTAACGGGGATGGGGCTGGACACATATCATAGCGAGGTGTCCGGGTAAAGCGGCTTCAGTCAATCCGCCGGCACTAGGGAGTCTAGACTACCGCAATCGTCAACATGCAATGAATTCTATATTACCTTTAACATCTCTAAGCTTTTACGCACGTTCTATGGAGCCATGTTCGGGCTGACCGCGACGAGAGAACACATCATCATGAGTCACGGTGGTCAGGAATATACCAAGCCACGTTCTTACAAAAGCTCGCGACCAACAGTGTTGCCCCCGGCATGCGGCCTGGCATGCGGCCTGGTCGGGGCTCCATGTTCCTTGTGAAGGACAAATGCCGGACCGGGGGGGGAGGGGGGGGAAGGGGGGGGAAGGGGGGGTCCAGATTTGATGGCCAGGTGCTTACCTGGAAACACCCAGTCTCGGGGGTGTGTTCAAGACATGTATGCCTGGTTTTTGTCTCCACTGCCAAATACTCAATACATTAATAAAGGCCTTATATTCTCATTACTCTCTTCCAATTGATTCACCTCTTAGAGGCTCAAGAAATTAAATAAGGCCATGTCACGGCATCACCCTGCCAACTGCACGTGACCCACGCTCTGTACATAGCATCCGCCCATTGTGGCATCTCCATACTTCCTCCCTCAAGGCACAACTACGTTGTTGACCCATACCCACGTTCGCCCCGTGATAGGCCAATATATTCCCGACTCTCCTGTTCTCTCCTCAAAGACTTCAGCTTCCATTTTCGCCACCACTCACGCTCACGCTGAAGGCTCTCTCACATCTTCGTCCACTTCACTCACCAATCATGCCTCGAAAACCCACCCTTGTGCTCGTGCCTGGAGCATGGCATGGCCCCGACACTTGGGGAAAAGTCGTGTCAGCAATGGAGGCCGAGCACTACAAATGTGTCCCCGTGGCTCTCCCTACCACCTTAGGAGACGTCTCAGCAAACTTCTCGGACGACGTCAGGGCTGTTCGAGATGCCATTGTCGCGGAAACTACACAAGGGCGAAACGTTGTCGTCGTGGTGCACTCCTACGGTGGCGCTGTCGGCAGCAGCGCAATAAAAGGCTTGACACCGCAACAGCCCTCGTCCCAGAACGAAAACTCCGGCCATGTCGTTGGATTCTTCATGGTCGCCACTGGATTCATGGTCTCCGGAGTGACCTTCTTGGATGGCCTTGGCGGTAATCCACCACCAACCTGGGAGTGCGATTGGGAGCAGGGCATCGCCACCATAAAGGTCAACCCGAAGGAGCTGTTCTATCACGATCTCCCATCAGAAGAAGGAGGCTACTGGGTCGGACGACTGCAGAAACAAGCCCTAAAGGCTTTCACGACCGGCGCGGCAGATGGCTATGCAGGCTGGAAGGAGGTTCCGGTCTGGTATCTCGCCACGACGGAGGACAAGGCTCTGCCAATTGAGGCGCAGAGAGCTTTTGTTCAGGGTGCGCAGGCTGAGGGAGGTAATGTGACATTGCGAGAGATCGCGAGTAGCCATTCACCAATGCTGAGCAAGCCGGAGGAAACAGCCAAGGTCTTGCTCGAGGCACTTGAGGCATTTGCCTGAGATGGGCAGCACGATGGCAATCATATGGAGGACATGGCAAACTTCAGATTAGACAGCTAGACGTCAAATCTATGTGAAGGCAAATTGTACTCAACGTTCCTGTGCTTGCTCACAAAGAATACCCGGGAGAATGCGCAACGCCCGCCACCCTAGAGCTAGAATGAATCAATTGGAAGCATTGGCGCGTCAAAAACTGGCTGGCGGATCTACGTTGCGAGTAATGAGAATGACTCTGCGCAGATTTTGTTCAGGGTGCTCAAGCGCCTCCTACACACCTGCACTGACGATATTCATCCACTTATGGTAGTACAGTGTACAAACTAAGCCAACATGGATCAGTCTCAAAAAAACTCGTCCTCTGCCGCAACACATTGCAAAGAAGAGAACATAAGTGAGCCTAGCCAGGCGGGCTCCCATTGCACATCGACTTCCCGAGATCCTATAAAGCGCCTTCAACCTACAGTGAGTGACAGCACACAGCGAAAACAGGGACCCGAGAAATCCCGGGACTCCATCTATCGCCTATGAGGCATTCTTCAACACCCGTCCATGGTCAATGGAGCAACAAAGAGTGATCAATAGCGTCCGTTGCATGTACCCATTGTTAAGGGATATGCCAATGCACATCGGCAAGGATGGCTCGGTCCGCTGGATGGAGGACCTCATTCCCATTTTCATCCGGGAAGGCGGCCGTGTAACTTTTTTTGAGCCGCACGAAGCGAGAAGTCATGGCTATCCGGAGAACATTTCACGGTCTTGGACCTCTATAATCGAGTGTGTCTCAGCCACTGGGGTCGCCCTCAGCCCGCTCGTCATCTTCAAGGCGAAAAGTATCCAAGACCAGTGGTTCAAAGACCAATTCCTCGAAAAGCACCCTACCTGGCAAGTATTCTTCTCAGAAAATGGCTGGACAAGTAACGATATAGCTCTTGAGTGGCTGGAAAAGATCTTGCCCGAGACAGACCCCCAAGATCCATCCCAGGCACGGTTGTTAATTGTCGACGGCCACGGTTCTCATACTACGGACGAATTTATGACAGAATGCTTTCTCAACAATGTTTATTTGCTCTTCTTACCAGCGCATACTTCCCATGTCACACATCCTTTGGATTTGGGTTGCTTTTCGAGCTTGAAGGCAACATATCGACGTTTGGTGGGCAACTTTGTGGCTCTGACCGATGAAACTAAGCTTGGCAAGGCAAGATTCCTCGAATTTTATGCAGAAGCTCATGAAATTGCTTTTTCCAAGCCGAATATTCAGTCTGGATGGAAAAGCAACTGGTCTATATCCAAAGAGCCGGCTAAAAGCACTATCAAACCGCTGGGTAGTGGCCCCGCGCGCGTCAACCCCCCCTGCTCAAACCGCCAGCGACATCTCGACCCCAACGAAGAGCCAGGACGTCATAAAAATACTCAGAAGCGAGACAAGAAGCCAACATACACGACGAGTATTTCAGAAGGTTAGTATAGCACTAGACAAGCGCAGTATTGAGTTGGCTTTGAAGGACCGTGAAATTGCTAGCTTACGCACTAGGTTGGAACAGCTTGAGCCACCGAAACGCCGCAAAGTACGCCAGGATCCGAACGAAAGATTCATGAGCCTTGCAGAAGTGGCTCTACAATGCAACCAAACGCCGGGACAGCGTACAGCTCGAGAGGGCAGTGACATGGTATTACATCGGGGCAAGGGCCTTCCCTGTCCTACTTGGTACACCGAAAATAAGTCCCGAAGGCAACAAACTCTTCGGTTATCTCCCATGCGCCCCTAGTTGATCCGTTTTAACGCGGCGCCACTCGGATCATCGGCAAGCTAGCGGCGGGGCGGGCAAGAGGGATTAGGGTTATACGGTGTTGCAGTGCATCTCAGTGAGGGGTAACGTTGGGTGACAGGGTCGGTGCGTCAACAGGGTCCCATGGCATCCAAAGCCTCCGAATCCTCTGGAGGGTCAAGTTGACAGTCACCACTACGGGTTGCATGGTGGTACTTGTGTAAGGTTGAGGTGGCCACGCCAAAGCCAGCCGAAGCCTGTCACAACCTGCCAAACAGGCCTGCCAACACCTTCTGATGGGGTACGAAATTGCCGCCGTGGCGTTTACCCTCCGAATTCATGACACATCTGCTCCTCCACGACCACCACCACTTCCAAGCACTCCTCCATCCAACCGCATGGCTCTCTCACCCACCCTGCTTTTTAAGTATTCCATGTTCTGATATAGCCCGCTTGTCTCTCGTCGTTCTCGGTATAAACCCTTCCTACGCCTTCACTGGTTACGATGGTAGAGACCTATTTATATACGCCGCGACATCGGTCACGCCACAAGCCTACGTACCTGCGTTGACTCCCTGCCGGCTCCCAAGTTTATTCATTCATCCAAATTTCCTATCTCAACGCATGCTGTCGCAATAACCAGTCTGCATCATCAATAAATCCCAACTCTCCCTCGTCCACCGCAAGTTACAACCGCCCTGTTATTGAGCTTGTCCTTTCCGGAAGGTGGCCAGCCACAACTTCACCCACTCTAACAAGTCGATCGCAGTTCATAATTACACATCTACGACAACCATGTGTGGCTTTACCAAAAACTATTACATCTACACATCCTGCATGGATCCCGGGATTCACTTTTGCAAGACCTCCACCGATGGAAATCAAAAAAATGCCTGTCCTAAGGGCCCCCATGAGCGCTACATCGTGTTGCCCGAGACCTGCCCACTATGTTGTGGCTGAACCAAGCTCCTGGGATTCCAGTCTAATGGCATCCTTCCTGTATTGTCGAGCCAAAGAAGCAGCTCTCATCTCTCGATTTTTCCTTCCTGGTTCTGCGCGGGGCCGTTAATGTTGGACTACATCGGTTTGGGTTTGGTTTGGGTTTGGTTTGGGAGAAGTGTCTTGGTCCTTCGACGGTCAGTCCGCTTGAATCTCGGCAGTATGTTTCTCGAGGCGAGGTTATATCTAGAGATATATGAAGTATTGGTGATAACGGAAACCCGCCCAATCGAGCACGCCGCGGCCGGTGACGTTCGTTGAGGGGGTCCTGGGGAATAGGTTACATACATACATAAGTTTTATCACGCCCGGGGCTAAGCCTAAAGGGCACGAAAACTAGATTACATAGCCAATTTCATCAGGTTCTGTCTCAGTCTCGTCAAAGCCCTTACAAAGACTACATTTCACAAATTTTCTTTGCCACATTGCTATTTCACAGCGGTATCTCGTGGGGTTAGTAGCAAGTTCCCCAACAACCGGCCCCTCATCACCAAGGTCAACAGACCCCTGTCGCCTGGTAAGGGAAGACCTCCGGGTTTTTACCTGCCTGGAACCTGGGTCTCCGGCCGGGAACACGGCGAACTATGCGATTCGGACCCACATAGCCACAAAACTCGGCATTTGACCTACACCAGCTCCCGGAGGCATCCCGAGTCAGAACTGGATGGGCCACCCGCGCCGCCTTAACACCCGCGACCTCCTGGTACAGAGACAAGCCGAATGGGCCACAGATATAAGAGCCACCGCAGTCGAGATAAGCCAAAAATGGTTCGCATGTCGCCCTAGAATGCCCACGGAGACTCACCAACGCTCTGTATACTTCCAGAAGCAGGGTGAAGGTTTAGATGAGGTGTTCACGGAAGGAGCTCCGCGACAGTTTTCTGCCACCATGAAGACTGTGGGGAATATGTGTGAGGCCCTGCGGGATATTCCTGGGACGCTTCGGTTTGTCAGACACCCCTGAAGTACCATCATTAGTCACACCATCCGCAATGCGCAGGCGAATGCGGTGCATAGGCCTAGAGAGCAGAGTCCACAGCAACGCAAGATACGTGCTAGACACTGGCGTCGATACATCCGCTGGCAAGTATTGTATGTTAATGCGGAAAATTCTGACCGTATCGCTGAGATTTAGCGTGCTAGGTACTGTACCGCTACCATTCGTCGCGCTGTACTCAGCTAGCAATGCAATGATTCAGTCTGGATGTCTCTCAAGCACGGTTTTCAGGTCGGTGAGATTGGCGTGGTTTGACGGTAAGGTCTCGTTCGTTCTTACGCGGAAGATCGCCTGAAGTAGGGACAGCTCCCGCACAAGCCGCGACCTCGGGTGTAGGATCGTGAAGATTGGGTCAAAGACTGCGGCAAGAAAGATAGCATCGATAGGATAAGCGGTAGACACGACTATGATGGAGCCGGGGCGCGGCAGGCGCCAGAGCGGCTGTTGCACCAGCGACCCGGGCATTACCCTGTCGATCTGCAGGTCGGTCCACCAGACACCTAGAATGGCCATAAGCGTCCATAGGCACAGTTTATTGCCGACAGGGCCGGGGTGAACCCATTGCAGGACCAGGAAGTAGGCGGAGAAGGCAATGATGAAGAGTGGTAGGCGAAACAGGAAGAGAGCAGCACAGAATACGAGCGAGGCGCAAGATTGGGAAGGCTCAGACAACGAGGACGGCGCAACGGTGGAGTCAGTGCTGGCCCTGCTGCTGCCGGCTTGGTTGACTCGGGGAGTTAATGTTCGATACGATCGCGCTGCTTGGTGAGAACGATGTTGAGGCATTCCCTGGCAGTGTCGTGTTGGGTTGACATGTCGGTCGCATGTTCCAAACTCTTGCGTATAGGGATGTTGTGGAAATGCTTGACTTTGTTGCGGTCGATATTTCCTGCTTAAAGCTGCCTAAAGAGCAGGCTTAGAAATGTAACAGCCAGACGGGGTGTATGAAATGGAGAAAATGACGCTGATAGAAGCAGCCCCAGCTTGTTCTCAAGCCTCGCTTGCCTTTCTCATCATCTGTCTGTGAGGTCATCATGATACCCTCCCTCTTGGGTACACACACGGCGACCGGAATTGCCAACCGGCACTACGATCGCGAATGCCTGCATGCTATAGCAAGGCTGGCCCAGCTAATTCACATGTTCGAATGAGGTATGAGGAATAACATGGGCAAAGAGAAGGCAGAGAATTTAAGAAGTTACGTGGACATGACGTAACGGGAAATTCCGTTCACGCACCCCAAAACTGGTTGAAACGAGGTTGCCCAACCATAGGTGGGGTGATGGTCGTGACAACATTCTTACCACACAAATGCTCTATTCCGTCACCTAGGCCCGATGGATGACTTTTGAAAAGCCGGCAAAGTCCAGAACCTCTTTATTCAGGCTACGGTTCTCCTTCACATGCTCGACCCAGTCCGTAGTGAGCCCGTAGCGCATGGCCTCGATCGAGATCTGAACGAGATCGAAACCCCGCGAGAACGTCTCCTCGGTTCATCATTGTTTGCTTGCTGCGTGTTTGCCTGCTTGTTTGTTAGTGTGTGCATGTCGGTTTGCATTTTGTAATGCTTGGCATAGAGGGGCGAGCTGATCCTCTCCGTGATGGACGAAGCCCGGTTACGGGACTCTGGATTCTCTGACCCTAGATGGATCGCGTCTTTCGGCTACAGACGATTGCCTCGAGCTGCTGGCTGCGCGCGGCATGTAGCAAAGTTTCCAAACCGGACAAGTGTCGTGCTGTTTCAGAAACCATTCGTGATGCAATTTGAATGGAAGATGTGCCCGCTTTATGTTCTGAGCATCGGGCAGATGCGGTCGGCAGTGGACTGACATTTCCAGTTCCTCAGTAGGCCTAGCCGTAGCGTCGATAGGCCAATGGCAACCCTGGAGCTGACATGCCCATGACGCTGAGCAGACGTCTCCATCGCACGACACGTTCTGTGAGTGCACCGCGCCCCTCTTCCCCCTCTCCAAGCGACACAGGGCTAGCGGTATTACAGATTATACTACTCCGTATACAACAGCCTTGATTTACCCCAAGATGCCCAGTCCGTTTCTCCTCTCTCGCATCAACATCCGCATGCACACACATCAGACACAATGGCTTTGGCCGTCGAGCTCTCCACCCCCGTTACTGGTAGCTACCAGCAGCCCATTGGCCTGTACGTCCTCGAGTCTCCTCAATATACTTGAGGGCATTCATCCAGTTACAGTCACTAACACTGAGATAGCTACATCGACGGCAAGTGGGTTGAGGGTGTTGACAAAAGGAAGTTCGAGGTTATCAACCCCTCCACTGAGGAGGTCATCACCTCCGTCTGCGAGGGCAACGAGAAGGATATCGACCTCGCCGTCGCCGCCGCCCGAAAGGCCTTTGAGGGTGTCTGGAAGAAGACCACCCCCAACGAGCGAAGCGTCCTGATGCTCAAGCTCGCCGACCTTGCTGAGAAGAACAAGGAGCTCCTCGCCGCCGTTGAGTCTCTCGACAACGGCAAGTCCATCACCAACGCCCGCGGTGATGTCGGCGCCGTCATTGGCTGCATCCGATACTACGGAGGTTGGGCCGACAAGATTGAGGGCAAGACCATTGACATTGCTCCCGGCATGTTCCACTACACCCGCCCCGAGCCCGTGAGTTCTCCCCGCACTCCATCCTTTCACACTGCCGGCGCTGACTCCAGCTTCCCCAGATCGGTGTTTGCGGTCAGATCATCCCTTGGAACTTCCCTCTTCTCTTGCTTGCCTGGAAGATTGGCCCTGCCCTGGCCACCGGCAACACTATTGTAATGAAGACGGCTGAGCTGACTCCCCTCTCTGCCCTCGTCTTCACCCAGCTCATCGAGGAGGCTGGCTTCCCCGCTGGTGTCTTCAACCTCGTCTCTGGTTTCGGCAAGACTGCCGGTGCTGCCCTCTCTTCCCACATGGATGTTGACAAGATTGCCTTCACTGGCTCCACTGTCATCGGCCGAACCATCATGAAGGCTGCTGCCGCATCCAACCTCAAGAAGGTCACCCTTGAGCTTGGTGGCAAGTCCCCCAACATTGTCTTTGATGATGCCGACATTGAGGAGGCCATTAACTGGGTCAACTTCGGTATCTACTACAACCACGGTCAGTGCTGCTGCGCCGGTACCCGTATCTACGTCCAGGAGGGCATCTACGACAAATTCCTGGCTGCCTTCAAGAAGCGTGCTGAGGAGAACAAGGTCGGTGACCCCTTCCTTAAGGAGACTTTCCAGGGTCCCCAGGTCTCTCAGCTCCAGTACGACCGTATTATGAGCTACATCAAGTCCGGTAAGGACGAGGGTGCCACCGTCATCACTGGTGGTGAGCGTCTCGGCAACAAGGGCTACTTCATCAAGCCTACCATCTTCGCCGATGTCAGGCCCAGCATGAAGATCATGCAGGAGGAGATCTTCGGACCCGTCTGCGCCATCTCCAAGTTCAAGGATGAGAAGGAGGTCATTGATCTCGCTCATGACACTACTTACGGTCTCGCCGCTGCCGTCCACACCAAGAACATCAACACCGCCATCCGCGTCAGTAACACTCTCAAGGCCGGTACCGTCTGGGTCAACTGTAAGTTTTTCCCCTTGATTAACCCCCCTTGTCACCTCCCTTCCCGCAAACGTCAAAAACTTCGAAACACCACAACATCGTCAAAACAACACCAAAAAACGTGAAAAGAAGCAAAAGAAGTTAATTGCTGCGCTAAAGGTTATAATATGCTTCATCACCAATTGCCTTTCGGAGGTTTCAAAGAATCTGGAATCGGTCGCGAGCTTGGAGAGGCTGCTCTGGCCAACTACACCCAGAACAAGTCCGTCGGTATCATGCTCTACGACAATTAAGAAGTCAAATCAAATTGAAGGAAATGGGAAGTTGATAGAGCGGCCTTGTAACTGTGTGACGAATTTGTATATGATCCCCCTTAGTTTTGCAGCATTTCTGATAAATAATGCCAGAAATTTGTCAAAGCATTTCGTTGTCCTGTTCGTGATGAGCCATTTGCCAAATTTGGTGACAGCGTTTTCGCCAAAGGTCGTGAGGAGCTGAGTCTTCGGACCCACCCCACATCAACCTTAAATCTTATTACTGTCTACGGCGGCCGATAGGGAACACTGTTGCAGAACACTCTATCAGTTGGCCATGCAGCCCACACCTTGCTCCTCATCTCCACACCTTACTACTCCCGGTACCTGGGCATAAGTGTTCCTTTACACATCTTAGCTACTATCAATCAAGAATTCCCTTCCCTTCAGATATCTGTCTCTTGTATGGCACTTGTATCACCTCGATCTGGCGTAACTGCCTTACCTCTTACCGGTACATGTAACATAGCAATCAGCCCACATAATGTTAATCTACCTAACTCAATCTAAGCTATCTGATTTTTTCTAAGTGATGCTAAGCAAGTAATATAGTGTTATAATTAAAACAATTTTTATTCGCTATAGTTGTAATTTGAAGATAGCAACTGTATTAGAGGATAGCTACTTGTCTAGCCTAGTAGAGGCTTAAACCTCCCACCCTTTGATGGTGCTGAGATGTACTTTGATAGTGGACGAGACACAACTAATACCTACCCAATGAAGAGGAAGTGAGGCGAGTGGAGTAAAGATAGAAATGTCACGGGCCAGGGCCCATATCCTTGCGGCTGTGCCGCAAGACGTCCTAGGCTGTGCGCACCAGGGTCGTCGAGAAATCGTTCCATAGCTCAGGGGCACTTAGGAACTTCTTTCTTTCTTCTTTATCTTTGATGTAAATAGCATCCTGGACTAGATAGCTAGAATACAGTTACTAGAGGCTGTTCACAAGAAAGAGCAAGAGAGGGAGGACTGCTGTACTCAATTGGTTGCAAATATAAACGCAGCAGCAAATGGAGAATAAGGTAAAGTAAATGATTAAATAGAAAGCATAGTTAAATAATAATCAGTATGAAGGTAAAAAGCAAATCAATTTAAGTAAAAAACATCATGATGGATGCCTTTGTCCACTTGAGAGTCAGACTCCGTTTTTCTCTATCAATCTAGCATGTCAGCCAATCATATCTTCCTAGTCCTTCAAAAAGGAGGCAACTTTCCCTGAAGAGGGCAAGTTGTAACGAAAGCTAACTCCACTAATACTGTCAGATATTTGGGTGAATTGTCATTGTATTCATGTTCTGTGCGTTTTGCTGGAGTGTTTGAAGCCTGCTATATATATGCCTTGATTTATCAGCTCTTGCCACTGGTGGCGATATTAGCCACAGGGGGCAACGAGGCGATTTTCCCCGAAGCTTCTAGCAGCTTCCAGCAGTATTCAGCAGTATTCAGCAGTATTCAGCAGCCTTCCTTGCCACTATTCAACAAATACAGTGTAAGTCAACCACCCTTGTGACTGACCCCCCCCCCCCCCCCCAGTGACTGACCCTCGTCACCGAAATGGCTCAACCACAACACCAAGAACAAGATGAAAGATATCTCAACAACTCTAATAGATAATTGGTTCAATTAAACTAGGATTACTCAAATAGTGCCCAATCAAACATAAAATCCTCTATCGGAGCCAATTGCATCTGCTCAGAGGTCTCAACTGGCTCTAGTAGCTTCCACATTCGTTGTTGCGTTTGAATGATCTGCTCAATTCGAACGAACTTCTCATTGGGTGCCAGCTTGACTTTAGCGTATTTAACTGGTCGAAGACTAGTAATTCGAGCCTGCATTCTCTCATTTTCGGCTTGTAAGAGTGTGTTTAGAAAGGAAACCCTGTCAAATCCCTTTCCAATTGAGCGGAATAAGAGGCGTTTCGTTGGCCCATCATGCCCCCCCCTGAATATCTCGTTTGCAAGCGCACGAATGTGATTTGAATGAGTTGGAGTCTTAGCCAATAAGGCCTCGATGTCTCGGGACATGATTGGCCTAGCTCCTTGTGTCTTCAGAGCTGTGGCCTGTTTCTCACGCTCCTGCTGCTCTTTGAAGAAAAATCGGCTCATAAGAGGGCGAGAGATATTAACTGGCCAGAGCCCTATTGCCTTCCAGCCACTTAAAATATTCTATTTAGTAAAGACCTTTTCTCTAGCCTGCCTATATGCATTAAGAAAGGTCTTTTTTGCAATTGTGGCGTTAGAAGTGAATTGTGGTTGGTTTGTTAGTGGGAGATGCACTTTAGTGCAGACCAGCCAAAGACAGAGAGAGTCTGGGATCCCAAGAAGGATCCAGCTGAAGGAGGGAATCAGCTGAGACTGGCTGGAGGAATAGATTGACTGGATGGTTGAAGCATGTGATCCAATGCTTCCCAATGCAACCAAGAGAAAAAGAGTGTAAATAAAGTGGCATGAGCTGCTGCGACAGCTGGTCTAGGGTCATAGGGAAAGACAGTGCAAATCTAAAAGTTCAAAATTGAAGAAGGGAAAAAGCATGCCCATCCAATGACTTGGATGGTGCAGTCACTTTAAGTAGTAGCTAATATGTCAGGCTAGCCCTGCTGTCATTAAAACTCCAGTGCGCCTGTCAGCACCACCACAATGTCAAGGGGTTCAGAGAGGGGGCGAAGAGCGAGTTGATATGTGAGAGTTCACTTGCAAGGGATTATTGTGCTTGGGGTACTGCGGTAGATTGCAGACGCTGCTAATTTTACCTATCTAATAACGTGGCCCCAACCTTTCATATATATCTGTGTAGATGAACAGAGAAGGGTCGTAACTCATGTCAAGCATGAAACCATATACCCCAACCAAAACCCCTTTCCCTATTTCCCTCTTAGCTTCCAGACTGAAGAAGCCTATGTATTCCGATAAAAAGATTATATCCCAAGGACAAAGAGTGATGAAGAAGGAGAAAGCAAGCTCTATGTGCGGACCAAGAGGAGGGAGGCGGCTTGCCTTCACTTGGGCAGTTGCCGTAGCGCGTGGATGATATTGGTGAAGGTGCGTCTAGGGGAACTCGAAGTCGGAGGGGACGCAGTAGGGGCTGAGGCTGGGCTGGAAGAACTTGCAGACGGTCTTAGGGGGACAAGTACCAGCGAACTAGAAATGTTGGTCAGTGTCTTGATGTTCTTCTCGTCGAGGGGAGGAGAGAGAGGAGGAGGCAACGTACAACAAACTTGCGGGAGACGTCGCAGACCTGCCAGCTGGAGGCGTCCTTGGTGCAGGCGTAGGTGCCGGGGGTGCAACCCTTGGGCTTCCCGGGGGAGGCAGCAGCGAAGAAGGCCAGGGCGGCGACGATGGCGACGGAGATCTTCATGATGATGGTTTGGTGGTTGGGAGTGAGGAAGTGTGTAAGTGAGTGAGTTGAGTGAGTGAGAAGATTGAGCGAGAGGCTTTGGTTGTTTGAGGTGGAATATCGTAGTCTTTATATACTCATCTTCGAGGCCATGCTTATGCTTCTCAGCTACCCTCTCTGTCTCTCTGTCGATCTGATCTGTCTGCTCCCCCGGGCGCGCTCAACACGAGCTGACAGGCCCGAGATGGTGTGGAGGCGATGTCCCACGCCACCTCTCGGGACCTGGCTCTCTCCCCAGGCTCTATCCGCCCTCCACCGTCTGCACCGTCGGCACCGTCTCCTCGGGAAGCTCCCTTAGATGCCTAGGAGTTGCTGCAAGCCACGGGTGTGCTGAGACCCTAGCCCGGCGTGTGTTTGGTGGAGGCTGGGTGCTGAGTGCCGTGCGATACGATGCTGATCATGGGGAGACGGGTGATCGGCGAGCGGGACAAGGGAGGGGGGAGATAGGTATTTTCGGCCCGGTCGACTCCCCAACCCCTCACCGCCCCGAACGACGTAGAACACGCTTTCCAGCGGCTACTTGAAACATCAGCTATAGGGTGAGTAAACTCTCTATTGCCTCTTGACTTGATTTGATGCTTAAACTTACAAATCTAAATGCTGGAAAATTTCTGCGCAAGATAATATAACTCTAATCGCTCTATCTGATTTGGAATATAGTTCTTTAAGCAAAAGAAATAATTAAATAGAGTAAAAAAGTAACCCCCTTCGCGTGTGTTTCCTTGTTTTGCACCTAGGTGACGTCCTGTATGCACCTGGAAAGAATCCTGGCGACACCTGACAGTGCTACCAAAGGACCTATAGCACCCTTTCGCAACTCGACAAGAGTTAAAAATCATCCAACTGCAAGTCCATTGGATGACATTGCCTCTGCTATTCTAAGACTACAGCAAGGTAGCTCGAAACTTTCCGACTGGTCTGCAATACTACAATAATATGACTATCCCTGAATTAAAAACCTGATATTTGGCAATTATTAGCATGTGAAGATGGTGTGAGTGCTGGAGCGGCCATCCGCTCCAGATTACTACAACAGGGCTAATGCCATCACCTCAATCTTCCAAGCGGAAGAGCAGGCTAGGACGGCTGCGGCTGCCACTCCTCGTCACCGTTGTCGTTGGCCATTTGACGGCGCCCTAAGCCGACGTCAGATGCTGCACGTGGTGAGATGACGACGAACTTCATCACTATAACTAGCTATGTGGCGTTGTCATGCAACATTAGATGCGTCAACAAGCGACCGAGATACGTACAGAACTACTTGGCCCACACTGCCTGCACCTGGGTAGCGCTCCGTTGATTTTTGCACTCAGACTGGCTGTACTCTAGGCCATACCGCGGTGAGATGGTCAGAGGCGCGCGAAACAGCAAGATATTTCTTCGTGGTAGCACATGGGCAAAAAGTTAAATTGTCTAGAATGCGGATATCAGGTGACACTCAACCATAGACGTCTCCTGCTATCATGAGCATTCAACAGTCCTAAACCCGGTCTCCCAACTAAGCTAATTGGTTTTGTTCAATAGGCTTACAAAGTTTAGCTCACTAGGGTTCCGTTGAGGTAATTTACCGAACGGTAATTTACCTATCTGACCACGGTTTTTGACGTCAGAAACCTCGAGGTATTTTACATGTCGAAAACCTCTCATTGGCCGACGTCCATATTTTCTCCACTATTTCCCAAATCAGTCTCTTCCCAAACCCAGCCGTCGACAAAAATAGAAGTCTTGGAAGGCGTTTTCTATCTTTATCAGTGTTTATCAGCCGAGCAACATCAACTGTCTCCCAGTTTTTGATAACTATCGGTTCCGCTGGATTATCTTTGACCTACTTGAGCCTCTTTACAAAGTGTTCATGAACACCATGGGTCTTAGGGCGACAGCCTTTGTTGCTCATTCTGACAGTTACATTGTTCTTTACTTTTCAACCCCGAAGAAGAGAATTTGGTGACGATTTGTGCGCTGCATTGGTGATTCGAGGCACTAAGCCTATTCCGTGTACCAACTAATCCTAATATGGCTAGGCACTAAGCCTAAATTGGGAGGAGTTTTTGACATAAATTACTGCCAAAAACCCCCTTTAGGTATTTGACGGTCAAATACCGTTTTTGACCGTCAAAAACGGAACCCTAGTTAGTTCCAGAGCAGCGCCGGCGCTATCCTCGTCTCCACCGTATGGCCGTCAATATCCTCTCAATCGCACCCTCATCCGCTGAACCAGAACAACAATTCTCGGGCGCACGCCGTACACAGAGCTGGGATAGGCTTAGGTTATCGCCAGAGAACCTCCAGAGGTTAGAGTGTATGGATAACTGGTTTGCGAGGAAGCTCATCTCTTCGGAGGAGCTGCTAGGGATGATTGTAGAGGCTGTGGAGATGGATGAGATGGATATTGATTTCGACGAGGAGGATTGGGATGTATGATATAAAGTGGCATATTTTGAAGAATTGAGCATATATACAGTATCTACCTTCCTTACCTACCTTATCTTCTACCCACCATCTACCCACTACTCTACCCATCACTCTACCCACCACTCTACCCACTCTACCCGGGTAGGGTAGAGGACCACTCCTCTACCTGGGTAGGGTAGAGAAGTGGGTAGAGCTCCCTCTACTCTACAATGCCCAAGTATGGGACCTACCATCATCTGTCAACCAAGCAGCCGCAGCATAACATCCCACCCTTCCGAGACAAGGCTTTGACTTGGGTACCCAGTGCTCATGACCATCCGCATTGTGAGAATTATGGATACGTGCATAATCTTCATGTTCGTCTTGAACTTCTTCCGCAATGCTATTGAGATCCGACCTGTCGCCACTATCAGGAATCACAAGGCTCGTGACGTCGTCAACCATGATCGCGTCCTTATGAACGTCTTGCCAATACTGCAATTCAGGCCAGATATACACAGTCCGCAGCGACTCGAAGAACAATAGTAGGTACCTGAAGGGGTCGCTTCTGGTCACATCCCTTCTTCTCTGTATCCGGACCAATTCGTCATCACTGAGTGAGGTCCTTAACCGACGAGGAACGCATGATCGGCGTCTAACATATGATCGGTGTCCACCGTAGAGGAATGCCACGTGTTTGAAGGAGGAAACAATGTCGCGAAAAGACGCAAATAGGCTGGCATCTTGTGGGAAAAACTCATCAATATCTGGAATTCGTCTACAGAGTCCATTCTCACGAGACTCTCGAGGTTGTGCATCATTTGTGTGGTCGCCAGTAAGATCTGGCACATTCGTGATGAGAAGCACGTCCCTCGCCGGATCGCACCGGACCAGTAGGGACCGACGATAATCGACATGCTAGTTCCAGTTGTAAACGCGAAATGCCTTCGGATATCGGGTGAGAACGGCGCCGCGTCCTTCGCGACAAGCAAGGTTGATGTTCAGTAGAGCCTGTTCTAATGCCGGGTCAGGGACAGTGTGTCCAACAACCAAGGTAAGGTAAGGATTTTATTTCGCCCGGGGGGACACACCCCAGAGGGCCTTTGCGCTAAGCTATTTTCGTTTCGTACAGTTCTTCCATAATCACCCGAAGCCCCAAAATTTCACTTTTACTAACTGGTCCAATCTGGTGTATATGCCGTGACAGGCCTGCTTGAAGGCCAATTTCCCCAAGTGTTCAGCATCCTATCCTCAGCAGCTGAAGCCCGGTCTGTCAAAATGAGACTGTATGATGTTAGTAGGATTCAATCTGAATAGTTAGTGTGCCTGAGGCTTCTGGTCCATGTCAAGCCTCCCCGTTGCAATGGCAAATTTGATCGTCGCCCGTACTGCCCGCATGTCTGGTGCCCATTTGTCATCGTCAGACGCTGCCTTTCCTCCCAAGAAGAACGAGAGGTTTCCCATCTTTGCTTGTGGGCATTTCAGCATGCCTTCCCGTTGCTTTGTCCACTTTGTGCATCTGAATAGAAAATGTTTAACTGTCTCGGATGCTTGACCACATTCGCACATATCCGATTCTACTGCGCCGATGTTGTGCAGAAAGCTGTTTAGTCTTGCCATTCCGGTGCGGAGCTGGATCAGCACATCTGCTTCTTTCCTCTTCAGCAGGTCATATATAGTACGGGTATGCTTGCCAGGGAGTGCCATGTCTATCGTCGTCGAGTATTTCCCAGCTCTTCCTGGCGGCATTCTTGTTTGCTGCTGCTTGGTTATGACTAGTCTTATCCTCGTGGATCTTGCTTGATACAGTGGTATATCTGGTCTGCAGTCTCTTTCAGTGGCCCGCCGGGCTGCTGCTTTGGCTTTTGGTCCTAGTGCGAAGTCTTCTTCGCCTGCTGGAACCCACATCATCTGGAGAGAGTTGCCCTCGTCTTCAAGGCGCCCGACATGGTCGTAGATTTGCCGAATGGCCTGTTGGCCGGATTGTTGACGCGGCCGCCGTATGGCTTCTAGTGCGGAACGGTTGCTCGTCACGACGGTTATAGTCCGTCGACGCAGTCCGAGTGGCATGCATCTCAGCGCCATCTCTATAGCTCCCAGCTCGGCTATGTATAGGTTCAGCTCCTCCGTCGACCCAAGAGTGATGGAGTAGCTGGCCACTAGTTCGTCGGCATTGTTGAGGGCCGTATCTCGTACGACACCTCCCATGCCTACCATGCCCTCTCTCTGCGAGGAGCAGGTGGCAATGACTATGCCATCCACCCTCTTTGCTTCTTCCACCGCTCTCTCCCGGTCACGGTCGCACGACACCGGGATACGGTCTCTCCATGGCGGTAACGCGTACTCCCGAATGATCTCTATTCGTTCAGTGGCTGTTTCCCCTTGTACTTGAGCAATCCTCTGCATCGGCGACACGAATCGGCGACACACTTTCATCACCTTCAGTGTCGCCAACGGGTGTGTCCTGGGAAGGGTCCGGAGGTTGATCCAGAACCTTGTTGCTGCTTGCGCATGCCGTTCTTGCACCGGTTGGATGCTAGCTTCGGCCTCTGCCACCGCCGTTGCGACGGTCCGGAAAGCTCCCGTGATCGCCTGTGCTCCGATCATCTGTGCCTTGTCCAGCCAAGCAGCTTCTCTAATGCCACATGAGTGCGCCCACACGCTGGACGCATAGTCCATGGTGGGAGCTACTGTTGCTACGAACAGTTGTCTCGCCGTCCGCGGTGACAGCATCTTCAGTCTTCTCAGACACATAGCAGCCGAGAGCCCCTTTGCAGCGGCTCTAGCTATGTGTTCCTTGTACCGCAGTTTCGCGTCCACGACCACTCCCAGGATCTTGGCGCTCGCCTTGGGCTTGACTACTTTTCCTTTGATCATGAACGGTTTGTCGCTGGTACGCGCGGCGTTTCGAGTGAAATGCACGATGGCCGTTTTGTCTCCGTTGAACGTCGCACCGCTCCGTCTTTCCCAGCCCAGTGCTTCGTCTATAATTGATTGGATGCCGGCTCGATTCTCCTCCGCTGTTGATCCCACCACCCAGGCTGAGTAGTCGTCCACGAATGCCATCGAACCACCTTTTGCGTTGATTCTTCTCTGCACCAAATCTGCATTGAAGAACAGGAACAACACCGGCGACAGCGGTGATCCTTGCGGGAGACCTGCCTGTGGCAGCTCCCGTAGCTGCGACGTGTGTCCATTTACCACCACGGTGGCCATTCGTCCAGAGCAGAAGGCGTCAATCCATCTCACCAGTCCATCAGGTATGCCTCTCGCCTTCAGCCTCTCCAGGAGTCGTTCTTTGAACACTCCGTTGTAAGCGCCTTTGACGTCGAAACTGATCAGACTGAGCACCCTGCCGGCCCTCCATGCCTTATAGATCTGCTCCTGCAGCAGAACCAGTGCTTGTTCGGCTGACCTTCGCTTCCTTGCCCCGAAGTGGTTTGCGGGCAGCAATCCATAGCTTTCCACTACATAGGATATCCGCTCTGCAACGACTGCCTCGAGTATCTTGCCCAGTGTCGACAGCAGCGATATCGGTCTCCATGCTTTGGCCACTGTGTAGTCTCCCTTGTCTGCTTTCTTTAGCGGGATGATCTTCGCACTCCTCCACTGGTGGGGTACCGCACCATCCTTGAGGGATGTGTCGAAGAGGTGCAAGACTCGGTATCTAACCACTGGCCAAAGCTGTTTCCACACCATTGCTGGCAGACCATCCTCTCCAGGCGCTTTCCAAGGTTTCGCTGCTAGCACTTTTTGTTCAACTTCCTCCATGGTGAGGTCTGGCATGTGCACTTCCGTCCGTTGCGGTCGGTCGCCTTCATCTTCAATCCTGGCCGGCAACGGCGGGAAGAACGTGCTGAGCAGCTCCTCTGCCTGCTCCACCCTATCTACCGTGGTGGAGCCGTCTTGTCTCTTCAAAGGGGGCACTCTGTCGTCCATAGCGCATATTCCGGGTTTCAAGTACGTAGCCGCCTTCCATATGTTGACATCTTCTGCCAGGAATTCGTCCCAGTGCAGTTTCTTCTGTTTCCGAATGGCATCATGGTACTCCAATGTTTCAGCCTCGGGGAAGGTTCGGAAAGGCTACACCCCCTAGGACTCCCTCTGAGCCGATCGATTCTGCTCAGTCCAGTACCCCTAGCTCGGTCTCAACTCCAACCAGTGTGCCACTTCATGGCGCTTCTCCCGCAACCGTTTCCCACGAAAGAGAGGTGCCAAAAGCTTCTCAATGCCATTTCCCTGTCGAGTGGGACAAAATCCGTTACGATGGGAAGCCAGTGCCATCCATCCGATATCGTCAGCCTCATAAGCGCACCATCAACTCCAAATCCCAACCCTCAGCAATCTACAGACACGGCGCACAGCTTACAACGGACGGAGACAATAAGTACTGGCTCTGCAAATACTGCCACGTTAGTGGCCATCACAATACTGCGCTCTTTGCCAGTGAGAGCACGACCAGCATTATATACCATCTGAAACATCAGCACAGGCTGGAAGAATTTGGCTACAAGGCAGCAGAATGCAACCCCTTCAGCATAGCCAAGGGCGCAACAAATCTCACATCATACCTCGGAGGCCGGCGCTTGGTGTTCAACGACCTGCAATTTAAAGACGATTTTACCGACTGGGTGATTGATCTTGATCTCACCTTCCGTCAAGCAACCCATCAACGCACCTATGAGATTTTTACCAACTATCTGGAAGACAGCGACAAGATTCTGCCCAAGAGCCCGTCAGCTCTTAGTAGCTGGGTCAAAGAGAAATGGTTTGGTGATGCTGGGAGACGTGTTTGGCTGAGAGAAAAGCTCCATCTCACCACAAGCAAGATTCACGTCTCGACGGATGCGTGGACATCTGAAGAAGGGACAAACTATCTAGCTGTTGTTGCTCACTTCTTGGATGAAGGACATAAGCTACAGACAGCTCTTCTGGATCTTCCCCCTCTGAAAGGCCCTCACTCCGGCGAGAATATTGCCAAGGTGCTGTCAACAGTCATCGATTTCTACGATATCTCCCCAGTCATTGGCTTCTTTATGATGGACAACGCTAGCAATAATGACACATGCATTCAGGAGCTAGCAAAGCAGTACCCTGCAATCAATCGTCAGAGTCGCCTTCGGTGCGTCGGCCATATGCTGAATCTCATCGTCAAAGCTCTCCTCTTTGGGCAGGGCGTTAGCAAGCTGGAGCAACGGCTCCGTGGCGCATCTGATGACGAGCGGTTTGAGATATGGAAGAAGCAAAGCTTTATCGGCAAGCTCCACAACTTCTGTACGTGGATCAACAGAAGCGACCAGCGACGAGAGAGACTGAAACAGTACGTTCTGCAGGCGTACGACGAAGGCAGCATCGAGAGCCTCTACACTAGAGTCCTGGTCGATGGCGGGATCCGCTGGAACTCTGTATATTCCATGATTGAAAGAGCTCTGAAACTCCGCCACGCCATTGATCTATTCTTCCTCAACTACAACGATACCAACGGAGAATATGATATCTCACAGGATATCCTTACTCCACAAGATTGGACCGATCTGGGCCACTTCCTCAATATCTTAAAGCCCTTCAAAGACCTAACAAAGCGCATGGAAGGCCGGGCAAACAAAGCTGGCCTAGAAGGATCGCATGGCTCCCTCCACGAGACGATCGAGTCGCTTGATGTCCTTTTCAAGAAGCTCCAGGAGGCTGGGAAGTTTGCAGATGATCACCCTGACGTGGTGTCAACATACTATTCCCATGCTATTGATGCTGCTCGCATCAAGCTTGAAGAATATTTTGGCCTCACAGATGCCACGCCTGCATACCGATGTGCAGTTGCCCTGCATCCGGCAAACAAATTTACCTACTTCGAGCTTGAATGGAGTCACAACAAGCAATGGATCAGCGGGGCGAAGAGAGTGGTGCGGGAGGCTTATGCACAATACGAGGAAGCAGCTGCGGAAGTGGACCTAATAGAAGGAGCACGACAGCAGGAGGAAGAGGAGGAGGAGGAGGAGGAGGCTATTGCTGATAACGGGGCGAGGCTTGATCCACTCCAGCAAGCTCGTAAGCGTCGTCAGAGGCTTGCTGCCATTGCGGCGTCAGCCACACGAGGGAAGCGGACAAAACTGACATCTGAGCTGGATGAGTTTATGGCCAGGACTAATAAGGCTGATCTGGATGTTGAGGATCCTCTGGAATGGTGGGTTCGCCATACATCTGACTACCCCATCCTGTCCAAGATGGCGTTTGACTTGTTCAGTTGCCCAGCAATGAGCGCCGAGTGTGAACGCGTTTTCTCACAGACAAAGAAGGTTATCACAGATGAACGAAATCGGCTTAATTCGGACACTGTAGCAGCGATTGAATGCCAAAAGCACCTGCTTCGAAGCGGTATGTTAGCATAGATCTACCACCGGAGCCACATAAGGAATGGAAAATAGTCGAGTAACGTCAACCAACCAAGCAAAGCAAGCCTCTCTACCGAGTAAACCAAGTAAAGCAAGGGGGTCCCGTCAACCAAGTCAAGTAGAGGGTCCAAATTTTGCTTTACTTGGTTGATGGACACACTGGTCAGGGATTGCGAGCTGGTTTCCCTCAAGTGCAAAATAGCCATCCGTCATACAGATCGAGAAATTGCCACCATCCTCAGGGCTGCACTCATTATAGCGTTTACATCTGGCATGTTGCTGACAAAAGCTGCCACTGATCCTAACGCAGGCGTGCATGGTTTTTGTTGTGAGGTCAACGATATGTATTGGGTTGAGTTGACTAGGCTAGCTAGGCGACGCTATTCCGGGCCGTAAGGGCCCTGGCTGCCTGAGGCCACAACCGCGGGACCCGCGGCTGTGGGCTACGTTCAACAGTTTTGAATAGTCGTGAATAGACGGCAACGCGGATTACCCGCGTCCTGGTTGCACATTCGAGAGCGTGGTGGAAGATGCGGAGGCGTAACTCTGCTGGAAGTTTCGCGAATAGGGGAAATGCAGCATCGGTGGGTGAGCCCCGAATCTGTGTTGCGGCCATCCTTCAAGGTAGGTTTGTTTGATGTTGGCTATCAGTTGGTGTTAAGCAACTCTTAGGATAGGCACACGGTTCAAATCAACTAAATTTCTTGACGAGGAGCCCATTTTCTACGTAACCCTAACTTAACCCTGACCAACCCTAGCTCTGGTGGTCGGGAAATTTGAGCCAATCAGCGACTCGGCCCAAATGTTACCGTGTCAACCGTTTGTCAGACAATTGGCTCCACAGGGATCATTTGATGGCATCAGTCAATTGATGAGAATTATCTGAGGAGCAAGAACTCAGTGACAAGATGCACTGAGTTGTGTAGCTCTTTAAAGGAAACAAACAACCGAATATCGCCGGCATAGGGCCGCTCAAACTCGGGATCAAATGCATCCACGAGGGCCCCTCTGCCTCGAAAGATGGTGCTTCCCTCCAAGAAGGGATTCTCGCCGTCGCAGTACACAAAGCAGAGCTCCTAATAGTCCAGACCAAAAACTGTACTATTAGTCCAAACTGCAGTCCAGACCAATAGTCCACGGACTATTGGTCCAGTTTGCGTCTCTTTGACTAGACTGACGGTCCAGTCTACGTCTCTCGGACTGGACTGACGGTTCAGTCTGACTTTACTAGACCGACCAGTAGTCCAGTCCGAGGGTCGCAGACTAACAGTCTGACTATTAGTCCGTCCAAGATTCGGGGTGCCTTAGGCAACGTTTTCCGAATCTGTGGCCTGCTGCAGAGTGCCAATTCAGCAACTACGCGATCCAACGCATCCAACGGCGCCCAACGCTGACACGCGCGTTTGGGGAAAATTTCGACGCGGTGCTAAGATATGTTAGCCGGTACAGCCCAGCACTGCGTTCGTCTAAGGCAAACCAAGTATCTTGCAACTGAAACCATCGGCCTAACAGTAACCTAATTTTATAGTTTCGAATGGGCCACCTTGCCGATTTCCAGGAAGAATATCTGCAACGTGAGAGATGATTAAGTGCATGTTATCTGAGTAGCGAAAACCCGCCTGGCGGCGTTAAGATATACCAGCCCCGCCATTACAGGTAGGTGGCATGTACAGTAAGTCAACCACCCATGTAACCGACCCCCCCGACCCATCTCTAAGATTCAGATAATCCATCAATCTATTTACTATATTTCAACACAACTTCGTCAAATAAATAGCTAAAAATGCAAAGAAAACAGTATTTAATAGTCTCTTAATTGCTCTCTTCGCTACTAAAATCCTGTTCAAAGTATCTTTTTGTAGGTTGCCTGACGCGGGCTGACCGCCGCACGGGGGCCGGATCTTCCTCCGACTCCGAGCTACTCTTCCCATCCACCACAATACAATCAAGCTCGCCTTTCTGCGACTGAATAACACGTTGATCAGGCTCGCGATTGGTCTCTGCAAGTATCTGTGCGAGGCTTATAAAGCATTCATTCGGATCCTGCCTGATTTTACGTTTTTTCTTCGGTTGCGCCGCGTCAAGCTGCGCGCGTAACCGCTCAATCTCGCGGTCCTTCATCGCGAGCTCGATTGCAACCTTGTCTAACGCCGCAGCCGCTTTCCGAATTGAGAGCCGTGAAGAGGGAGAGCTGCTTTTGGCAGAGAAAAGCTTCACAACATCCCCGCCACGTTTAGGCGTTACGATATTATGAGCTTCTGGGGGAGGTGGTGCCGACTCCGTGAGCACCATCACCCAACGCGAGGCGAGCGGTTTGTTTATATTCACAGGCCATAACCCAGCTGCCCGCCATCCAGATCGAATATTTTCCTTCCGGAAACCGATTTGGCGGGCTTTTACATAAAAATCGAGAAACCTTTGCTTCCCAACCCGGGTAGAATCCGTCAGAGCGGTATGCTCGCCAACTAAAGTACGGTATGCCGTCTTCAGACTAGAAAAGCAACCGAGATCTAAAGGCTGGAGTATGTGAGAACAATGTGCTGGTAAAAAGAGAAGATAAACATTATTCAGGTAACATATAGCCATGAATTCCTCGGTTGCATGCGAGCCATGGCCGTCAACGATCAATAAACGGGCATCAGCTGGATCTGCAGGAGTCGTTTGGGAAATGAACACCTTCTCAAGCCATTCTAATGCAATAGAGTTGCTCGTCCAGCCGTTTTTTGAGAAGGTAACTTGCCAGCCAAGGTGCTTCTTTAAAAAATCGCCTCGGAACCATTGCTCTTGGATGCTCTTCGCTTTGAATATAACGAGCGGATGGAGGGCAACCCCGACTGCTGATATACACTCAATAATGGAAGTCCAGGTACGTATGGTCGCTGTTTTGACTGGTACCGCGTTAGGGCTCTCCTGAGACGAGCCGATCACGAGGCCATTGACGCCCTGGCCTTCCATAATACCGCCCTCGTCGGCGTTATACCGTCGTTCGGGGGGGATCCAATCCACGGTCTCATACACGTCGAACAAGCGCTTGATATTCGCCGGGGTTGCAGCATTTACACGCTCCCAGTCTGTACGGCGGCCCAACTTTGTCTTCAAGGCAGGGTGGCGCTCCACGAAGCGTGTAGTCCACTTCCTTCCTAATGGTGCGTGATCCCCGTGACGCGCGAGAACGCTGCGCACGATAGCTCGAACTTGCGCGTGAGTTGGTGCGTGGCCGAGCTTTTCCTGTCGCAGAATCCAGCGCTCAAGATCATCTTCTTGATCGGCGGTAAGGCGTAGTTGTTCTTGACGAGCGATCTGACGACTTTGCGCGCCAGTGAGGCGACCTCGGAGGGTGTTGGGTGGTACTCCGTTCTTCTTCGCGGCGGCCTTCAAACAGACCCCATTCTTGACGTCTGCAATGGCGTTTTCTAGGTCTTCTGCAGAGTATACCGGCATTATAGCAGTAAAAGAAGAAGATGAAGAAAGAAAAAAGTGAATTGAAGAAGAACTCGATTTATCGTAGATTTAAATACTGGCGTGGACGCGTCTTCGCGCTCCCCTGGACGCGTTTGTGGTGGGGGTCGGTTACCAGGGGGGGTCGGTTACATGGGTGGTTGACTTACTTCCTCCATTCTTTGATGAGCTTGATCTTAGTTTTTACGTTAAGATTGTCCTTGTTGTAGGCTGCGTTGAATATATCGGAAGATTCTCCCTTAAGAAACGCCTTCGCAGAGAGGTTGAGGATATGGCTGAAGTAGCGGATTCGAACTTGCTTTTTGAAGCGTTCTTATTATTGATCTGTTAACTGGGGCTTTAGGGACTTAACAATGGTGTGACAGGCAGTTGGGGACGCTTGGGCTAGCTGGTCGCTAGCGGGGATGTCTAGGGTGGTCCGGATGAGGTTAAAAGGGGAGGTCAGAGACGGCACAGGGGAGGAATCATCGTCTTTTCTTTAATCAGAGAGATTCTTCCTAGAAGTCGGAGAGGCCGGAAGGGCTCGAGGCTGCTAGGAAGTCTATTAATTCATTGCCTTTATTTTGAGAGATTTATTTGAGTTTATTTTTGACTGTCACTACGATCCTTGTCCTGCCTCCGTCTTCAACCTCCCTCAGATATCGGACTGCCGCGGGCTCTATTGATGCCTTGCCAGCGAACTTCCCTGCGACCGACCCGATATTCTATCTCATTAGATGCTTCCCTACCAGGAGACATAAGCCTCAGATCGATCCGACCTCATACACGTAATCTGGTGCAGCTTCGGGCTGACCAGCCAAGACGCCTGTGCGACGATCCTCTGTGCATCTCCCCTAGGGTAAGTTAATGAGTTGGGTGTTGTTGTTTCCGTCCCTTTCTGCTGCTAAACCGGTTGAATTTCCGGATGTGTTAGAGCTTTGTGACGATTTATTGGCCAATTTCCAGTAAACCTCCAGCCGGATAAGATAATTTCCTTCCTCATGCCCGCCTCTCTGGCTTTCGCGTATGCCCGAATAAAGTTGACTTTGTCAACCGGCGCAGAATCGGTCAAACTAGCCAGCTTTTGAAGTTCTTTCCGATACGCACCTTTGATGACATTAAAAATCCCATTATCTAACGGTTGCAGACCATGAGAACAATGTGCTGGTAGGTAACAGCAGTAGACGTTGTTCAGAAAGCACGTAGCCATCCACTCATCCTGGATGCTCGTCAGCGATCTTATAGCGGGACACTCTGCGGTGAAAACCCCAAAAGACTCACCTGTGCATGGCTTCCGTGACCGTCAAGGATAATTAGCCTCGCATCTGATGCATCACGAGGCTCTGTTTGAGGTAGATAGACGTCTTTCAACCACTCGAGAGCTATGTGGTTGTCGGTCCAGCCGTTCGGTGATGTGATGTAGTGCCAGTCCGCTATCAATTCGAATTCGTTAAGAAACCACTGCTTCTGCAGCTCTTTTCCTTTAAAGATAATCCCCGGTTTTAAAGCGCGACCAGTTGCGGTGACAGCCTCAATAAACGAGGTCCAAGTGCGCGACTGGACGCCTTTCAACATCGCCTTCTTCTTCGGGTCGGAGCTCCCGATTACGAGGCTGTCCAAGCCTCATGGACAACCAATTAGTTATGACCTATGAAAACCCATAGAGTACTTGTAGAAGACTTACCGAAACCCGCCATTATGCCGCCCTCGTCCACGTTTACCGTGTTCTCAGGCTTGATCCAGCCGTATTCCGTCTCCCGAATATCGAAGTACCAATTGACCGCCTTCGGAGTAAACCCGTCAAATCTGGCGGCTTCCTGGCGTTTTCCAAGCTTGGTAGATAGTTGTAGGTGGCGCTTGACGAACCTGGTGGTCCAGTGCTTGCCCAGAGGCTTGTTATCGCCTTGTTGTTTGAGGATGGCCTCGACACAGGCGCGGAGATGGCTGTGCGAGGGAGCATAGCCCAGAGACTCTTGTCGCAGCACCCAACGAATGAGGGTCTCCTCCTGGCTCTTGGAAATACGCTGGTGGGCCTGGATACGTTCGTTCCTGCTCGCTTGACCGGAAAGTCGTCCAGAAAGGGTGGACTGAGGCACTCCACGTTTCTGAGCCGCCTCATTCTGTGAGAGGCCTCTATCAGTGGTATCTAATATAGCTTCAGCTACGTCATCTTCGGTATAATTACGGCGAACCATTGCGGAGGGAGTTCCGTTGAGTAAATTAGGTGAAAATTCGGCTTGAGTGGATGGAGTCACCTAGGGTACATGAGGTGAAATGCGAAAAAATTCAAAGGGCTAGAGAACCAGGCCACGAGGCGGAACGGGGAAAATTTAAGCCGATATGAAAATTCTATGAAAAAAGCAATATAGTACAGGTCTTAGTTTGCAAGTACCTTCATTCCTGGCCGAATACGGTGCAATTGAAAATTTGGATTTTGTATGGGCAGAGCGAAATTTTGGTTATCCATTAGGTGGGGTTATCCATTAGGTGGTCCTGGATGGTATGTACGGTCGCACATTACCACATGGGTGACATAACCCTTTTGGGAAGCCTCAACCATGTTGAAATACTTAGTAATTTTGTGGCCCCTTGTAAGACTACAGTGCCGCACACTATCCGGAAGGTATCTCTTTATTAGATGGCATCTCCACCAGGGAATATGTCGTGATATTCCTGGCGACGCGTCACAATTCTTCCACTCACACATCCACACCAGCGTCAATCAGCCCATCGCCACCCTATAGCTATTATAGGCTATCCCCATCCATTCCCTAAGTAACCTCGGGTTTATCCATCATGAGGTTGTGCGACTGACCTTGTCTTGTACGTAGATATGCCCGATCACGTCCTATCGCAGATATGTCCCGATGTTCCGAAGACCGTGGCCCCTAAATCGTACCAAAGGAGCCACGATTTCATTCGCGATAGCCACCCAGGGTCGAATTTGTGTCCATATTGCGGGAGACGTTGGCCCACGAGTATCTCCCTCCTCGACAGCTCGCCAGTCCCGTTTCGAGACGTTGAGACAGCTTCCAACTCCTCCACTATACAGTCTATCGACCTAACAGCCTCTGATCGTTCCACGCCCTCACAGACGATCTTCACCGGCTCTGGAGACGGCCCTGGCCGTATCCTCGCAGCATCGCGGCCCTCCGCCGTGTATCGAGATGCCAAACTTACCCAGAGTCGGATCGCGAGGGGCATGAGGGCGAGCTCGTCGCAACTTAGTGAGGCTGTGGCTAAACAGAACCAAAACAAGAGCAGACGGAAGATCTCGATGCGTCTCACCGTCTTCCTTGCGAGGCCTGACCCATGGGAAATTCTAGACGAAGACGAGGAGCCCCAGTGGTCTTTGGCTAGAGAGCTGCTGAAGGTCGCTTTGCGCCCCTTCGTCGACGAGGAACCATCTTTACCTGTCCACTTCTGGTTTGACAATATCTTCCTCCCTCAGTTCAAGGACAAGCCTGCCCTCTCTTCTGTTCTTCAATTCAACAAGCGACTCGTTCAGAACGCCCATATTAAAGAGGGTATCACGGAGCTGAGCGACCTCGACTGGGAGAGACAGTCTCAGAGCTTTTCGGCGAGGACTGCCCTTTTCGTTTCAGTAAAACAGAGGGCAGATATCTCCTTTTCCTTGTTTTCTATGAGCCATTGTCTCCTCAACCACAAGTCCCGGCCCCTCGTCATATCAAGACGCCGAGGTCAGCCGTAAAGCCGTTCAAAAAGGAGAAGGGAATCAAGAAAGAGTTAGTAAAGACCGAGGTGAAGATACAGCCAGCCTTGTTAATCGGGAGCGAGTTCAACTCGCCTTCCTTAAGCCCCTCTCTGAGCCCAGTTCTACCTCCTTCGAGAGCTAGCGCAGAAGACCAGATCGAGGTTATTACTAGCGACGTGGATGAGACCCGCACGGGTCGGAAACGAGCTCGAGACTCTATAAGCTCAGCACTCTCGGTCGAGGCAGAGGATAAGGAGCTCTCGGCTGGCCCTGCCTTCACTGCCCATGGTCCCGCTGCTGGAACCCGAGGAGTTGATACGAGGAGGCCAAGCAGTCGGCATCCTCGTAAACAGACGAGGAAATAGTAGTTACTCTAGCTCAAGGTGACCCAGGTCCCCCATCAGCTCGTCCACACTATTGATGATATCGCCAGGTAGCTCAGTTCCGGAGAGGTCATTGCTAATAGGCTCAAGGCAGTCCTGCTCGAGGAGCTGAAGCTAAAGCTTGTCAGCTAGCTTTTGAGTGCGATGGAGTACTGTTTAACGTACGAATCTCTCTTGCCCACCAACTGGACTCTCTGGGATGCTCAGCACCGGACTTGCCCCGCAGTCGAGATGAACCTGAATCTTGTCTCTAAGCCGTAAGCAGATCGCGAGGTGTGGTCGCTTATGATCGAGCTCCCCATCTAGCTGACCATCGAACTGAAAATCTCGGAGCTGTTGATCACACCAGTCCGTTGTTATTGGGTCAAGAAGATCGTCTATATCGATAGAATTGACAGTGGCCATCATCTGGGCAAGCCCATCTCGAGCCGCAGGCCCTAGATGGACTGCCCAGTTCTCCAGTTCGCTTGTATTATATAGATCCATCGGGATCCCGGCGACGAGATGCTCCCTATTCTTCTGTGGCCGGATGCGATGGCCGTTCCACATCTCCGTGAAGTCCGCAACCTCTTGACGGATCATGGGTCCATAGAGAGCATACACCGCGATCTGGTGAGCAAGACGGTTTGGTTGGAAGAGGCCGCTATCAATCAGCTCGTGTGAGAACGCGATCCAGCGCTGACTGACACCTTTGAGTAGCTTTTCCCACCAAGACTCGATCCGTTGGTTCGATGTGCTTGGGCCCCAGATATGACAGGAGCTCAGTCTCGCTCCCTGCCTGTGGACTCGTTGGTCGTTATCCTCGGTGGTATACCGAAACTCTGTCTGATCAAGGTCGGCGAGAATCGCCTGGGCTCCGGCCCAAAGAGGAGTCTCGATACCATGATCCGAGCGGGTGAAAAGGGGGCGGACCCCTGAGTACGACACAGTCCGTAGAAACTGTTTGAGTGAACTCAGCGCAGTCATATTCCCCCTGCCGACATATATCCAGATGATGGCTCTCGAGTACGTGTCGATACAGGCGTAGATAGAGAAGCCGAAGTTTTTGAGCTTCTCATACCCATCGAGAGACCACATGAAGTTTGGCCCAGGAACCTGGAAGTTCTTCCGGTGCTTCCAATCAGCAAGGCGTCTTTGTTCGGCCCGCTTCTTCCACTCTGGGTTCGTTTGGTACTCGCGATATAAGGTATTCTGGCCGACAAGGACGCCAGCACGGATGCGGACGTAATGGTATAGATACCCCCTGCCAAATCCTCTGATGTTTGAAGACTGACGGTCGTCTTGGAAGAGGAACTCTCTTGCTTTTTGAATAGCCTCCTGTCGTTCAGCCGGATCTCGGAAGCGCCGCTTCATACCATGCTTCAGACGATACTCCTGTACAGTCCGCTCGGAGATCTCGATGCAGCGTCGCTTGAGATCACGGACGATGGAAGTGTCGCTATATCCATATCGGTAGAAGTAGCCTTTGATCAGCTCGACGAAGGCGTCGGTATCAATCTTTAAGCGAAGGGGGGAGTACTCCTGGGCACCCCATTCCGCTAACCTCCTTTTCAGGGTTCTGACGTCGAGTATGTGCCCATCGTCGCGGAGATGGGCACATATAGTGTCAATAGATAGTCCTTCTCGCCGCTGCTCGAGGATCCAGTCCTTAACGCGCTCCAAGTCCTTACGTGGCCTCGGCATTGTGCGGGACGCAGACTAGGGGTTCGAGATCGTGGTAGAGGTCGGAGTTCATACCTCCTTCAAGCCTTCCAGCTGCAATATCCTGGCCTCTCTGAACCGGCATTATCGGAGCTTCGGCGCCGATGGAATGGCATCAGCACCGATGGAATGGCATCAGCACCGGTTGGTATGGCATCAGCTCTGCTACATTGAAAACAGTGCGCTATCATATCAATACTGTAGCCCCATATAAAAACGCCAATAGCCTATGTGCGAAACAGCTCGAGTCATTTTCGTACATGGTTTTGTCACCCATGTGGTAATGTGCGACCGTAGGTATGCCGTCAGCTTGATCGGTGCCGCTTCCACCCTCGAATTAATTAACCGAAGGACTAGCTCCAGAGGTCTATTCAACCAGTATGCCTCCAACCACTTCTCTTTTCAAACTGGCTGACGGACCCGGGCCAGCTTGCTCCTTGTGAGCTCTGTCATCACCATGGGTGGTATATCAATTTGGTGCATGGTGCGTAACATCGTGGCTGCCCATTCTCCCCTTGTAGCTCATCATATATCTAGCATTTCATTAGTAACCGAGCCATCGACCTCGCCGACGGACAAGCCGACCTGCAAGTTGCCTACTCGAGTGGTTTTACTACCATATCCTTCTTCGTCCCCATCATCGTGCTTCTCGCTGCCTTCGTCGCTGTCGGAACGAATAACCGCGTGTCTTGGTGGAGAGTCTGCGCTGGCGGTCTCCTTTGTGGCACTGCCGTCTGTGGCATGCATTACCTGGGCAATGCCTCCATTGCCAACTATGTTTGCGTCTACCGGCCCGCATATGTTATTGGTTCAGCAATTATCGCTGTTGTTGCCAGCATCGTCGCTCTCGCCATGTTTTTCGTATTCCGAGCGGCTTGGGCGTCCTCTTGGTGGAAGCTAGCCATCTCCGCCGTCATACTAGCTGGTGCCGTGTCTGGAATGCATTGGTGTGCTGCCGTCGCCACGCAATATCGCCTAATCAATTCCAAGCCCGAGGGCAACGGGCCTTCACGAACTGCCACTGTCATAGTTGTCATTTGTCTAGTTAGTACTTAGTACTGCCCCCAGTGAGCCTGGGTTATTTCGTTGATAGGTTGCTGATATTCGGCAACGTCCATTGGCGCCTGTGTCATTATCGCTGGCTCAGCCATTCTTTGTGCAAGGAGCATGAGAAAGACAGCGCTCCGGGCCCGGCAAATCACCTTGGGGGCAGCCATTTTCGACAAGAGCGGGAGAATCTTGGTCACTACTGATGGACTCATCCCCAGTACTCTCGTCACGGACTCCTTCTTGGAAAAGGTAAGAACCCATGGCTTGATCTAGCGCACTGCCTGTTGTTAACCAGAGCAGCATTCCAAGGAGGGTTTCAACATTGGCCATCCTCTGTTCCACTGGATGTTTCACGCTTCTCGAAATTGGGGTGGCATCTCTGGCCTCATCGGCGGCATGCGACATCATCTAGCCGTGTTGCCACATTCTGGCCGTGAGAGGGATGGAAGGCATGGCATCCGGCTCATCGATGAACGTGGCGAAATGATTGGGGATTACGACGTCATATTCCGGGAGCTCTTTTGCCTCGCTGCTGCCTCTCTAGCTGATCGGTTAAGGGACAACATTACGTCTGCAGGAGTGCTCTGGGACGAGATCCTGCCAACGGGCGCGCTCGGGAAGCGATCCCGTTCACAGCTTCAACAGAATTCGTCTTGGGATACCAGTTCGGACCATGGCTCCCTTTCAGAAAACCTGGGAGCCGACGTCGAAAAAGGCATCAACCTCTGGGAGCAAGAATATGCCGGTGGATCGCTGATGTTCTTGGTTCGAAGAATTGAGTCGGATCGAGACGCCGAGCGATATGTATCTGCTGGTTATCGCTTCGCCGAAACCCAGCAAGTCAGTTGCATTATCCGCACGAGCATGCAGATTAAGAGCGCAGGGTTTGACCAAAAGCTTCGCGACATGGTCAGTTACACGACTCGACAGAAAAATACTCACGCCGGTGTGCAACTGGGCTTCTTTGCCATCCGAGCCCGGCCTAATTCTCTTGGGTTTGAGATCATGGTGCGAAAGGGGGCGAGGGACATGCTTCCATCGATGTCGCTTCCCATGTCTAAGCTCAGGGACTGGCATATGGAGTTCCTAAGGCGGTTTGAGAACCTGACGGTATCTGAGCTTCTTCGAGCCTTGACTGAAGAAGACTTCTCATCACAATCCCCAAAGGAGGGCGAATTCGCGGGTCAGCTTGTGGAAGTCATCGAAGGCCTCCGGGAATGGACCCAAGAGACCTTGTTTAACGAAGCCACCCTCACCTCGACCGTCGTTGAACTACCATCCATGGGGGATTATAGCTCAAAGCGGTCGACTATGATTACGATGCGCCTCGTGATCCCAATTCACTCGGGATTGTCCAGCCCAAGTTGCGAGTTTGTTCCTCTGAGCTTTTCAAGATGCATCAGATTCCAGCCAAATTCGGACACGAGTTTACACGAGGTGTTCTTGAGGAATTCGGACCCATAATCAAGAAGAGCGCAGCTAGAGCACAAGAACCCAGGAAGAATGGTGCGGGCCTGCTATCCAAGCTGTGGCGATCTGGAAGTTCGAGCGCATCGACAGGAAGCAACTCGGCCTCATCAAAGGCCAATGGGGGCCGCCGAGGCTCATCGCCCGACTCGGTGCGAACTGGTTCAACCATCAACTTGTGCGCACCCAGCAACGTCGATCGCACTCACTCGATTGATTCCGGAGATGACTCGATGTACGCTAGTCGAAACGATTCATCCTCGGCGCCACCATCGTATGGGGGAATCATGGTGTTCCGGGAAATCAAGATCGATGTTGAAGAGGATAGCAAGACGAGCACAGGAGCGCACCTGATGAGCATCAAAAGTCATGATACGATCGTTGTAGAGCCAGCTAGCAGCAGGATGTCGAGCATGGGAGCGGGCATTGAGATGCAGCCCATAGGACACTTGGGAAACAACGTGCATGTTGGGCAAACAGATCGTGGCATGGCTCCCGCCGATTTGACCCATATGGTGTCATTTGTAGACGTTTTGTTTTCCGAGTGCATGGAAGGCCGTCAATAAGGAGCTTTCATCAGTAGGGTAGAAGCGCTTTTATGTTCTATATAATATTTATTAGACTGGAAAGGCGGGACAACAGTACTAGGGGGGTCTCGTCATTTTATTTCAGCTCAACCCCCCGTTCGTCCCTCACGGGGGGTACGTTGACTAGCCAAATCGTCAGCGACTCACCGAGCTAAGAAAGATACCTAGAAAATAGGTGCGCGCCCTAGTAAATTTAAGTACCAATGTTTAATCGAATAACTCTTTTACATACAAGGCGTATGCACAACCCCGCGCTGTGACACATCTGCAACACCAACCCTACATCGTCACATCCTCAATTTGGTAGCATCCACCAAAAACGCTACAACTTCAAACCACCACAACATTATGAGTTCTTCGTCAATTTGTGATCAGAGTACATCATCTTGTAGCCCAGAGCCTCGAGCATCTGCAGTGCAAAGATGGATCAATCCCAGCACCGGGAAGCCCGACTTCTCGCGGCATAATGACGGCAACCTCGAGGAACGCACTCTTGCTGCAGCAGAGCTCTTCCACGAAGGTTTTTATCGCTCTGTTGCTGCGGCATCGCGAGACCTGAGGGTCCCGTATGACAGACTCCTGAGCCGTACTAAAGGAGCGAAGCCTACCGCCAAAAATGGCGGGAACAACACTCTCTTGACCGACACGCAGGAGAAGGCAGTCCTGTGTTGGGCACATCGCCGGGTCACACAGGGCCACCACATTCAACTTCGATCTCTTCAACACAATGCGAATGCTATACTAAGAGCTTCCGGCCACTCACGCAAAGCTTCACATAGCTGGGCTAGGCGCTTCATGAAGCGCTGGAAAAGCACCTTTTACGTGAAGCAGTCTATGACCCGAGATGTGAAGCGGAAGGCGATGCAAGACCGCGCCCACATCGAGGCTTTCTTCTGCGCCTTTGAAGAATTTGTGCGTGAAAATGGCATCAAAGTTGAGAATATATGGAACTTCGATGAGACAGGCTTTATGATCGGATATCTCCAGAAAGGCACCTTCGTGTGGACTTTTCGAGAGGTTGAACAGCCTATTCTAACTGATGCACACACCACTGTCTCTGTGACCGCGGTTGAGTCGATCTCAGCCGCTGGTGCCTCTATTGCCCCCTTTATTATCATGCCCGGTGTTAACATTCCCGTTAAATAGGTCCAAAATCGCCTCACTAACGATACTACGATCACAACTAGCAGCAAGAGGTATGTTAATGACGTACTAGCTCTCGAGTGGGCTAAGCACTTTGAGCGACTTACACAGCCTTCTAACTTGGAAGAGAAGCGGCTCCTTCTCATGGATGGCTGTGAGAGCCACTTTACAGATGAAATCTTCTATTTTTGCAGTCAGCATAACATCGAGCTGTTCCCTCTGCCTCCAAATCTCACACACTACCTTCAGCCTCTCGATGTTGGTCTTTTCAACGGATACAAGCAGTGGCATCAACACATCCTCTATAGGGAAATTGCTGACGGCGCCAATGACTTCAATAAGACCGACTTCCTATACCACCTCCAAGAGATACGAGAACGGACCTTCCAGAAGAGCACAATTATCTCTGCTTGGGAGAAATGCGGCCTATTTCCTCACAACCCAGCTAAGGTCCTAGATAACCTCAAGGATCCGCTGTCATCACTGACCGCAGACATCTCTGTTGAGAGTCTCCCGGGTTATGTTGAAGTTGGCTCTTCATCAGTAATCACAACACCACAACAGCAGAGCTGTAATAGCTTCACAACCCCTGTAACTCCTCAGAGGGTGCCGTTAGAAGCATATGACTGGGGAGAGGCAGCTACACCACCGCTACAAATAAAGACCATTGAGAGATATCAGGACTACGTGATGCTTCGTATACACACATCAATTACATCAGGGGTGCCGTTAACCCCGTCAGTCATGCGTGTATTTGATCATGCAGTCACTGCTAGCAACACACTGGCCTTGAATGGTATTACCGCCACTCAGGAGCTACATCGTCTCAAAGAGAAGGCTACGAGACGGTCAGCTCTCAAAACACAGACGTCAGTCATAGCAAAATACAGCCCAATTAGCGTCGGTGATGCAAGGCTTCGAGTCCTAAATGATGAACACAATCGACAAGCTGCACAGGCCGATGAGAAGAAGCGAATTTTACGAAGAGACAGCCAAGATGAAGGTCTCTTTTTACGCCGTTGGATGCGTGATATCAGGTCACATGTGAGGCCTAGTATCACAGCTGTGAGGGTCGAAGTCATATATAGTAACCCTAGAAGAGGCTGGAAGCCGCTGTGCCAGTTGCAGCTAAAACGCAGCAACTGGTGGTCCAAAACTGACCGGCGTTCTCACCTTGCTTCCAACAAGTGGCTTACTCAGAAATATGCTCTTCATCGCCAGCTTCAGCAGCTAGGAATAGCTGACGATAGATGGCAAGGAACAGTATCTTGGCCGAGAAACTACGACCCCGAAGTGGTCCAAGAAGCGGTCAACTTTACTATTCTCAATGCACAGGAACGGGCTCTTAGAAGGAAACAGTTAACTTTAGAAGCTGATGGAATTGAGGTTATCACGGAAGATGTAATTGAGGATAGTCAGGGCGAGTTCCTAATCCCAAAAGATGAAGAAGATGACTAGAAATGATGCTAGAAATGAAGAAAATGACACTTTGGTCAGTCACTTACACCAGCCCGACTTTTCGTTTAAAACATACTGATGCAACTGACCCCGTGTAACCGCTATAATGAAGGTACCTCGTCTACACTAAGATTTTGGTGTGTAATGATGTACCTAAATTTGGCTAGTCGCTGACGATTTGGCTAGTCAACGTACCCCCCGTGAGGGACGAACGGGGGGTTGAGCTGAAATAAAATGACGAGACCCCCCTAGTACTTGGTGGGACAACTCTCTCCTGTAAAAATTCTTCCTGACTAGCGGCTGTTAGCACTAGTGTGGAAAATTTTGCAGGCCCACCAAAATTTGGCTGCTACAGCAGTTAGTGCCCTTCGGGTACTAACACCGCAATAAAGGAAGGATTGAGAGAGTTGACTTCCTTTACGCAGCAGCCACGGCCACAGCCCAAGGGCTCCGGCCATGATCGGAGCCTGCTGCCCTGACCAGCTGGGCAGCTAACATAGCAGCAGACTCACAGCACGGCTTGCGGGGGCCAACGACACCGCTGTGGCTCTTATACATGCTGTAATGCTGGTTCAGACCTCGCAGCAGGTATAGCTATCACAGCCAGCCAACAGCAGTCACGACACCAGCTTCAATCTAGGTGGGCGTCGACCTCTGCCCTGATCTTTACGACTCGGCACTTAGGTATATAAGGCTATTAGTCTTAGTACCTGCTTGGGCCTCCGGGCCTGAGCTGCCTTGGCCTCCAGGCCTTGGCACGTAGGTGCGTAAGGCCACCGCGTCTTAGTACCGCTTAGACCTCCGGGCCTAAGCTGCCCTGACCTCTGTGTCTCGGCACGTAGGTGCATAAGGCCACCGCGTCTTAGCACCTGCCTTGGCCTCCGGGCCTAGGCTACTATGACCTCTGGGTCTTAGATGCCCTGATCTACGGATCTTGGCTGTGAATCCAGGTCTACAAGAGGTCACAGAATCGGGCTACTTGTAGGCATCAGGGTTCTGGCTTGATGGCCCTGATCAATGGATGCTAGCTGCAGTGGTTTTTCCCTCTATGAGTTCCCGCGAGGTTTTCCCATCTGCAGTTATTCCTATCATACGGATCTCGATTTCTGGAGGTTTTGAATGCCGGTAGGCAGGAATAGGAATACTGGAGAATTCCAAGCTGGTTAATAAACATGGGTATGCCGACACCCGCCCTGACAATCCGCTGACGGATATCGGGCTCGAAATAATAGGTCAAATAGGGCCGCCTAATTGCTAGATGGAAGAGGAAGAAGGGTTGCAGTCTAGGACTGTAGGCCCGAGCCATAGGCCAGCAGTGCCTACAGTTCCGGCCCCGGGTTATTGTACTTAGGTCTCTTCTGCTGTTGACACCAGCCTAGCACGTCATCTTGCCCCTAGGGGATTCTGTAGACATCTCTAGTAGATATCTTCATGACGGTAATAATACAACAACAACAACAACAACAGTACTTGGTGGGAGATGTGGGAGATGGTCTTGGGTTATGATTGGGATGGCGCTGATGGGGGGACGGATACAGGGAAGGCTAATGGAATGTGGATTCCTGACTTTCTACCTTTCTTTCCTATGATACACCTTGGAGAGATACCCGGCGTGGGCATGATGCATTCGGTATTTTTAGGACAATGACTAATCGGAATGTCCTCAATGCGGGAACGATCAGGGAGTGACCAGAATGCTGGGTTTTGAGGAGTGAATGTTAACCGGAGAGACGGGAGGAACCGATGTAACCGAACGATGGAAAAGCCGCGGGATGCAGACTCAGAGAATGATGGTTGGAGGGATGGCGGGTGCCTATAATCATCGTAACTCCGTCAAATATACACCTATTGGAGGAGTCGAGCCAGAACTAGAAGCGACGGTCAAAGGCGCCAAGCAGTACAATGACGCTATCCGACGCCAGAAAAGATGCCACTGGGAAGAGTTCCTAGCAGATGACGCCAACATTTGGAAAGCAGCCAAGTATATGAAATCGGGCGAGACTACGATGGATAGCAAGGAGCAGGCCCAGGAGCTACTAGCGAAGTTCTTTCCCCCACTTCCAGACATCGAGGAGGAAGGATGGCGCCCACAGCGGGCTCCTGTACCGATACCGGACATCACAATGGAAGAAGTAGAACGACAGCCTTTTGCAGCAGTCTTGGAAGCCCCTCGGCCAGAATGGCCTACTGGCGATTGCATGGAAGCAAACATGGCCGGCAGACAGACACAGAATCCGCACAATCTTCCGAGCGTCACTGGAGGAAGGTGTGCTGCCAGATCAATGGAGACACGCCAAGATCATACCGCTCAAGAAACCAGGCAAGGAAGAATATACGATTGCGAAGACGTGGAGGCCAATCTCGCTCCTGGCCACGCTCGGTAAATTACTCGAATCAGTAGTCGCGGAAAGGTTATCCCACGCCGTGGAAACATTTGGACTCCTTCCGACAAACCACTTTGGAGCCCGGAAACAACGGTCAGCGGAGCAGGCATTGATACTGCTACAAGAACATATTTCCATGACCTAGCGATCGCGGCAGGTTCGTCTCACCCTGTAAGCCAAACTAAAGGCCAGACTCGTGGCCTATTATCCCCCTTCCCCCCTTCACCGCGTTGCTAATTTCTTGCGAAGAGCAAATCTAACTGCTTCCTGCAGGACTGCTTGGCCTTGCGATCCGGCCAGATATGGATGCCGTGGTGCCGTAATCCTTGGGCCACTTATGATCTTGATACCACAACATACAGCCGGAATCGGTAGATGCCCAGACTTGAGGTCACTGAGGAACGCCGAGGCGTCGCGCGTCCAGTCAGCACCGTTAGGCTCCATTGCAGTCATGGTCTCGTCCAGGTAGGCGGCTAAGTATGCATTATTGGCTTCTCGAATTATGGAATCTGTAGTGGGCTTAAAGTTCCAATCCAGAAGAGCTCACTCGGCCCGCGGGCCCTCTAGGTGATGGATGCCATCCACTACCTCACCAAACGCGATGCGAGTCTCTTCCCGCAGTGTCGTTAAGATTGGTACGAGGGCGGGCAACTTGGCCCCGAACGCATCGCGTGCATCGGCTTAGGTCGGCGCCCTCGGTGGTGAACCTCCACGGGAGATTTGCTGATTCGCCGGTTTGCAGGTGCTCATCCTCGCCATGACGGCGTCCTTTGCCATCAAGTCCTGGATTGAAGGCGGCGTTGTTGCTGTCGTCATCTTGCTCAACATCGTCGTCGGCTTCTTTCAGGAGCTCCAAGCTGCCAAGACGATGGACTCGCTGCGTTCCCTCAGTTCACCCACCGCCAACGCCGTGCGCGACGGGAACAACGAGGTTGTCGTGACTGCCGAGATAGTCCCCGGTGACTTGGTCGAGCTCAAGACGGGCGATACCATTCCCGCTGACATTCGACTCATAGAAGCTGTCAACTTCGAGACCAACGAAGCCCCCTTCACTGGCGAGTCCCTCCCTGTTCGCAAGGAGACCGGGTCCACCTTTCCTACCACCTCCCACTCCAAAAACCTTCACGGCGTTCTGGTACGAGTAGGTCTTTACGAGGTCGCTGGCGGAGGGGGACAGTGACGTTGTCACCTGCAGTGGCTGGTCTCGAGCTCGAAGGGTGATTAGGCTTGTAGAAGACGGATCGGGGAGTGTTCGTGGATGTTTTCGTGCTCGAGGCGCCAAACCAGACGCAGATCTCTTTCTCCCAGCTCGAACCATAGGGCGCTCGATCCGGAGGGGTCAGCGGATTGGCCTGGAACAGATGATTTGCCTCTATCCAGGTCCGCTTCAAGATCGCTGCCTTGGAGTAAATTAATCCGGGTTTCGTGACTCGTCTGACGAAGATGTAAGTCGCCACTTACCTCAGTCCCAGTAACTTCGTGATATTTCTGGGTCCAAAGTTTGTGGCAAAAGCACTCCATTTTGGAGGACCTGCGCGAGACTGACCCTCGCGACGACAAGACGCGCAATACAAAGGCAATATTTGTCGTGGGAACATTCGTATTATCATTGGTATACAATCAGCAGCCTGGACAACACGGTTTTCTCGACTTTCCCACCATGACCACTAAATCCTGTGACCCTTTTTACCCTTCTTACTCCCCTCACCCTTCTCAACCTTTTTGGTTTTCTCGGGTTTCTTGGTCTGTTTTTCCAGTCTTCCTAGTCTCGGTCTTCGTCTTCTCAGGCCCCCTAGTCTTAGTCTTCGTTTTCTCTGGCGTCTTGGTCTCGGTTTTCGTCTTCTCAGGTTTCTCGGATTTCTTGGTCTTCTCAGGTTTCTCGGGTTTCTTGCCTTCACCCTTTTTACTCCCTCCACCATGCTTCCTCCTCACAAGTCTGAAAACGCCACTCATTCCACCACCTCCGCCAGCGACGTCGCTTCGAATCATGGGGTATTTGCTCTCACTGCGGGCGTCGCGGGCAAGGGCATGACCACCGCCTGATTGGTCGTAGGCACTAAGTGCTGTGGTGAGGAGAAGAGGAAGCGAGAGGAGGAGGAACTTCATTTTGAAGAGGTTAATTGGCTCTTGTTGCTCTTGTAGAGAAGAAATGAATGTAGAATTGAAGTAATGACTGAGGAAATTTTCCTGAAGAGAGATAGCTGGGCTTCGTGGTACGTGGTCTGACTAGAACACGTTAACCCTTTGTGATGTTGGTTAAGGACTGAGGGTTGAAGCGTCCTAGCCTCTTATTCAGCCGAAGGCTGACTCTACATTAAATTAGTTCTTAAGTTTTCCCGAATAATGAGGGTGCCTTCCGTTAGGAAGGTCTTTCTTATTCGCGCCCGACCCTTCACACCCCCGTCCCTGGCCTCTGATTGGTTGCAAAGTTAGCTACCTTCTGATTGGCTAATAAAATGGCTTACTGTGAACGAAACGGAGATTGCCTCCTAGCCTTGCTTCCCATGCCTGACCTCAAACCGCTCAACCGTCTGTCTTGCTAGCTCTTTTAATCGATCGACCCCTTCTATGAGCTCCGGATACATCCGCGCCTGTTCGAAGTGCTCCCTTGGGATTGGCTGTACAAGCCGTATGTCCCGCAACCGCTTGCACCGTGACAATTGCACGTACAAGCTAAGCACGTCGCACTTCTCCATGCTCGGGTATCCCTTCGTCCCTTTTCTCCCATAGAGCCCGAGCAGGACCTTCTCTAGGGTCTTGCTCTGCGCCTTATAGTCAGTGAGCGCAAAGCCCGGCGTGCATGGCAGCCCCGTACGCGTCAGCCCCATCTTAAACTCCCGCTTGGCTGCAAGTCGCGGACAGACGTATTTGCCGTGCTTTTCTTTGTCAAGCTGCACAGTCTCTGTCCCTAGCATGAGGGTACCCGGAGGTATGTGCGGGAATGCGAGCCCCTCCGTGTCCTGCGATTGGAGAAGGATGCCGCTTGGCGGCCCGAGGAAGACAGACAGCCGGTCGTGGATCACCCGTTCTTCTACCTCTCCGTCTGCGACGACGCCGGCGGCCGTGAACTCTGCTCCATTGACTACTTTCAGCCCTAGGTACTTGTTCTGGTTGACGATGACGGGCATGCCCTCGACGTACGGAAAGATGCCTGGGATGGGGAGCTGCGCGTCATCTCCGAGCAGCACTACGGCCTCCATCTCTTCCTCGCTGGGCACGCGGGTTTTCCACTGGTGATCGGACATGAACAGGGACACCTTCCTGCCGTGCTCCTCGCCGAAGGCCAGGGCGGCACAGAGCGTGAGGTCCCACCTGTGTCGGTTGAGTGGGATAATGGCGCGCCGGCCTCCCGTGAAGTCGAGCTTCTCGTCAGGGATGTATCGCGAGTTGAGCTTGTCCAGGTCGGCCGCCGTCTGTCGGCCTGTCCGGATGTGTTCTAAGAGCCCTATCAGTTCCTCGTCGCCCTCGGCCCTCTTCTGCTCCTCTAGGATCACCACATTGGTAAACAGCTCCCATGTCGTCTTGGCCTGGATCTGCTGCCATCGATATTGCGTCGCACGATCCGAGAGGTTCCGTAGCCCCTTGCCGCTGTCGCTGGGGTCGACCCGGCTCAGCAGACCCTTCTGCAGTACTGGTCCGAACTGGAGGAAGTCGCCCGTGAAGACCACCACCGGTATCCCGCCGAACGGCCTGTCTGGGAAGCCGCGGAGCGCCCGCAGCTTGTGGTCTACTTCGTAGAGCGTCTTAAGTCCCAACATGCTTACCTCGTCGACCACAAGCACGTCACGCCTTCTCCAACGCTGTCGGCTCCTCTCCAGGTTCGCGGATGGTAGGCTTTCCATCGCCGCTCCGTCTTGATCCTTGAAGGCTAGCCCCAGCGCGGAGTGGATGGTGTTACCGCCGATCCCTGCCGCCGCCGTCCCGGACGTAGCTGTTATGACAATACGTTTCGACGACCCTTTCGCCGCGAATACCTCTTTCAGCGTCTCGATGAGCCAAGACTTCCCGGTGCCGCCGCTTCCGCCTATGTATTGGAGATGTTGAGGTGGCTGCTCCCACACCGTGTGTACTTCGTTGCCGTCAGCGGCTATATCTGACACTTCCTCCGCTCTGTCCATCGCCTCACAGATGAGGCCGAGGGCGATCTTCTGCATGCGGTTTAGCGTTCGCTGCTTGCATATCATGTTCCCGACCAGCAGGAAGCTGCTGCCAGGTGCTATATCTACCCAAGTATGAGCTGGAGCGGGGGTTAGGTTGGGCGCCGGGATAGGTGGGAACAAATACTGATCATCGCCGGGACCGAAACCAGCCTCGTCGCCGTTCTTGTCTTCGCCGACTTCATCATCCCCTTCGATGGCTAGCACTCTGGCTCTGTGGAGCCGCAGCTGGGCCGCCCGTACCATGCCAATCTCGGGCTTCGTCATCGTTTCTACTGTCGCTTGATGTTCGGACTGCGTGTCCGCGCGCCACGGGTCCGGTTCGGGGTCGGAGAAGCTGGCTCTCTCGAGCGCCTGTAGCAGCCTTGCCAGTGCGGGGAAGTCTTTGGCAATGCCTTGATCGCCGTGCAGGTTATACACCACATCATGGAATGTGTATCTCAAGTCCGTGTTCTGCGGTCGCCACCGGGTGCCAGGGGCTATTCCTTCCTCCGCCGGCTCGTGCTCTTTCTCCTCGTCACCTTCGCTGCGGCTAGCCCACAACGCCGCGTCTTTCTTAGCATCTTCGGCGCTCTTGTGCAAAAGCTTAATGTTGTGAACCACCCCCTTCACCCGGTCCGGTATGGCTTCCGACAGCTTTTGCCACACGTCTTTGACTGAGGGGTACTCACCAGATGCATAGCGGTAGCCGTAGAGCTCGTCCAGGCACGTGAAGCGTTGCCAAGGTACAAAGAGTGCTAGGAGGACCACCGCGGTTCTGTATGCCGTTAGCTCTTCGACGAGCCTTTTCTCTCTCCTCACCTCTCCTACCGTTGGTAATATCCTGGCTCTAGCTTATCCAGGTCGTGGTTGAGGGGGCCGGTGAGCACCGGGACGTACTGCGCCCCTGCCTTCAGGAGCTCTTGGATCCATCTCTCCCCATTGACAAGGTCTTGGTCGAAGGGGAAATACTGCGGCTTGTCTACGTTCGTCCGCTTCCCAACCCGACGCACTTGAATCACGCTAGCATAGTCGTAGAAGCAGAGGTCCTCCAATAGAGCCCCACGCCCGGCGTATGCCTCCAGCAGTGGAAGATGCACACCAGACTGCGCTATGTTGATTGTCTCCGGGGCCGCTCGCAGACGAGCCTCCGGTCCGGCTGCGTCTTGTAGACCCCGCCACCTCCTGAAGACCGCCCAGTACAGCGTATTGAGGTGAATGCTCTGCCATCTCTCCACGCTGGAGTAGTGGTTGGGATGACCGAGGAGCCTGCTGCATACCTCCACGGCGGATAGCTCCCTGCTGGTGAAGATCTGGTTTGCCGTTCGGGCCAGGAATTGCCTGGCCTTATTATTTACCTGCGCCGCCCTCGGGGCTTCGTCGTCATGTGCTACTTGGCCTTCGGCCCCGACGTCCGCTGACATCCTTTCCCACACCGGCTTCATAAGCGCCGCCCGTTTCCATAACGGCGTATCTAACTTCGTGGCGTAATTCGTGGCGTAATAACTCATGGCTAGGCTTGACGTGACCGTGACGAGGAGTCGAATGTCGTGGTTGTGCCGCAAGGCAACCGCTAGGGCCTTGTTGAACCGGCTAATCCGGCTGTGATTGCGTTTGACGTGCAGCAGGCCGCTCGGTGTGAATTCTGTCTGTTCCCGCAGCGCCCACGGAGCTCGGAAGCGACACGGGTACTGCTTTCTTGTCCGACCCTTTTCCTTGAAGCTATACTTGACACATGTTGCGCCGCAGCTGTGCATCTGGCAACGATGCGCCACCCAGTTCGCCTCGCTCTCGAACACATCGGCCAGCTTGTCAGCATCGTTCACTATGTCGCTTATATCACGGAAGACGCTGTCCCACCGTCGGTATCGTTTCGCCCCTCGTTCGTCACAACACTACCGTGCCTGGGTGAGCGGCTCTTCCCTCTCTACCGCGTCTAGCTAGGCAATACGCTTACCTCACTCACTAGGGTATCAAGGTATCGACACACCTGCTCCGCGTACGCCCCGTCATCTTGCATATCGTCCAAGACAGTGGGCATTTCCACGTTGGCGTCGAGCCACAAGAATCCGTGTAGGTGCTCCGCCCCCCTTTCGTTCGTCTCGACGCAGCCATAATAGCCAGAGACCTTGCCGAATATCGATGGCCCCCCTACGCGTACGCAGTGTCGGAAGAAGAGACGGATCTCGCGGTCGAAAAACTTGGCGGAGCTCACAGGATCTCGCACTACATGCTGTACCCGACCGATGTGCTTGCGGAACTGGTCCACCAGCTGCCTGGCCAGCTCTCCGCTCACAGCCCGGTAGGCAGTCAGCTTCATATTTACTTCGTTGGTCAGGTCGTTTGGATTCAGCGTGAACCAAATTGTCTTCATCCCTAGCAGTAAGCTGAGGGAGTTGATCTTGCGACGGTGACCGAGTCTCTCTTCGTTCGACATATGCTGGCCATGCCCGAAGGCGCTGAGCTCTCGAGGCAGGAAGGAGACGTCCTCGTTCGTAGTCGTCCTGGTCTGGCGGTATTCTTCCTCCGCGGCCTCGATCTCGCTGGCAGTCAGCGCGCGGAGGATCTGCTCCACCCGAGCGAAGGACCGCTTCTGCATGCGAATATAGCTGATCCGCCGGTTCTCCGAGCGGACTAGCATGTTGTATATGAGGAAGGGAAAGGCCGGGTGCGTCGCGAAAAGGCCGCCTACTACTGGTCAATTCCGTCTGATCTCCCAGCTCGGCGGGTACATACCGTGTCGCTGGAGCACCAATCTCGCCCAACTCCGTAGGGTGAAGTTACGGTCCTGGCCGCAGCTACTATGGACGTCCGTGAATCCGACACCGGCATCCTCCGCCAACTTAGGGCCTCCTCGGCCCCACGGAAAGAGGCAGGGGAAGGTCTTGGGAAAGAAATCGGGGTCGTTGCTGTCGACATACTCCTCCCCCCGCTGGTTGATAATAAAGGGTTCCGTAGTGCCGGCAAAGTATCCGATTCCACCCTCGCTCCGCCTGCGCTTCTTGCCCCGATGGCGGCCATCCGTCTGATCCAGGCTGGCCTGGACCCACCGAAGCCGTTCTCTAGGGCCGTGGTCCGCCGTCTCGTCGAGCCCCAACATCCCTGTTGAAACCATCTCGATTAGCTCTTCCTCTATATACCGATGATCCAGCTCCTCTCTCTGGAGATGGCGCCCCTGCAGGCCGCCTAGTCTCGCGTTGCTTTCGTTCTCTTGTCGCACAGCATCGTCTTCGTCTTCGCGGTCTTCCAGCATAGCTAGCACCTCTTCGGCCGTACGAATAGGCTGCTCTGCACGACCACGCTCAACGGCCGACACATAGTATCCAGTCCGGATTTGGTCCTCCGCGCTCAGCTCGTATGGGACCATGCTGTCGAATATAGCTTGCGGCACCTCGGTACCGGAACACCAGGCCCCCCAACTCCGGAGGTTGTCCTCACTAATACAAATATCTCGGAATAACGGATTATACTGCTTCAGCCAGGTAAGCGCGCCTTTTAGCCGCTGGGGACGCACCGACATCATCCAGGCAATGTCGGTAGGCACCGGCTTCCGTGGTGCTACGAAGCACACGTGGATCCTCTCCAGCTCGTTCATCATGGGGTGCGGGAGCACTTTCGACACCAAGTTCTCCACGTCGTTGGGGAATACGGTAATGTGGCCCTTTTTGTGCTTACGATATCGGCCGTTGGTAGCCTTCTCGATGTCGATCTGGAACTTGGTGATCCAACCACAAGGTATGTACAAGCCAATGAGCCGTTCCTCCATTGGAGTCAAGTATCGCAGTGCCGCCGGATATCTATGGACGCATCCAAGGCCGAGATTGTTGACTTGGCAGGCACGCGGGAGCTTACCCGCCTCTAAGGCATGACTACAGTCTTGGCAGACAGGGAACCCGTCCGGCCCTTCACGGGGGAAGCATTGTCGGCATGCGAAATGTTCCCGATCCTGACGCGTGAGGCGCGTTTCCGCCTGCCGATACAACGGCTCGAACACCGTCCACTTCCAGTCGGAGACGTCGACGGATGCCTTCTGCTCATAGCAGACGACGCAGTGTGTCAGCTCCATGGTGTTTTCGTCATGCATCTTGTTGTAGAAGTCACAGACGGTCTCCAGCTCGAGCTCGCGCGGTCTCGGCTCACTCCATGTATGGCCCGCCGAATCTCTCACTCTCTGCTCCCAACGTTCATCCATCGCCTTCAGGACCTCGTGCAACGACTTCTTTCGCTCTTGGAATAGCGGAGAGGCTGGACTATTCACTATCGGAAAGATTGAGGGAGCTGCTGGCCGTGCTGGTTGGCCGACCCGCGCATCTTTCTCGGTAGGGACTGGTCTCGTATGTTTCCTGCGGATGCGGTAAGCGGTCCCTGGTCTGGGACCGTGTCGCTTAAGACTCGGTGTCACAACGATAGGAGGACATTGAATTGGTGGTGTGGTCGGTGTCTTAGGAAGGAGTCGGGCCAACGGTCGTCTCAGTGGGTAGATCCTCTGCTTTCTGTCCATGACGTTCGGCGTGATCTATGACAATCCAGC